AATTTTAACACTGCAGGTCTCAACTTGTTCAAAATATGACCTAAACAATAAAAGAGTTAAGCACGGCTAATACATATACTTTATATACACACAGGTAATAGACAGGTATATAATCTGTAAAAGACTGTCTGTTTTGATAAAAATTAATGTAATATCCTTTAATTAGTACATAGAAAAAGTAATAAAAATAGAAGCTTAATTGAGAAAAAATAAAAACAAATTGGTAATCTTCAAGTACCAATGATGTTTAAAATATATAAAACAAAAGACAGTATTCTTCCGATTTATCGGTATTAAAGGCCAAAAATTCGAGTCTATAATTTTTATATAGTAGTTATTATTGTAATTTTTGGCGGAAAAAGAATGCTTACTTCACTGAGATGTGATTCTAGCTGGAGTTGTAACACCCCCCCCCCTTTCCGTTCCCCTCAAAAAAGCATAAAAGAAAGGAGGGATAAAATAAATCGGGTAGTTACATTAATGTTGCTCCTACGATCATGAGCTTTTTGCCTCCGTTGAGATGGCCAGAGATATAAATAACATATAATAAATGTGTCTCCGAGATAGCGAATGATTACCCACGTGGCCAAAATATCACATTTGTATGGATATAAACTCAGAAACGATTACGATAATACAAACATAGGCGTCAGAAGCAAATTGAAAGTGGGGTGGCTATTTAAAAGTTGGGGGGGGGGGAGCTAAACCAACAAAAAAAGGTAAGCCCCAATTTTCAATGCCTATATTATGTCTATCTTTGCAAAAAAAGGGGGGCTTAGCCCCCCCCCCCTTCCCGTTCCGACCCCTATGACAAATACGTATAATTTTTCATTGGAAATTTGCTATATATTCTGTTCAGATATATTACTGATTTCTTATTAGAGAAATTATACAATAACAAATATATATCTACTTAGTATTTACTTTTGTCTTCTCTGATTTGAACACACTCTCCACCAACGGCTCATACATTCGTGTATGAGACAACTCTGCAAGGGAGATTGATTTAGCGTGAATGTAATGCGCACGCGCAAGATTGTAAAATCCAAAAAATCCAGATGATTTCCGGAATTTTTTGAGGAATTTTCGTTGATTATTAATTAGCGAAGCTTAATTGAGAAAAAATAAAAACAAATTGGTAATCTTCAAGTACCAATGATGTTTAAAATATATCAAACATAAGACAGTACTCTTCCGATTTATCGGTATTAAAGGCCAAAAATTCGAGTCTATTATTTTAATATAGTAGTATAGATAGTAAATGTACCTGTATTTTGAGATGGTCCCTAAAAAATAACCAGACGGTAGATGTTCCCTAAACTTGGCATATATACTGAAGTCAATGTAAGGTACATAAGGTATAAAATTAAAGAGTTTCTCTATAGTAGTTTTCACACAATAAAACCCCAGTCGGCTCCCTTAAATGCATCTTTGAATAAAACAAATAAATATGCACTTTGGGGGTTCTAAAAAGCTCGATATAAAACAAGAAGTTTGTCAAGTATCCCGTGAAACGTACGAAGCAGTGGTCAGAAATTTCTGAACACGAGATTCTTAAGTTATTTAGGACAATGGTAAGGAAAGCACTTAGAATACAACATTTTAGGAAATCGTTGCCATAGAAACTGAAATGGAGAATGTTGGATACTTCTGACTTAAAGTAATAATTTTGAATATCTGCTGATTAAAATGATATATAAAATGTATATGTAACTTTTGTTGTAACTTTTCTTTCTGCCTTTAGATGTGTGACATATATTGTGAAACACCCTGTACTTTGATGACTGAAAAATAAAAAGGACATAACAAGTAAGTAGAGCGTGAGTCGTTTAGTTTTATCTTGTTATGCTTATTAAATATACCTCAGGGCTGAATTTCACACAACCATCGTACGATCTTTACTAAGACAGACCATCCTAAGGCCTGACTTAATATTAATTACAAAAATCATAAGTTTTATCACTGCCGTTTCACAAAACTATTTCAAGTATTAGAAGCTTAGGACAAGCTTTAAGAGATACCTCTTGCTATATTGTAAAAAACAAAATACTTGCTCGAAGACTGGTTACTTTTCTGAAACCTTTCTTAATTTTTTAATTAAAATTGTATCTTTAAAATTTTTTCTGAATTTGACGCTAGGAAATAGAATATGAACAATGTATGTGTGTGTGTGAAAGGGGGGGGGGGGCATAAATGCGAAGTTACTTTCATAGATGTGAATACATTGATTGTGCAGAGAAACTAAAGTACTAAATTAAAAATTCTTTCATTTGTTGATCAATATGCTATATTTTCTGGTCTGAAACCAAATTATGATAAAACACACTGTGTAAAGATATCGATAGGATCATGTAGTGGAGAGCTATATATCATGTATAAGGATGAAAGTATCACAAGCAACTCAACATTTTACCCAATATTTAAGTTATTTGTAAAAACATGGAAAAAATCTTAAAGTGAAATCAAATCAAATTAGAAACAACACTAGATCTAAATATAGATCAGAAACGGTGGTCATGTCATTTTCAGCTTATATTTATGTGGACTAAAGATACTCAGTTTAGAAGGTTTCAATACCGAACAATTCATAGAATATTAAGTACAAATACTTTTTTTGTATAAGATGAAAGCTGTTATTTGTTTGTTAGTTGTTTTCCTTCTTATTATTCAACCAGAAACTTCGTTACATTACCCATGGCTTGATCACCTGTAATCCTAATACGAGGGTTGACACAAAAGTAATGTCATAGGTGCGATAAAATCTTTAGTATTATGAAGTCATCAACAATATTTTAAAAAGCTAATTGAAAGCCTTTATCGGATTTTTTCAACATAACAAAAGCATTAAATATTAATGTTGATATGAGATTGGTGTAATTTTTGGATTTCGTGCTTTTCTCTGTATAGTGAAAAGTATTTTTATTAGAAGATGTCATAAACAGTTACCATATTTTTAGGGTGACAAAAGAGAAATTCATGTATTGTAGAAAAATATATGCACAGTTCTTTGAAGTATATGAAAAGATAGGGATTTTGATTCCTTTCGATAACTTTATTTCATTAATTGTTATGAATATGATTTGACAGCATATTGAACATACTAAAGGAATACCTACTTTTATATTTTATGTGAACATATGTTCTTAGGTGTACATATGTTCTTAGAGCCAGTGTTATATGAATGAAATCTGTAAATTAGAATGTACCGAGTTGGTCATACACTGAAATTTACATTATACCTTAAAAAAATTGTATTCATTCCTGGACGCATGTTAAAGCAAGCTATTCATCCTTTAAAAATATTAAATTATTCTACTCTTTGATTAACTATTAAATTAAATTGCTTTTATTTATTTATTTCAAAATACAAACATTAGCGACACATGCTACGAACAGAAAATCGAAAATATGGATTGGTATATATTTTGGCAATTACAGTAAAGGTCTACTCCTGGGGATCTGTGAATATACTTTTGCTGTATATCCCGTATTTCATTATATCTGTATAACCAATTCCTTATAGTGGATTCGCAGCATAGGCTTTTTATGCCCCCGGATCGAAAGATCCCGGGGGTATATTGTTTTTGTCCTGTCTGTCTGTTTGTCCGTTTGTCTGTTGTCAACTTTAACCTTGCCCATAACTTTTGATTGGTTGAAGCTATGACTTTCATATTTCACATGTGTATTCCTTGTGACAAGACCTTTCTTTGGGTACCATCATATTTGACCTTTTGACCTTGACCTTGGAGTTTGACCCACTTTTGCAAAATTTTATGAGACTTTAACCTTGGCCATAACTTCTGAACAGTTGGTGCTTGGGGTTTCAAACTTCACATGTGTATTCTTTGTGACAAGACCTTCCTCTGGATATCAACCACTTTGACCTTTTGACCTTGACCTAGGAGTTTGACCTACTTTTGAAAAACTTTAACCTTGGCCATAACTTTTGAATGGTTGGAGCTAGGGCTTTCATACTTCACATATGTAATCCTTGCGACAAGACCTTCCTTTGGATACCAACCACCACTTTGACCTTTTGACCTTGACCTAGGAGTTTGACTTACTTTTGAAAAACTTTAACCTTGGCCATAACTTTTGAATTGTTGATGCTAGGGCTTTCATACTTCACATATGTAATCCTTGTGACAAGACCTTCCTTTGGATACCAACCACTTTGACCCTTTGACCTTGACCTAGGAGTTTGACCTACTTTTGAAAAACTTTAACCTTGGCCATAACTTTTGAATGGTTGGTGCTAGGGCTCTCATACTTCACATATGTAATCCTTGTGACAAGATCTTCCTTTGGATACCAACCACTTTGACCTTGACCTTGACGTTTGACTTTTATTTAAAAAACTTAACCTTCGCCATAACTTTTGAACAGTTGTATCTAGGTCTTTCAAATTTCACAGGTATATTCCTCGAGACAAGACCTTTCTTTGGGTATCAACATTTTTTATCTTTTGGCCTGGATTTTGACTTGCATTTGAAGAAACTTTAACCTTCGCCATAAGCTGCCATACGGGGGCATCAGTGTTTCACAAACACATCTTGTTTTAGTGTATGCATTCGTACTAAATGAGTTTTTATGTACTTTGATTGTAAATAGAGATATTAAAGTCCTAAAATAATAAGAAATTACAGACTTTCTACGATGTTCAAAATTCTTACATTTAGCCATTCCCTTTACACATTTAAATCTATACAGTCATTTTTTTTTAAATCACTTTATAGTACATATCATACACATTTAATAATTCTTGGGAAAAAATAAATTTTAGTCAGAATCTAACTTATTCATAGTTCTTATATAGATTCATAGATTTTGCACCCATTTCGATTTTTTGCTGGGTTTTTTTTTTTTGTTTTTTTTGTTTTTTTTGTTTTTTTTTTTTTTTTGTTTTGTTTTGTTTGTTTGTTTGTTTTTTTGAAAAAAAAAAGTTTGTTCGTAGGAAGTTTAAGTGTCCTTAGATAAATCATAAAATTGGAAGTCAACAGTCGGAATGATAAACTTTTTAATAAACACTTACACAAAATTATCACAGGCTTCAAGAAGTTGATCAGAGATGTAACAACAAATAACAATTACATGTAAGAAGCAAATGACATTGTTGTATGTATAGAATGAATCAGAACAATTAAGAATTCCTCAGATCTATAATATCAGGAAAACAAATAATAAGTGTATCACAGAAAATCAGTATCACATTTTAATAAAAGGCCATCACAGTTCTTTTCAAAAACTCTGAACTCACTCATTCTCTGTCAACTTTAAGGACAATATAAAAATAAATCATACAATGCTTAGTCTTCAAATCCAAAAATAGAATCCATTTCAAACCAAGAATCCTCAGTCCTCTTCAGTTTGGACAGCTTTGAGTTACTCTTTTGATTCTTCAACCTCTCCTTTGGAGAAGTCAAGAAAAATTTTCCTGGAGGTTTTGTGGGAGCTTTTCTGATGTTTTGAGACTTTTCTGATTGAGGATCCTAAAATTTAATGCTCAATATGAACAGTTGTATTATTTTTCTATGTTCATTTATGAATATTAAAATGCAATTATATGAATTATCATTATAAACAACATTTCTTACTCATTCAATGTAGGTTGAAAAGTAATGATACAGTAGTTTGTCACAATTTCTTTTACCTTATTTACTTCCTGAGTGGCCCTCTGAGCCTTAGCAATTTCTTGTTTTCTTCTTGTCTACATAAAAAAAGTAAAATTATATATATTTCACTGAGAGTGCAAAAACATGATTTTTGGTCTCGTACACATTTCCACAATTTTTTTTCCAAGTTATTTGTAAGTGGCTTCTCATTCAGAGACATTAGCAGTGTTCATACATTTAGTATTTTTTAAAAAGTTTTCTTTTTTCAGAATTTGAAGATAATAATAGAATGCAATTTATTAATTTTCTTCAATTTTTAAAGGGGGGGGGGGGGGGGGGGTTACATGTATTGCTCATTTTTTCTTTGATTCTTTTAATTTCCAAAAAATACTTTCTAAGAATAATCATTGGATTATGCAGCTAAAATTTCATATACAGGTAATAGCAAAAAGACAACTTTTGGCACATGGACTTTTCATAAATAAACCTAGCATTTCTATCATAATGTAAAAATCTAAAACAAAAATAAATTTAAAAGATAATTTTACAATTACGACTAGACCATATAGGCACATACTTGGTTTAGCATGGATGGAGCTCTGGGCACCCGATTTAACTGTAACTGTTTTGGAGTTCTTGTCTCCTCATCATCACTGTCATAGTTCAGATTTCTATCAGGTGTTTTCACTTTGGGAGACGGTTTCAACAATAGTGGTGTTCTCTTTGGAGTTATTGTCTTCAATCGACTCTCAATTTCATCCATCTGAAAAAAAATTTATAATGAATATTTAGCAAAAGCATAGTTCAGGCTCTAATTGAGGCATTCAGAAATTATTGGTATCAGTACTTCTATGTATCTTATTTTGTTGGATTTTATAAAATAAGATCAATTAAAAAGGCAGCATCGCTTTAATCTTGTTAAACAACAACACATAGAGCACTTTCATTTAAACATTCACTTCCAACTTTCTGAATCAGAAACAATCCACAGGATAAAATTATGCCATTCAGTTAATTAACTATAAGTTTACTGAAAGGTGAGCTCTGTCATTTAGCTATATTTTGAAACCTTTCAGTGAACATTCAATTGACTGAATTGTGCAGTTTTCATCCTGTGATATGAAATCTGTAAAGTGATTTCATTTGTCTGCCTTTACATTTAGACTTCAGATTTAGACTTCACTTTAAAACTGGATAACATTTTGTTACTGAAATGAAATTACCTCCACTTCCATCATTTCAGATGAAGAGGAGTCAGACCTCTCTTCATCATCATCTGAAGCAAACACAACTCTCCTCTTTTTGACAATCGAGTTTCCACTTTCTGGCTTTAAAATGCTTCGCTGTGGAGTTTTCAGCACAGATGACACAGGAGTGGCTGCCTTGTTAGCATTAGGACTTGGTCTTTTTAATGCACTCTCCTTGTTCAGAGTTGGAGTATATTTTGGTGTAGTGCACTGATTCTAAATTCAAAAACACATGTTAATTAAAAGTAAAATTATCTCAGTGTTGAATTTTGCATAAAGTCAAATTGTGGCATTGAGATAACTATACATCTTCAGATATAACAGCTAAATGTACAAGTGGTTTCATCTTTTTCTTACCTCTTTACTCAGTTGAGGAACTTTAGGTGTCACTCTTATATTGTTGCTGACTTTACTCAAAACTGTGTGTTCTTCCGATACATCCTGTATCTTTGGTGTCAAAAGAACATTCTCCTTAATGCTCTGATTATTATTTGCCTTTTTCTTTAGTTTTAATGATGTATTGGACTCTCTCTTTTCTACTTTCAAGTCATTCATCTTGGTCATTAGTTCCTGAATTTCAGATTCCTGTAAATTGTTGATAAATATTTTATACATGTATAGTAGTTCCACATTGTTATTAACAAACCAAGATTAAAATAATTCCATGAAGACATTACCTTATCATATAAGTCATTCTCATATCTCCTGATTTTTTCCTTGTATTCTTTGTTTTCTTTTTCCACATTACTCTGTACAATTATAGATTGACATAAGCATGCAATCATTGATTAAAAATACATATATATACTCTATATATAAATACCCCCCCCCCCCCCCCCCCGAAAAAAAAAATGTGAACAAGCATTTAACAACATTCTTTTGTATCTATTTAGAAAATTACCATATCCTCTTCATAAGATTTCATTTTGTTCTTCATTGTTTCTACCTCAGCTTGACATTTTGACACCAGTTCATCTCTCTGCAAGATCAAAATAATCAATATATACCTCTTTTTTGATTTCATTTCAATTATCCTCCTATAAAATCTCAACTAAATATGTGAATAAAATCTAACAAAATTTGATATAAAGTTTGGAATTTACATCAGTAAATACCTCTTTGATGCCATCTTCAAACTTTTCAGCTCTAGTGTGCAAGTCTTCATTTTCACTTTGTAAAGATTTCTTTAATGGAAGGAAAAACAGATACTTGACAAAAAAAGACTGTAAGATTTGAATGCAATATATGTCTTTCACATAAAATGAAATAACATATGAATAATCAGGCCCGTAGGAAGCAATTTCAGTTTGGGGGGGCACAGCTATACATTTTTCAGTTGACGTTGAGGGGGCACTACCAAAAATTTCCTGACAAGCAAAAAAAAAAAAAAAAAATCAACTACCAAAATTTCTTAACAAGCAAAAAAAAAAAAAAAAAAAAAAAAAAAAAGTCATCAGACGTTTTTATTGAGGGGGCACAAGCACACATTATCTATGTTTACTATAGTAATCTATATATCGGCAAAATTATTGGGGGGGGGGGGGGGGGCACGGGGGGGCCCCCGGTTCCTACGGCCATGATAATTAGTAAGAATTAAATGTTACCAAGTGACATCTCTTGCATTGACATAATCAAAACATGGCACCTTTCCAATAAAAAGCATCCAAAGATGCACTTAATCATTATGTTTGCACTAATACCACTATTTCATGAGATAATCTGGCTGAGAAATAGAAAAAAATATTTATTTCTTCTTAGCCACTGATATATGTATGAAATATTCAAATCCAATGTGGCATCCAACTCATATTGTATGCTTTAGACAAATTAAAAGATATCAAAACAATCTTCAGTTGGTGTGTAGATTTTAAAAGTTTTAAAACTTGCAATAATTTAGAAACATACCAATATATCCCAAAACACTGTCTTTAAGTATGAAAATGTTTATCCAAATCTTGCCTCAGCCACTATGTTCATATGTGGACTATGTCCATGTTTGGTTAGATTACTCATGTTAGTTTTAAAACAGGTCTAAATGTTGTTTTAAACAAGTAATGCTCAAGCATGCAGTTTAGGTCAAATACAGCAATCTATGTAAGAACAAGACAACGCATGCACCATGCATGCCTAGTTTGACTTGGATACAACTTGTGGTAAGATATCTAGGACCTAAATGCAGAACTTAACCAGAGAACTAGGTGTGTAAAAAGTAGGTCATATGCAGCATCATGAGCTAAATCTGCAAGTATGCACCATTTTTGCTAAGTTGGTTTTGAATATGACAAAATCCTTCAAATAACACATGAAACAAATACTTCTTTACTCACCAATTTTTCATTATATTCAGCCAAAAGATTTTGGACCTGATCTACTTCACTTTGTAGTTCCAGTATGTGAGCATTTGTCTGTAATTCACGAAAGCACACTTATAAAATACTCATTTTGTATAGTGCAGTATATCTACATATTGTCAATAACATGGGGTTAGATTTATGTGGTAATTAATCCACCTCTGATTTTGAAAGATCCTTGCTTCGACTGATTTCTTTCTTCAGTTTCTCTATTTCCTTGTCTTTGTCCCCCACAAGCTTAGCATTTGTCTGGTGAAACTTCTCCATTGTTGTCATAAGCTCCTGTACTTCATGTTCACATCTTTTCTCTGTGCTTTCTTTCTGCTTTACAATATCATCATACTGTTTCTTCATATCCTGGACCTACACATTTTACAAAATGTAAGTTAGATTGTATCTGAACACTTTGCTAATTTTGGCACAATAAAACTGCAATTGTAACGATGTGTTCTAATATCCTAGCTGTGTAGCTTTGCTGCAAATCCAGGGGTAGGGCTGAATAAATACATATATATTTAATATAATTTAATTTAGTTCAAAATTTTTTTCAAGTTACTTTTATTTAATTATTGAGATTTCCTTAAACCAATCCAATACTAAAAAATTTATATTCTGTGTTTTTATATAAATAGACAAATTCTGCCAAACTGAAGATTAGATTTAAATTGCCATTGGTTATGGTACATATAAGCCTAAAAGCATTGCTTAAAATCTTAGACTTTACCTCAGATTTTGCTTCTTCACACAAGTTCTTCTCTTTCTCCATGCTAACTCGCAGTTCCTCACACACAGACTGCAGCTCCTGTAGTTCTTGATGACTCTTTTCCTTCTCTCCCATCAGTTCTTCCATTTCTCTGTCCTTTGTCTCAGCAGCTTTTGTTTGTGAAGTCAGTTTGGATTTTAGACTTCTGATCTATTATTTTAAAAGTAATGAAAATTTAATGTTAACTTATCGAAACCATTTTTTTCTATAATTGCTTCACAGTGCAGTGTATGCTTTTTCTATGGTCATACTTAAAATTCCAGAAATATTCAGGAGTATTTTACAAGTAATTGTATAAAAATTTAACAAGAATAAAATTTCAACTGATAAAGAAGTCCATGCCTCCTTCTCTAGTTCCTTTGAATGTTTATTCTTAGCAGAAAGATCTTCTTTAAGACTTTTCATTTTCAAAGCCAGTTTGTCTGTCTCTTTTGTCATACATTCCAATTCGCCATTGAAATTCCGATCCTATCAAAAAAATTAAATTCCAAATTATCGCTCAAGGAATGTCTACATATACAAACACAAATGCATTACATGTACCAAATTAGATGACATCTCTTCTAAAAGTTTTGATTCATTTGGTATACATGAAGAAGTATAACATATAACAGAAATACCTGCTCTTCTTTCTCAGATTTCAGTATCTCATTTTCTTCCAATGCTGCTTCCAACTCCTTCTGAATATTTTCAAGTTTTTCTCTACAAAACAAAAACAAAGTTTAACATAAATTTATAGCACATGAAAACAAGTGTTTTCATGATTTTACAACAGAGTAAAATGCCTCCATTTGTCTCATTTCAAAGTATGCATAAAATAGATAATAACTAGTGGGTATTGTTTTTTTTTTTTTTACAAAAAAACACGTCTCCCCTTCTTTACCAACATTAACAAGTGCAAATATATAAACAGGGTAAAAAATAATAATGCAGTACATCTCAACTCAAATTCTGTGTACAAAATTTCAAGTCTTCATGTCAAACGGATCTCAAGTAATGGTCTGGTCGTATTTTTCTTAATTTGACCTTGAAGAAAGTGGTCAAGGTCAAATATTTTGATGCAGTGCATTTAGTCTCAATGTTGTCTTTCCTTGTTCCAAGTTTGAAATCCTAATGTCAAAAAGTTCTCAAGTTATGACCTAGACTATATTTTCATGTAAAAGATTGACCTTGACTTTATTAATAGGTCAAGTGAAATAAAATGTTGGCATTCACTCTTCCTCTACACCCCTTCTCTATGTTCCAAGTTTGAAGTCTTAAATGTCAGGGTTCTCAAGTTATGGTCTAGTCGTGTTTTCTCTATTTGACCTTGAAGAAAGAGGTCAAGGTCAAAATTTTAACACATTGCATCTTGTAACAATGTCTTCTTTCTATGTTACAAGTTTGAAGTCCTAATATCAAAGGGTACTCAAGCTAAGGCTTGGACTCTATTTTGACGTAAAAGATTGACCTTGACCTTATCATAATTGGATCAAGGTAAAAAATTTTGGTGGCATGCATCCATCCTTCATACCACTTCTGCATGTTCCATGTTTGAAGTCTTTATAACAAAGGATATATAAGTTATGGTCTAATCAAGTTTTCCCTATTTGACCTTGAGGAAGAAAAGAGGTCAAGGTCAAAATTTTTTGTGTGTTGCATCTTGTATCAATGTCTTCTTTCTATGTTACAAGTTTGAAGTCCTAATATCAAAGGGATCTCAAGTAATGGGCTGAACTCTTTTTGATGTAAAAGATTGACCTTGACCTTATAAATAGGTAAAGGTCAAAAATGTTGGTGGTGTATACTCCTTCTCAATGTCATCTATCTATGTTCCAAGTTTGAAGTCTTAATGTCAAAGGGTATTAAAGTTACGGCCTGGACAAAATTTGGGTGAAGAAGAATAAGAAAATCGACAAAAACAAAACGTCTCCCCTGGAATGGGAGACATAAATATGTGTAGTTAATTCTTGTACAAGTATTTCTCACTTTAATAATCATCATCACTTACTCATACTCTTTTTCAACACTTTTCAATTTGTTTATTTGATTCTGTAAGCCTTCCTCCTTCTTTGATAGTGTCTGCATTAACAGAATAATACACTTTATTAAAGGAAACAGTCATTTCATACATTTATATACAAAACATTAAAATAAATATTGTAATTATTTTAAGTTTATGCTTGTGCAAATTTTGATTTAAAACAAAAAAATTTTAAATATTGAAACTTTCTTTCTTCTTTTTTTTATTATAATGAAAAACTTCTATGGAAGAATTTTAATGTGAAGGCATTGTCTTTATTTTCTGCACCTACCTTGATTTCCTTTTGCAATTTATTAATGTCAGCTTTGTAATTATCAATTTCATTGTTTAGGTTTAATATCAACTTCTCATCTTCCTTGATTTTAATCTGCAACTGCTCAATGTTTTGTCTGAAAAAAAAAATACAATGTTTGATTGATACACCATTTTTATGTCCATGTAGTCAATAGCTAAGGTGTAATGGAACAATTCAAGAAACAGAAAGTGTTTCCATCAAAATAAGAAAAGAGGTTAACATATGATGAACATTTATATAGCAGAAATCATCATCTCAAACAAGAGGCCCATGGGCCACAACGCTCACCTGAGTCATTTTAGCCCTGCTGTTCTGCATCATTTTTTTTTTCCAATATACATGTATTCCTATATAATATTTTGATCGCCTCTTGTGGCCCTGCCCTATACACAAGTGTCGTGATTTGAACAAAAATGAATCTATACTACCAGAGGATGCTTTTACATTCACATGATAAATCATGGCTTGAGAAGAAGAGTTTTAAAGATTTTACCCTGTATATTTCCATACTGTGACCCCATCCTACCTTTGGAAACCATTATCTGAACAATTAATTTAATTTACAATCTACACTACCTCAGTAAACTTTCACTTAAGTTTCATCTTTTCTGGTCCAGTGGTTCTTGAGAAGAAAATTTTTAAAAATTTTTCCTATATATTTGAATGCAAAATTTTGATCTGCTATTGTGGCCCCACACTACCTCAGGAAGCTTTCACCTATATTTCATCTTTTCTGGTCTAGCAGTTCTTGAAAAGAAGATTTTTAAAGATTTTTCCTTAAGATTATATTTCAGTGTAAAACTTTGATTCCTTTTGTGGCCCCATCCTACCTGGGGACTATGATCTGAACAATTTACAATCAACACGTCTACCTCAGTAAACTTTTACTTAAGTTTCATCTTTTTCTGGTCCAGTGGTTCTTGGAAGAAAATTTTTAATAAAAGATTTTTCCAATGTATTTGAATGTAAAATTTTGATCCCCACTACCTCAGGAAGCATTCACTTAAATTTCATCTTTTCTGGTCAGAAGTTCTTGAAAAGAATTAAGATTTTTAAAGATTTTTCCTCTATATTTCAATGTAAAACTTTTGTTTCCCTATTGTGGCCACACCCCTACCTGGGGACTATTATCTGAACAATTTACAATCAACATCATGCACCTCTGGAAGCTTTCACCTAATTTTAATTTTTTCTTTTCCAGTGGTTCTTGGGATTATTGATCCTATATACTTCAATGTAAAACTATGATCTTCTATGGGACACAATTTGAACAATTTACAATCTAAATTATCTCAGGAGGCTTTCACTTCAGTTTCACCTTTTCTGGTACAGTGGTTCTTGAGAAGATCTTTTAAATAAATGACCCCCCCCCCTTTTTTTGCCTTTTCGTTATCATCTCCCCTTGGAAGGAGGTTTGGCCTCCAGTTTGATTATTAAGAATCCCCTTTACCCGGAGATGCTTTGTACCAACTTTGGTTAAAACTGGGAAGTTGAAAATGTGAAAAGTTTACAGACGGACAAACAGATGGACGGAGGACGGATAATGGGTGATTAGAAAAGCTCACTTGAGCTTTCAGCTCAGGTGAGCTAAAAAGCTTTGCTCAATTACAAAGGAATACAACCTTTCATTATTCAGCTGTTGGGAAACATTTTCCAGTTCCTCAGACTGTGCTGAACAGAAATCCATCTTTTCTGCAAAGGATTTCTTTATTTCTTGAAATTTTGCCTGAAAAAAAAAAAATGTGCATGCATATTTTACTGGTATATGTTTGTATTCATAGCAACTACTCTTTAATGATTTTTTAATATGTTCCCTTGAAATATAAATTAACGAGAATAATTTGAGCAATCTTACTCAAAAGTCTAATTAAAATATGCATATCATATGGGAAAATACATAGTAATGTAAAGGATGATGTACAATATGAAAAACAACATTCTCAATATATTCAGTGAATTTCTACATTAGCAAATTTTTTTGCTCCACAATGGCTTCTATAGTTTGTTCTTGACTATAAACTAAACCAAGTGTTTATCTGAAAATCTTTGGTCAAAGAAGTTGGCAAACAGGTCAAATGATGTGCACAGGCCCAATCTTTACCTGTTAGTCTAATGATTGATTTAGACTGATTCCATTCTTACTTCTTTTTATCTGTAGTGTATTAATTCCCCTTGAACAAGTTTTTAATGATAAGCAAAGTTAAAGTAGCCCATACCTCCCTTGCAAGTATGTCTTTATTTAATTCACTGAGTTCTTCTTTGACTTTCTTGTTTTCTTCTAGCACTACTTCCAGATGGTTGTTAAGACTTTGTAACTCTGTCTAAATTTTTAAAAAATCAAATAATTAAACTTTAAAAGTCATTGTCTTGCATTATTTTATAATACTTTTTCTTTCAAAGAACATGCGTACATTTTAAAACCAGTGGTTTTTCTAAACATGTGGTTTTTCTTCTAAAAGAAATTAAAATTCGTACCCTTTGGTCAAAGTTTTCCTCCTTGTATTTTGCCAACTCTGTATTTAATCCTCCCATTGTAGCCTCTAAATGAGTTTTTTCAACAAAAATTTGTTCCCTTTCTTGAAGAATGATAGCCTTTTAATGGCAATAAATGAACAAATTAGAACATCCAAATGGACACCAGTGATTTACATTCATTTTACATGTAGCAAAATTTCCTAATTTATTATTAGAAAGTACAGGTATACTCTCATTTTTTAATGTTCATATTTAGAAAGACCCAGTCTACCCACACTCCAATGCTTGACACGTGATATATCAAACAAAATATTATAAAACTCATTTCAATATATGAAAATAATTTTACTAAAGATAAGAAACAAAATCTTGTAGTGAAATAAAGATGACATTTTTCCTTGTTCTCTCATTCTTCATTGCTTTTCTTTTTTAGATTTTAATCACCTGTAAATCCCAGGTATGTTTTTGCAGAATGTCTTTATAAATACATGTACATGGGTTCCACAAAATCCCACCAGAAAAAAAGATAATCAAAGATTATGATGCTCACCTAACAAATATTATCTATAAGTAATTTTTCTAGTTAGTGTTCATTCTGAGATCAATATCCACGCAAGTTTGGTTTAAGAAGAACTTGTAGTTCTTTAGAATGGACCTGCTCTAGAAACAATAACCTGTCCTCTCATACAGAAAATGTAGGTCAGATCCAGCATCCGAAGGAAGTCTGCTAATGTCTATCCCTAGTCGCATCATCCATGCAAGTTTAATTATAACAGGCCATATATAGATACAGAGCTACTCCAAAAACATTAACAGCTCACTCATATTGAAAATGCAAGTCAGATCCAGGATCCGAAGCAACTTTGGTAGAGTGCATCCTTAAATACATCGTCCCTACAAGGTTGGTCCAGGTAAGACCGGGGACTTAGATTTACTTAGAAATGGTCTTGTTTCAAAAATTTTAACCCTGGTCACTCATCTGGAAAATAAAGGTCAGAGCAAAAGGATCCAAAGCAAGTCTGGTAGTGTCAATCCCTAAAAGCATCACCTATGTTAGTTTCCTTCAGGTAAAGCTAATATTCACTCACTAAAGTATATCTTTTTGTGTACATCCCAATATGTATCATCCACACAAGTTTGGTTTAGGTAGAACTTATATAGTTACTTGGGAATGGACTTGCTTCTAAACCTTTATCTGGGATGCCAACGCCAACACTGACACCAGGGGTATAGCAGAAGCTCATCTTAACATCTTCGAGGTGAGCTATAAAAGGAAAGGGGCCCTATTCTACATCAGTGTTGTCGCTAAGAACCGGCTACCGGCCAAATTGACCACTTCAATTAATAAAAATGACGCTTTGAAATAAACAAGAGGCCCAAGGGCCACATCGCTCACCTGAGCACTGTGGCTAGGAAAAAAAGGAAAAATCAGTTTAGTATTCAAAAGCTTAAATGCATAAGTGGTCCCAACCTACCCCTAAAAAGGAAGTGGGGGTCATGATTTGAACAAACTTGAATCTACACTATCTGAGGATGCTGCCGTACAAATATGACAAACCGTGGCTTTGCTGTTCTTGAGATTTTTAAAGATTTTTCCTATATATTCCTATGTAAAACTTTGATCGTTCATTGTGGCCCCACCCTACCCCCGGGGTCATGATTTGAACAAACTTGAATCTATACCACCTGAGAATGCTTCCACATAAATATGACCAATCATAGCTTTGCTGTTCTTGAGAAGAAGATTTTTGAAGATTTTTCCTATGTACACCTATGTTAAACATTGATTGTCCATTTTGGCCCCACCCTACCCCTGGGGGTCATGATTTTAACAAACTTGAATCTACACCACCTGAGGATGCTTCCAAATAAATATGACCAATCATAGATTTGCTGTTCTTGAGAAGAAGATTTTTGAAGATTTTTCCTATATATTCCTATGTAAAACTTTGATTGTCCATTGTGGCCCCACCCTATCCCCAGGGGTCATGATTTGAACAAAATTGAATCTACACTACCTGACAATAATTCCACATGAGTTTCATCTTTCCTGGCCCACTGGTTCTTGAGAAGAAGATTTTTCAATAATGCCATTAATTTTTTGCTATTTCGTAATTATCTCCCCTTGGAAGAGGGCACGGCCCTTCATTTGAACAAACTTGAAACCCCTTCACCCAAGGATACTTTGTGCCAAGTTTGATTGAAATTGGCCCAGTAGTTCTGGAGAAGAAGATGAAAATGTGAAAAGTTTACGACAACAACGACGCCGCCGACGCCACCGCCGACGACAGACAACGGACAAATTTTGATCAGAAAAGCTCACTTGAGCCTTCGGCTCAGGTGAGCTAAAAAAAAAGTAAAATATAAGTTTTGTAATGTCCACAGAGATTTGTCATAAACATCCACCCAAAGCCTATTACAATTGATCTCTAACCCTTTACTTTGAACAAAAGGGAAAACACTGCTACATCATCCTTTCATCCTTTTAATGGAAAGAATCATAAAGGCTTTTAAAATTACTAATTAAAATTGCCTAAGGTAAACACATATTCAGAAAATTAGCTCTGCATCATGGATTCTATCCAATAGAGGATAAAAATGATCATCGAAAATGTGAACCTTAATGACAATTAAAAGAACAGATACTGGTATCTAAACATTATTTGCACTCTTTTGAATTCCCACCTTTTCTTCATTAAGTTCATGTACTTTCCTCTCCATCTCACTTTTCTCCATCATCAAAATATCTAAGGATTAAAAAAATTAAATATATTCCCAATGTGTATACAGACTTTAAATTTCAATGGACATCTTTGAAAATGATTTGGTTTACACTCTTCCCACCCGGATTTTAAACTTTGGTAAGGATGGAATTATTTTTTTTTCCATGGAAAAAAATAACATTACATCAATATATACATACAAAAATACATACAAACATACAGTGATATGACCCTTATATTCATAACAGCCTGTCTCTTATAGTAAGTTCGTTCCTCTGTACAATATTTAAAAACATTACATTAATAAAACTATTTGAGTTATTGTGTAACAACAAGTGTCATGGATAAACATTCAAACAAATGTACAGATCGACAGACAGAAAAAATTATATGACCCTAAATTCTATAGGTGTCTTGATCTTAAAAAATTTGAAAACATATTTCATTCATTTGAAAATGCTTGATCGAGTTAGCAATTGTCACAACAAAAGTGTTGATGGAGACAGATTAATGAGTAGAGAGACAATGTTTACCTATAGGGCTCCCTATTTTCATGCAGGGCCCTAATTAGCATGGGATAATTGTCTAGCATCATTCTTTATGGAGTTGGTAGAAATATTGGCATGTTTTTATAAACATACATACCTTTTGTGCTTTTCAAATCTTCAACTGTGTGTTCCATTTTTTGCAGTGAAGTTTCAAGATTGAACACTCTGTGTTAAAATAATGTATTTACATACTTGGTAGCATATAAATTATTAATACCAGGTACTCCCAAAATTTGGGCTGTAAAGCAAATTACTGTAGATTAATTCCTAAATATATGCGAGGAATTAATTATCGCGTAATTTCACGAGAAGCACCACTTGCAAAATGAAATTACTCCCTTTTATTTTTATGGTGCTGAAATCCATGTAAAATCTCTTGATCAACCGTCCACTCAGAAAATATTGTTCTCATGATTTGACATTTATGAGCCATTTCTTGATATTAAGTACTTGTGAAAAATAAGGAATCTACAGTATTTCGTCTAATTACCTTGATTTCTCATTATCAAGTGCACAGTTTAGGTTTTCAAGGTGACCTCTGAGATTATTGACTTCCTCAGTATAAGAAGATCTGTTGGTTTCAAATTCTGCCTTCAGTAACAAATGGTCATTCTGGCTGTCCTCTAATGACTTGCTTGTCTTGGAAAGTTTTTCCTCCAATTTTCCATAGTCCTCCTGTCCAGAAAAAAAAAATAAGAAAGAAAAACTTCTTTAAAAAAAACAGAAACAAAAAACAACAAAAAAACATACTTTGAAATAGTTAAAAAGCTGGCAGTGATTGGAATTCTGTCACAAGATTTTACTGAACTTGTACATTACAATCAATCAATCTTAATCAGTTTTGATTATTAAAGTAAATTAACCATTATTTTCTTCAATTTCTCTTCAGATTCTGTTAGGCAGGTTTGCTTCTGCTGTAGTTCACTCTGTAAATTTCCAATGTCACTTTGCAGCTCATCTTTGATTAGAAAAACAAGCAAAAATGTTTTCATACTTTCGTTCTGAATATAAAAGTGAATTTTGAAAGCTATAAATTCATCATTTCATTGACCACTTGTACGGCCCTAATTTTTTTTTTTAATTTAAAAATATATATTTCATTCATGTTATTTACACATTTGTTGCAGTTAATGAATTGCAATTTTAATTTGCATACATAATTAAATACTATATCTTGTAAATTTATTTACATATCATATATCAATTTACATCACAGAAATTTTTACACATTTTGCATGTGCATTTTTTTTTTTTAATTTTTACTTGACGTTGTAAAAATCAAAATAAACAGATTTTACACATAATTCAAAGAAACAAAATCATGTGCAATAAACATGAATTATTCTACCATTCCCCACCCTGATCCCCTAGAATACCTATAACAGAGTTCATCTTGTGTATTTCATCCTCATTCTTGCAAAGTTCAGCCCTGACATCCCGGATCTCAATGTCTTTCTCATCACACAATTTCTCTAAATCATTCAACTGCAAATTACATTTAAAAGTGCATTTTTTTCATTCAATTTAATAAATTGTACATTTTCATATGCTTACTTTTTTCTTCTCCAAAGAGTATTAAGATATACATGTATATTTTTTTATAAACAATTATAAAAAAAAAAGTCAAATCATAAATCAAATGAATTAATCTACTTACTGCAGTTTTCATTTCTTCCTTGTGATTTTTAAGTTCTTTTTGTAGTTCCTCACCTTTCCTCAATTCTGCTGTCACTTAATTAGCAATGAAAGTTATAAATAGAAAGTTCTTATTAAATTTTCATATGTATAATCATTTAAGTGTTTCTTAATCATAATTGTCAAAAGAACTTTATCCTGTCCTAGCTATCTTTATTCTTGTATAAATGTGTATTCAGTACACAAAACTTCATTGCTAATAATGGTGCAGTCAAAAATTTATTGACTGATTGATTGTATATTGTTTTACATCCCATTTGAGAATTTTTCATTGAGCAGTGAGGGATCTTTATCATGCCAATGCCTGCTGTGACATGGGACCTCGGTTTTTAAGGTCTCATCCGAAGGACCCGCAACTTTCACTTCAAAGTGCCGAGCGCATGGCGAAGGAACAGTTGCTACCCATTTTTTATTGACTTAGGTCAGTTGTGGACAAGATTCGAACTCACGACCTCCGGATCATGGAGCGAGCGCTCTACCGACTGAGCTACCGTGAACAGTGAAACATTTATTGAGCAACCTATCAGAGGAAATTTTTATACAATGTTCTGGAAAGAAATGTTGCCATGTAGGATATTTTCTCTAAAAAATTCATTTGTTCACATTAAATTTCACTTGCATCGGTTGTAAAGAAATATTGTGCTGCATGTATAAGCAAACCAATTTAAACCATGTCAAATAATTTTTAATTACAAAAAATTAATCATTGATTTCAAATAGTGTAGGATTCAAATAAGTTTGACTTGTCTGGATGTTAGGATGCAGTCTTCAAAATTAATTTAAATTAAAATTTAATGTACAGTTTTTGGAGGGAAAATAGAAGAAATGCGTACAGAGAATTGCATGCCATAAAAATTGCATACGATTAATTGCATGGGATTAAATGCAGCACTTGTATGGCCTTAAGATTAAAGTTCCTTTCAGGGCTATTAAACCTGCTTCAAAATATGCACCTGTTTGGTAATTATAGGTTTTAACCACTCTTACATCATGTGTATTAGAAATTTGCCACATGAAAAAACTAGATGTACTGTGCACACTGCATGAGCTCACAAAATGAGACCCTCTCCATGTTTTGCTATGGGAGACCTCAAATATCTGTCCAATCAGAATGTAAAGTAAGAGCTGCACAAAGGCACTATGTAATATAGATTCTGTGAAAGTCTGATTACATTTTATTTGGTGATATAGAAGAAGCTGTGGATAAGAAATGGGTACTTCCAATATTATAGAAAGAATGGCACTGTCCACGTTTTGCTATGGGAAAAACCAATAACTGTACATGTACTTTTTTGCATGTGGGATTAATTTATGCTATATGCTATGCATGTGCATGGTCACAATTTTGCTGCAAAAAATTAGTCATAGTATACCAAAAGAACAGTACATGTAAGTGTACATCCCATCTAAACATAAAATACATGTAACAAAGATTTCATGAAGGTTTCATATTATGTTGCATTCAGTGGTATAAGAGGAGCTATGGATAAGGGATGGGTACTTACAAGTGTAATGAACAGACGTACATACAGTCAAACATACCACTATACCTCGCACTTTTCAAGTAAGGGGTATAAAAGGGGGCCTATAATCATTGTACAGCTTCTAATGCATATTGTGAGATGTGTTTAGATCTTAATTATTCTGAAATATGTAACAAAGAATTTGCTGGTATATATGAACATTTTCATATTATTGAACTTTATAAACCTTTACAACTTACATTTTTCTGTCAATTCTTTCTTTTCTTTCTTTGATGTTATATCAAGACTTGTAAACTTTTCTGATAACTCCTACAAAATTGAATAAATTGGTTAATGATCGATATAATGACAAAATTGTGAGACCCAATTGAAATTTTAAGTGCATGACCATTTCATCAAGTAATCAACCCTGGATTATCGTTGGATCCAATATACAGGTAAACTGCGGTATCTCGACATCGGATATGTTGACAACCTGGGATATGTCAATGTCTTTCCACGGTCCCAGCAGTATTTACTATATAAATGATTTGCAAAAACTCTGATATGTCGACCTCGGTAATGTCAACAACCTGGGATATCTCAACGTATATTCACAGTCCCAAGAGCAAAATTTACCTGGTATATATGTCAAAATCGGCATTTTTCTGCTCTACTGAACCTAACTGTTTGTCAGATAGGGTCGCTCGCCACACACGGACGACTCTGGGTATATCGATGTCGTCAAAATTTCACACCTTTCCCACCCATGTTTTGACTGCATGCTGCTTAATTAATTCTGTAGACTGTGTTTGTAAGTGAATGCAAGCCCCTCGGCGTCTTTGAGAAGTTAATTGCTTAATGTTCAGCTTGGGTAATATCATTGCTAAATCTACACGATTCTGCGTAAATGTACAGATGGTTATTTATATCAAAACCTAACATAACTTTGAAACTTGAAACATAGGTAATCAGAGATTACAGAGCTCACCTCAACGAATGTTGTCTTTAAGTAAGGCAAAGTCCCACACTAAACTAATAATCTAGGAGTGTGCATCCCTAAATGCAACATTTATGCAATTTTGATCTAATAGGGCTTGCAGTTACTTGGGAATAGACTTATCTGAAAACTTAAAACTAGTCACTCATCCAGAAAATGTAAGTCAAATCCAGCATCCGAAGCAAGTTTTGAGATTGTTCATCCCTTGATGCATCATCCATGCAAGTTTGGTTCAGATAGGCCTTATAGTTACTTGGAAATGAGATCTGCTCCAAAAACTTTAACCTGGTTACTCATCCAGAAAATATAGGTCAGATCCAGCATCCGATGCAAGTCCAGTGGTGTGAATCCTTAGATGTATCATCCATGCAAGTTTGGTCAATATAGGGTTAAACTTTATAGTTACTTGGAAATGACATCTGCTCCAAAAACTTTAACCTGGTCACTCATCCGGAAAATGTAAGTCAAATCCAGCATCCGAAGCAAGTCCAGTAGTGTGCATCCTTAGATGTATCATCCATGCAAGTTTAGTCAATATATATAGGGCTTATAGTTACTTGAGTATGACATCATCCAAAAACTTTAACCTGGTCACTCATCCCAAAAATTTAGGTCAGATCCAGCATCCAAAGCAAGTCCAGTAGTGTGCATCCTCAGATGTATCATCCATGCAAGTTTGGTCAATATAGGGCTCATAGTTACTAGGAAGTGAGACCTGCTCCAAAAACTTTAACCTGGTTACTCATCCAGAAAATATAGCTCAGATCCAGCATCTGAAGCAAGTCCAGTAGTGTACATCCTTAGATGTATCATCCATGCAAGTTTGGTCAATATAGGGTTTATAGATACTTGGAAATGACATCTGCTCCAAAAACTTTAACCTAGTCACTTATCTGGAAAATGTAGGTCACATCCAGCATCCAAAGCAAGTCCAATAGTGTACATCCTTAGATGTATCATCCATGCAAGTTTGGTCAATATAGGGTTTATAGATACTTGGAAATGACATCTGCTCCAAAAACTTTAACCTAGTCACTCATCCGGAAAATATAGCTCAGATCCAGCATCTGAAGCAAGTCCAGTAGTATACATCCTTAGATGTATCATCCATGCAAGTTTGGTCAATATAGGGTATATAGATACATGTACTTGGAAATGACATCTGCTCCAAAAACTTTAACCTGGTCACTCATCCATAAAATATAGGTCAGATCCAGCATCCGAAGCAAGTCCAGTAGTGTGCATCCTTAGATGAATCATCCATTGAAGTTTGGTCAATATAGGGCTTATAGTTACTTGGAAATAAGATCTGCTCCAAAAACTTAACCTCCTCCAAAAACTTTAACCTGCTCCAAAAACATTAACCTGGTCATTCTTCAGCTGAAATTGCAGCATCTGAAACCTTGACTGGTACAATAAAACACACTAGATGCATCCTCCATGCATCTCTGACTAATATAGGCCATAGAAGTACTTGAAAAGAAAACTGCTCCAAAAACCTTAACCTGTGACGCCGACACCAACGGTATTACATAAGCTCCCCCAACTTTGTTGACCGAATCAGCCGTAATTCATGCATCTATAGCATCACTACGTTAGTTCTCTTAAAAAAATCAATTTTAAAGTACATTCTTCCTGAATGAAATAAGAAAAAAACATTTTTTTTCGTATATCGGATGTCGAATTTATACGGTTCGAAGTTTATAGAGCGCATTTCGTATCCTGTTCTGACAAAAAGGCAAGTTACACGCGAATGCAATCGAAACTTCTCAGGCCTTTACGACAAGCGGAAAAACAACCTCGAATGTGTTACGTGGGCATCCATGACAACCCCTTTTTTCATAAACTTTGAAATAAATGTAGGGAGACCTCTTGTCTGTAGAGTTTGGAGCTAAACTTTATTGAATGTAAAGATATTACCTAGAATACACTACAGGAATGACTTCTAACTCTGTCTTTCCAACGCTTTAATAAATAGGAAGCGACTCCATCTTGTATAAATTTTCAACATCCAGTGATGTTAAAACATTCGAGGTTGATTTTCCGACCTCTGACGAAAAGGCCCGAGATGATGCGATTGACGCGAATGCTGTAACTTTGTTCTGAAACTTTGTGAATTTAGAGAGATTTCGATAAAGAACACGTTTTATAAACAAGATTTTTAAAATAACTTCGATTTTTAATAAAAAAATAGAGGGAATTCTGAAATAGGTTGAGCTACAGTCTATATTGAAGTCATGTACATATAATAAGCTTGTCTGTTTTGCTATGCAGTGAAATCTTGGACGTCAAGTTTCAACTCTGATATCAGGACACCTCTGATATCTCGACATTTTCCGATGGTCTCGTTGATGTCGAGATAACGATCGAAGTTTACCTGTAGTTCTGACCCACACGTTAAAGTTAATTTACTTCAAAAATGAGTCAAATTATTTCTCATACCTCAAACTGCTTAACATGTTGTTTCTCAATATATTTCAGCTCAGTACGCTCTGTTTCACCTTTAGAATGAAAATGAGATGCAAATCAAATAGTTACTGCATTTCATATTTGGGCCATTATAAAAATAATGTTTCTTTGCCCTCTCCCAACTCAGGTTTAAAAAAATTGGATTGGTAGGAAGACGGTCATGGAAAAAAAAATTCCCTCCAAAAATTCCAACATTTAAGCTGATTTTTCAAAATCTATTATAATGTAAGGTATTGGTCAAATTAAAATACTTGTTGATAGTATGAGAAAATTCTGGAATGAATAAAAAAAAAGTTGTATTTTTTAAGTTGCGCCATTATAGCCAGTTGGTCGGGAGAGGGCAAGCAATTTTTCAAAGATCAGGCTTTGATATTCCCTTTGCAAATGTAATTAATTAGTGGCTATTCAAGCTTTAACTATTGTCTTGTAAGCATTCCCATTTGCATTGAACAATATTTTTTAATACATATCAGTATACCTAGTACTGTAATATTATGTGCTAAAACTAAAGTCTAATAACAACATAGTATTACATTTTTGCAGTCTTTCCTCCGTACCAGCCAAGTGGTCTTTCAAAAGATTACACATTTCTCTTGTAGCATTTATTCTGAAATTGATGAAATTATGCAATACATGATGTTACATTACATTATGAATCGATATCATTTAATGATTCAGTAAAATCCATTCCAGATATTCATGCATATATTAAGTATAATTATACAGCTACATACATGTATATTAAGCTTTGAATTTTTAATTAAATTCATTTATTATGTACTTATCAAGAACAAAAAGTACTTTGGGAAATAACTGAATTCTGTCATATTGATTAAGTTTATAGAATAATTTATCAATGGCCAAGAAAGTACTCCTTTTCATGCTTACGTACCTATGAAGAATTTCCTCCCTACTGGTAATCTCTTCTTGAAGACGCAGACTGAGGCTTTCATTTTGAAGCTGTGCAGAAGAAAATATCACGTTAGAATAATGATGAAAACTTTCATATTCTATAAAAATGTACAAGTGTGCTATTATTATATTCTGATACAAACACAATTAATAAAAAGTTTAGTACCTGAAGCTCAAGAATAGATTTCCTTAAGCTTTCAATGGTGTGAGTGGATTCTTTTATTTTCTTGTCCTTCAAAAAAGACAAGAAAAATAAATTAATTTTAAAAGTATTAAGAAAGAGCAAATTCAAACATGCTCACATGTCATTTAAGCTGCCACTAAAATTAAATGGTTTGAAAAAATTGTTTAAAAGAAAAAATAAAAAAATCTTCTATTCAGTTGCATTATAGAGACAAATATTGATGATTTTTTTAGCATTTTTTAAACCTATGAAAATACTAATTTTAAAGGTCATTTGCAGCTAAATTGTAATCATTTAAGTGACAGTAAAATTACATATGATTCCATAGCCTATAAAGACAGTTTACCTTTTGCTTGATTTCGATTTCAGTTTGGACTTTCCATTTCCGAATACGGTCTGCTTCATGCTGCAATTTCACATGTAAAGAAGATATTCTCTCATTGCCTTGGGTCTGTTCTTGTTGTTGCGATATAACTTGGATTTGTTCATTCTCTGAATGCAGGAAAAAAAGCAAAATACATGTATATACATGTACTATGTTATTGAAATGCATGCAGAATATAAGTATAGAAAATTTCCTCGTATGGACTTTTCAACCTCGGACTTAGAACGCTGACCTTCACACATCGAGTGTAGGGATAGAAACTTAATTTTAGATCCACTTGCCCTTCAGGCACTGAACTAAAACTTTGACTTGTCGTGCCTGAGATATAAAACTTTGTTGATCTAAAATTTAGAAAGAACAATAACTCAATATTTATTTTTAATGGTAAAGTGAAGAATTGTGACTACGCAAAAACCCTCTTTTTATAATTATAAACCACTGTTTCCTTTCAAATACTTTTTTCCAGTAGGGTCCTTTTGCATACATATATAAATTTGTATAAATCAGTATGTATGATCCCTCCAGTGAGATGAACTAAAAATGTTGCATTTAAATACATCATACATTCCTTAGCATTCAAAAATTTCATCCCTGCCAAGCCAATTTATAATTAACTGCACAGTGGTCAGTACACTGTGCATTTCACATCCAGGCATTTAGATATATTGCTTTATTCCGACTGACAAATTAGAGGTAAAAAAGAAATAAAGAAAGGGAACTTCTCAGATAGGGTAATTGATCTCGCCAATAAAATACTAATGCAGTTGATCTTCAGTATCTCGAACACGGATATCTCAAATACCATAGATATGTCAAAGTCGATTTGAAGTCCCAACTGCTTACTCCTTCAGAATTTCACCCTGGATATCTCTAATCCTCTGTTATCTCGCAGTATTTTTCGGTCCCTTCGAGTTCAAGATAACGAGGTTTGACTGTATTTAAATCAAAGATGAAGATTATACATTGTACTCATATTCATATATATAAAATTTACATTAATTACTACCAAGTTCATTCTGAAATTCCTTACACTTTCCCAGGACATGCTGAAATCAATTTCAAAATCGGCACAAAATGTTACCAATAGAGGAGAAAAATAGTTTCAAAAACTTAGCTGAAGAAGAAATGCATAAGATTTATATATACTGTAAAAGCATAAATATTCGTTGGGGATTAAATTTTTTTTTTATTTCGTTGTTAATAATTATCAACGAAATTAAATCCCACATGAAATTTTTACATGACTAAATATTAGATAAGGTTACTTTTGAAACAATGAAATTTAATACCCACGAAACCTCTGTAGATTACAAATCAACGAAATTTTATCCCCAATAAAATTTGTGTTTCTACAGTAGGTCAGACCAAAACATCAAACATCAAGCCATAACAATAAGTTCAACAGCCTGACTTATCTAAGTGAAGATTTGAATGTTTCAATAAACCTCTCAAAGAAATTTGTAATCTTTTAATAATTAGCCTAATATAATAATTTTTGTAATCTAAATTGCTTTTAGTGTGTGTGGTATTTAAAATTTCAGTAATTCTCTGCAAGGCAAGCTTGATGACTTGTTAAATAGCCCGACCAAAGTTTTCAGTTGTCCTAGGCAAGCAGGCTACCATTTGTGTTGAACCTTGTTAATATCATGAAATATAAGATTACCTCTCACTTTACTGGTCTGAAATTGTGCTGAATTTTGTTGGAATTTCGGTCGTACTTGTATAGGGGGTGCCTGGGAAGTCTATAAAAAAAACAATCATTAAAAATTCTTACAATATTAATTACATCATCAGAACTGAAGTATATTTTAATAACACAAAATATTATCTTAATTAAATCAATTTATATAGCATGCATCTGACCTTTTAAACATACATGTATCTCTGTATCTAATAAAGAACAAATGGTTACATTTAGTGAGTGACAGTATTATTTTACCTCATAAGGATTATTTGTATTAACATTCTGTTCACTGAAGGATAACGGTTTAAAAAAGGGTTGCTGCTTTTCTCTCATCTGTTGCATTGTTGACTGCTGTGCAATGATCTTTCAGTTGATCAAGGATTTTGACTTGTGTTAAAAATATAAAACTGGAAGAAAAAATCACAGTTAAATAATGTAAACAATAGTGAGTGTGTTATCATCATGCTTAGATATCGAAATACACATGAAAGTTTCGCATTGATTGTAAATAATCATACTCACTTCCCATCGTCTGCTAATTACCTTTCGTAAGACCTCGTGTGCTGCGTCCCGAAAGTCTACAGAGCAGTCTAAAAGTAGTCAAGTGTCAGCGTTCTCACTGTGTATCATCTATTTCATAATTATTATTTTTCAAAATTTAAAACAATCTAAACTATTTTTCTTTAAATGTACATGAAATTTGAATGTCTTCAAAAACAGGTATTTCTATCAGGAAGCACTCTTCAAAACAACTAAACAAACCGTAATGGAGAAAATGTTTAGTGCAGCTCTGTAGAAAGAAGCTTCAAAGCGCCACCAAGCAGACCGGATGTGAAACATCCATGAAAATGAAAACAGAGGGTCATTGTGATTGTCGGAATCTAAAGCTACTCAATGTTATACATGTTATATGTTTTAGAATTGAAGTCTGTGTTTTTCTCTGAATCAACATAATGTCGAGTCAGATGTCTGCGATGCGATTCGCTGACTATTTTGTTGTGTGTGGCCTGGATACAACCACGGGTTTAGAACCAGATCAGTTGTCAGGTGCTTAAAAAAAATTTTCAATCCTTTGTCAGTTTTTTACAGAACTAAGATAAAAAACAAATGTTACTATCCTTCTGAAAACAAAAGAAAAAGATGTCTTTGCACCTTGTCAAAGTTACACTATACCAATTTTTTTAAATTTTGTTTCTAGTGGGCCCAGTTGAAAGTCGTAATTACTAAATTAGACGTCAAGATTATTAAGATCTTCTGTCTAGAAAGTTGATGCATGTGGTATATGGGTTGGACTGAGTTGTGTGTATATGATTTCGTTATACATTTTGTTTTCTTAGGAGATAACTTGCAGTGTCCACCACTTGACCGTCCATTTAAATCAAAAGTATTACAACACGTTCCAGACAATGTTCCGTGGAATCCTTTCGATAATGCAGCAGTAGGAATGGTATAAATATTTCCCTTCTTTTAAATGTATATAAAGTTCAGTCTAGGTGATAAGGATAAACCTTAGGAATTAATGTTTTTTATGGATTATTATCTTGTCTAGCAACTTGCATTTTTTTTACAACATTAACCATATATTTGTCTATTGATATACATGACTGTATGATAAGTTAAAATATGTTGACGGTGCGACCATTGAAGTGAGCGCAGTAACTATTACTAGATATACATACCTATTCACTTTTAACATAGATTAGCCTCTTCAAACCCGCCAGAGACATTTGGAACTTCTTAGACTGTGACGTCTCATGACGTCATATGTAACTTGTATTAACATGCATGTAACATTAAACTCTGAAAAGTGCAAATTTTAACAAAGAATGTGTAATCTACTATTTATTTGCAATATACCCATTAAATCAAGGTGAGTTTATTATTTGATGAACTTTTGTAGTTGTGAGAATGTAGTTAGCAGAGAGATGCATTTGCTTTGCATTGTGGGTCTCCAGGTTACTGCAGAAAAAAAATCATTCACATTTTAATTTTTCTCTTTGCCCAGGCGTTGCTTTAAGAGCTTGCGTAGTGTCAAGTGGCACTTTTTATTTTCCTGCCCTAAGCACAGAGGTTATGATTTGAACAAATTTGAATCTACACTACCTGAGGATGCTTTATTTATAAATATGACTTTTGAATATCACAGTTTGTCGCTCTGCGCTTGCTATTAATCATGATTTCTATCTCCATATGATCTAAGCCATGTTGAAGTCATTAGGCCAAATAAAAAAATATGTGTGGTTCCGGTTACCCGACCTTCCCTATTTTATACCCCCGACCCTAAACTTTTTTTTTGGTAATTTTCATATTTTTTCCGAAATTTTCCCCGATTTCCATCAATGGCTCCAGTTTAAGTTTTAGTTTCAGCAATGACGGCCTCCTTGCAAAACATAGTGCTAGTATTTAATAATGTTAAATCCAAAGCAAGCTAGCATGTAGGTGTCCCCTACCAATATTGACCAATATATTATCACACCACATCTAAGTGCCATTTGAAAAGCAGTGATAGGTATTATTTAGAAAAATTAAGAAAATCATTTTGTTTAAAAAAAAAAAAAAAAAAAAAAGAATTCTCTACCTACCTACCCTAATTTTTTTGGAAGTGTAACCGGAACCACACATATTTTTTTGTTTGGCCTTAGTCACAAAGTATGATATTGTAACGAAGTGATGACTGAATTTAAGCTGTTGTTTTTCAGCTTTGCATGCCACAAGGCCTCGGTTTTTGCACTCAGAGAGAATCAAAACGAGCAAAATTTCACTCATTCTTGATAACTAAAGAAGATGGATCTCGAGTATTTGGATCAGCCTTGACCTTTTATGAAGAGGTCAGGGACAGAAAGATATGTGCTGCCATGCAGACCCTTCAACACATGTATCGAGCACAACCAGAAGAAGAAGTTGAGGATGAGAACCAGCCAACTCTACAACTACGGCACAGTCCAAAAGTCACTAAACGATCTAGTCCCAGACAGAGCATCAAAGTCTTTGATTCACAAACTGACACGCTTTTTGTAACCAAGTGTCTTTGTCTCATCACCCAGTATCCATTTGTTACAGCCCCAAGGGAATATCTAAAACAGCTATATGAAGCAATAGAGAAACCGTCTAAGTCACATCTGCCATTGGAGAGTTATATTTATAACATTCTCTCTGAGGTCCCTCTTCCACCCCCAGGGCGGAGCATGAAGTTTTATGGTGTCTCAAGAGCTGTGTTTACCCAGAGACCAAGTAAGTACTAAACAGATTTTCAAAAAACTGCTGGCTAACCATATAACATCACAAGATTTTGTTTTGTATGTGATTATAAAGAAATAAAATTAATAATACCTAATACAAAAGAATCTGATAATATTAAGATTTTGTATTGTGTAATAGTCTATCTAGAATGTCTTTTTAACTCAGTCACTTACAACATGTACAATGTATCCTCGGAATGCATTTTAAGTTGTATATTATTAAATTAAGATCACACTTGATACAGATTCTGTTGGAATTACCCTTGACTAAAAAAAATTATCTTGCTCGTAAGCAATAACTCTATTGTTCCCATATTTGTACAGTTTCTATTACAACAATTACAAATGGTATGACTTATTATTTACTATAGGTATATTTAGATTATTGGTTAAGGCTTAATACTTCCAAATTAACATAATAGATTTTAACATTCAGCTGGGAATGGTTTTATAAGCTGGCTACATGTATATTGTAATGGCTCATAAGTGTGTGGGATATGTCTTTAGAAGCATAGTAACTTTTAATAGAAAGTGCCCCTAGAAATTGGCCAATTGCTTAAAAGTAGTAACACTCAAAGACGGATCTGTCATTGAAATTCCTTTGATGTCAGATTTTGATGATGAGTGCCATCTTCTAAACAAAAAATCCACAATGTAAATTTATGTAGTATTTTGTGTTAGCAAAAGTTCAATTCATCCTCAACTTTTCTTTGTTCATTTCTTTATTTGAAATTACCAAAATTAGTATAGCAGCAAATATAAATAAAAATGTACATTAATTAAACACTTCTTGTTTAATATCTCTCCTAAATTTCCTTGCAAATTTTCCCATTTAATATTTTTGACAAAGCAATCTTTATTTTGGTATATTGTGTAAACACGGTAAAGTGCATATATAACTTACAGTGGGGAAATTGTTTTTTTTTTTTTTCACAGCTTATTGAGATTTTCTTGTAACTGGTATTTGCTGCAAAGTTCAATTGTTTGCTATTATATATGTCACATATCTTGCATTCTGTTATGTTCACTAACCTTAATTAATACTTATTTCTAACAAGTGGACTGGAGGGAGGTAAAAGGTAATGCAGGCTGTTGTATTTATATTGGTGTTTGATTTACCTCCCTTTTACAACTGATCATGGATAGGGATACTCATTTATATAATTATAATGAATGAAGTGCATGCCTTAAAGGAGTGTAATGAGTGCTAGCAATCCTCTACGTATACAAAGGTGCTTAAAGGCTTTTAATGTATATTTGAAGGTAGTGGTTTACAAATCTATAGACACATACATCATGTACATGTACATATATGTACATGTGTGTGTGTTTATCTTTGGGGTAAATTTTATCCTTTCTCTAAGTTTTGTATGAATTATTTTACATTTTAGTTGAACATATATGTGTATCTCTGTTGTGAAACTTTTTTTATATCTAATGATTATAGTCATTCAATTTCATTGTTGAGAAGAAAAAAAACTGCGGCCAGAATAATATACATTGTATACCATGTATACAAATTTTGTTGATTTGATAGCAAATGCAAGCTTTGTTTGACTTGTATTTTCATAAGAAATTTCATTTTAAAGTTTGATTAAATATTTCTTATTCTGTAATATTACATAAAATATCTATGTAATGAATCTGTAGTATGATATACAATGTATTAAATTATTTCATTGAGCAAGTTCCATTTTTTATCCCTTCAGAAAAAAAAATACATGATTTAAAACTACTGATATTATAAGTGTAGTTTTCATGTGCTTTCACTCAATCCTACATACCACTTTTTTGCAAAATATTCAAATAAGACAGGAAGACCATTTATCCTACAGTACAAATTCACTGTGATAAAGTTGATCTTTCACTGATTTGATTTGCAGGTGTGAGTGAGCTCCCTTTGTTTGACTTCTCTCTGTGGGACCTGTGTCGATACCTAGAGGTTAAAGATCTCATTCTTCTTTTTACCAGCGTCCTCCTAGAACATCAAATTCTTCTGTATTCATCTGGTAAGTCCATTTTACTGATCAACCTATTCATACAGGATATATTATAATCTTTTGATGTAGGTGAGTACAGTCTTTGAATGACATGCAGACTACTCAATTTTTTTTAATAAAAATAAATTAAATCCCTTATAAAAATAAAATAAAACCCTTGTAACCCATTATGAATCGGTCATAATATTTATTCTCAAAAGTACCAAAGGAAATTTTAAGAAAAAAAGATAAAGATAAAAAGTTTTCGAGAATAATTTTCAAGTTGTTTTCATAATATTTGTACCTATTGCATTCGTGTATCACACTGTCACAGTTGCATAATAAAATTATATTTTAATTGATAAACTTTCCTCCCATTACAAGACTTGAGTTGTATGTTTTCAGTAATTTATTTCTCATAAATACATGTATGTTTATCTTATTATACAAAAATGTGTTTATATTTGTTTCATTATGAGATTTGAACAACAGTATAAATGTAATTTGCCTTTATTGTAGACTATCATAGACTTATGACAGTGGCAGAGTGTATCAATGTATTGACCTTCCCATTCACCTGGCAACATGTCTATGTCCCTATATTGCCTGCCTCTCTGACTCACTTTTTGGATGCCCCTGTACCATTCATCATGGGATTACATCATGGCAGAGAAAAGAGATCAGAGCTTGCTCTGCCAAGTGAGGTAAACTAAAAGGACATTTTATCAGTTTTTGTAAGTGTTAAGTGTATGGAATTTTGGTAAGCTCGGTAGCCAGGCACTATATTAACATAGCTGACTAACCCTGACTTTGTATTGCAACTCTAAAAAAAAATTAGTTCCTGGCTACTCCATTTCTGATGAAATCTAACAGACATATGAAGCCTTTGAAATTTTTTCTGATGTGCATTTAAATGGAGCCTAAACTAGGTATAATTGTGAAAATATTTATTAAAGGATATTTATTTAGAGTAACTGGAATGTTTTACATACAAATGTAACAAGAATATGCTTGAAGTGTAACAATGAATGCCGTCCTTTGATTTTACAGGCTAATATGTGTTTTGTGGACATTGATGAGAAGACTGTAGATGTACCAGAAGATTTACCTCCCTTTCCACACCACCAGGAACTGAAAGAGGAACTTGTAAGGGCAATCAATCTGTACAAAGTTTCTCTGGGTAGAGATAGCAGCAAAACCCCCAGTCCCAAAAAGACTAGCAGCAACAAAGAGGAAACCTCCATATCCCGCAACGAAAGCTGGGCTGACATGCCAGAAAAGATGGAAATTTTAAAACAGAGTGAAGCATTTGCAAAAATATCAGCCATTGCAAAGAAAACTGGTGTGTGGACTTCCATCGAAGAATTTTCTGACAAGTCCGAAAAAGAAAAAGATGTAGAAGTGAAAGATTCCTCTTCTATGGGTCAGAGACAGATCGACCATTTGAAGTTCAACAACATGATTCGAGAGATATTTCTCAATCATTTCCTTCATTTATTTAGCTCATATGAGAAATTTGTCATCCAACCAACTCAAGACATGGACTCATGGCTGACAAACCGAGAAACCATGCAGAATTTTGATAAGGCTGCCTTCTTAAGTGACCAGCCAGAGGGTTACCTCCCTTTTATGTCCTCGTTTACGGAGACCCAGATGTTTGCCACACTCATAGATAACAAGATTTTATCTCACTTTGAGGAGACGGAGCCAGGCTTACGAGTGTTTGATTCAAGGTTAAAGATCCTCAGGGAAAGACTAGGAGAGCACATAACGCACACATATGGTCCTTGTACTACAGTTGAAGATACAGGTTTGTACATAATAACATTGGGTAAAGTATTTGTAAATTGCATTTTATTTGTGAGAACTTTTTTTTTCTAAATTGAAAAAATTGTTCAAACGGAACATAAAGTTCTTGTGAATTAGGATATGAATAAATGTAAGAAGTTACACAAATTGTACAAAGGAATCTTGTAATTTCCATGTATATTTTGTGAATAAATGCGTCCATGTACAACAGTTTCAGGAAAATGAAGTTTTGAGAAATACATCTACATGAATATGTGATCAAAAGTATTCAATTTTAAATTTATTTATCATATGTGTGAATATGACAATAATAGTACTTCTTGTTCTGTAGCAGGAAAATCCTGTCTGCATTTCTGTTTTATGGTAAAACATTGTACTGGTAGTTCAGAAATCTGTTCTTTTTTTTAAATGATAGTCATTAGAAAGTATTGAATAATTTTGTATTTTTTAAATATTTAATAATGTTGTAGAAAACATGCTGGAGAAGAGAGTGGTATACATCGATGTTGTCTCCCCGAAGCCTCACACCCTGGAAAACCTCACTAGTCCAGCCACCATTGAAATGGGGTTCTTCCCCGAGATTCAAAAAGATGTCATGAATGTCCAGATAAGTCAACAGTCGTAAGTTTTATAAGCTACTATGGTGTCAACACTAACAGAATGAGAGATGGTCTTTCTGTTTAAAAATTTCTCTCAGCCTTTATGGTAAATGTGTAGGTTGTTTGAAAGTTTGTCATGGTTCTCTTACAGATTCCCTTGAAAATTATGAAAGAATGTTTTAAAATTGTCTTGAATTTTCATGTGTATGAACTGTCCATTCACTCCTGTAACAAATTTTAAAATTTGTTATGAAAATGTTTAAATTTATCCAAATAGGATGAACAGCAGGCATGGGATGCTTATAATTATTCCAAATTTTGAATTTAAATACATTTGCTTTATTAATATTTTTCAGAATAAAAAGAGAAGGTGCCATGTTGAGAAAAAGGGACAAAGCTTTTCAACATTCTGAACACATACAGCTGACCTCGGAACAGAGAGAGGTAAATGGTTGAAGATAAGAATGTTTAGAACATTATTTATTATCAATTATTAAATTAATTAAACTATCACTCTATGGGCAACTTAATTATTTAGTTTTCTTCTTCTATACTTACATGTATATGTTACAGAAGTACATCCAAGATGCCAGACTGAAGCATGTAAGACAGCCCAAACTAACAGACATGTCCGGTGCTGGAATGATGCAGACAAACTGGAAATTTGTTGAGACACTGCTCCAGGAAATCAAAAACAAGGTAAATTTTAACTTTAGATGGTGGTGTAAGAAGATAAATCTGAATGGTGATATCATCATTGAAGATGATTTAGACATTTTCTGTCAAAGCCATTTTAGTTTTGACTTGGGTGTAAATATCGGTAGATAAATCTAAACTTTGATATCATCACAAAAGATGAATTGCTAAGGCCTTTATTCTTTCGTGCATTTTCTCCTTTGAAATAAAAAAAAGGAACTGTTAATTTAGTGAGTAATTGTCCAATCTTCTTATACAGTTGAACTGTGGTATCTTGAACACAGATATCTTGAATACCATGGATATGTCGAAGTAAATTTGAAGTCCCAACTGCTTATTCCTTAAGTATTTTACCCTTGATATCTTGAATCATTGGTTATCTCGAAGTATTTTCTCTGTCCCTTTGAGTTCGAGATGATAAAGTTTCACTGTACTTGGATGGATATGTACATGAAAACCTTAATAGTTCCAGTGTTTGTATTAAATTAATATACTGGGTATACAATCTTACCATTGTAAGTATCTGTTTTCCCTTCACACAGACAAAGCGTATGCTGGTGGAGAAAATGGGACATGAAGCAATAGAATTGGGTCACGGGGATGCCAACATTAATGGTGTGGAGGAGAACACCATGATTGCTAGTCTTTGTGATATGTTGGAGAGAATCTGGTCTCATGGCCTGCAGTCAAAAAAGGTACTGACATTGAAAAGTGTTGGAGGCACTGTAGAGTTTGAACATGGAAAAATATGAACACTGAAGCTTGTATTCATTGCATTAAAAGCAAATTGGATATTAATCTGTTTATTGATTAAAAGTAGTCGAACATACATGTATGCTTAAATTTGTATTTTAAAAGAAAAAGAACTCCTCTTTAATGATTTAGAAGCATTAAGTTTTTAAACCATCAATATCTTGAAATCTTTGCAAGAATGTTGTATTTTAATATCATCTGTTGCATGATAAAACAGAGCTCAGATATATATATGACCATGAAATTGCAAGTCACACGAAGATTTCACAATTGTTTTCAGGGAAAATCTGCACTTTGGTCACACCTGTTAAGTTACCTAGAACTCCAAGACTGTAACTATGGAAACCAGTGCCTGGACAGCAATAGATTGGCACCACCAGGTAATTCTATAGACATCTGTACATTCATAAGATCAGACATTTATCTTGTTGTTGAAATACATGTAAGTGCCTTACCCTAATTGCCTAAGTATATACTATTCAAAAAAAGTGTTTCAATTAAAGGGTTTCTGTTAAATCATGTTTTAATCAAATTATTAAGGAAACTGATTTTATGTTTTAGTCCCACGTATACCTATACGTAAGAGAACAAGAGTAGACTTAACGTCCATTAGGTCGTTGTACTTTTGTCTGTGCAGCAGTAAGTAACAGTTTAAGGATTGTACAAATTTTTTTTGTGTTACTGCTGCAGTCTTGCCAATTCTTTTGACTTTTCAAATGTTTATTTCCGTGATATTCAGTTCCTCATTGTATTTTTCCAATACAGGTACAAATCTTTTTTCCCCATTAAGTCATCATGCAATTTTCCAGTCTTACAAAGCTCAAAAATGGAAGGTCTTTCTAATGTTTCTTTCTAAACAAACGGAAAAATTACCTTAATTAAGATATTGGCACATGTTTAACACTGATTTTGTGCAAATATTGCATGCAGCTATTTTACGCATTATTGTTTGGATTTACATATTCTCGCTACTTTGGCTAGTTTTCTCAAAATGATTTCACATTATTAATTTATGGAGATACGTGCAAGTCAGTCTTGTAACCAAAAGTGAAAAAAATGTGAAAAAACCTGTGATTAGTTACCATTCAAAAGAGGTGTTTTCCATTAAGAACTGCACGGTGATTTTAGAAATCTGAAATTCAATTCTGTGCATATTCTTTTTTCTGTGAATGCATGTGGTGTGAATTACCAAGTGCTCTTAGTTGCAACTTCAATCAAAATTCATATACGTGTAGTTTACGTACATTTTCATATGAAACTCGTCAGTTTTGCTATTATTTAAGACTATTAGAAATAGATAATGTAATATTTTAAAAAAAAAAGAAAACTATGAGTAAGTAGGGTATATTTTGTTCTAATAAGAAAGTTGATGATACATGTATGTATTTAAGCCTAGACAAGCCTTTGCAGTTTGATGATTCAGAATTTATTGTGCATGATAAGCATAATGATGATTTTTATTTTATTATTGTATTTTCACTGTAAAATAGAGCATTGGAATCAGACATCAAGTATGTTATCATTTTTCCCCCTTTTCAGCACATTATATATTCAGACACTTAGATCCACCCCTATTTCTTTATTGTTTCCTTTTCTTCTTCTGTTTCCAAGGACTATGTTTATACTTTGGTTTTGAATGCCATAGCTTAGCTACATGTATAAGGAGTAGAAAATGTTTTTTCTCCCCCTTTAGGTATGCAAGTACTAATGTGATGAAAAGGTTGGACAGAATGCCATCATTAGCACTTGGTTATTAAATTAGATTTATTTAAGATACCAATTACTCATTAAGTTTTTGGTACAACTATATCAGAATTAAGACACCATGTTAAATATTAGAATCAAGAATGTTGTTTTTCTGAAAGAAGGCCTACTTATTTGTAACATTTGTTGTCACATATATTTCTGTGGACAAAATGAGTGAGTTAGGAATAATTTTTCTTCAGCATGTTCAAGAAAATACTCCTAAAAATTTGACTTTTTAAAAGTATATTTTGCATTTTGAAATTCTTCTCAACTTGTTGAGCACTGATAAGGTGTTAAAACAAAGACTTTTTATAGCTTATTTCTACATGTAACTACAATGAGACTATATGTACTTTTTATTGATTGTATTGAGACAGACAACTTTTAAATAGCCCTATTTGTACAGCTAAATGCAATGAGAATTCTATTCATTGAATGCACTTTGAAATTTTTAATTTTTATCAATTTTATTTTAGAGGAATGAAATATTTTATTTACTTTGATTCCAGGAAAAACTGCATGCACTTCTTTATTCTGATTTATATGTGTTCTGATATACATGTACTTATATAAATATATCAGATAAACATGTAACTAATATATTTTCAATTTTTCATAAGTTTTTCCTATTTCATTTGGTTACAGTAAATATGTTGCACTTGTTATTTGAATTTTCTTTCTGAAGCAGATGTTGTTGTAAGTTTTTTTTTTTTTTTTTTAATGAAGAGTGTTACATGTCATAATTAAAATTACACAACTACGTGTAGTGATTAAAGAAGGAAGAAATGCAATTTTTTTTCAGACACTAAGATGAATTAATATTCAATTAATGATGTTGATTAAAGAGTTTAAGAATTTATATTAAAATCATTTTATTTCTTGAAGTGGAATTTAAGAAAGAAACATCTAATATAAGATTTATATGATAAGAAAAATGCAAATCTTTTAATCAATCAAATGAATTCCACAACATTGTTGCTGTATCATGTGTTTCACAAAGTTTTGGAGTCTTACAGTAATGAGTTCATTTATTTCTATAATCTAACATGATTTGCTTTTTGTTAGATCTCACTATGATGTCCCTGAGTCCAGAAGGCATACAGGACCAGCCTAGTCATGTAAAGACACATCGTCGTAAAGGAAGCACGGGGAGGATAGAGTTACCAACACTCAATCCATTACCAAACTCTCTGGCTTATGACATGAGGTACAAGTTCATTAATAGTAAAACACGCTTAAAGCTAAGTGGCAGGGATGATCAATTTTGAAAATGATTTGTTTTTAATTCAGTTCACTCTATCTGATAAGTTTATTATATGTTTTAAAAATACAGTGAATGAAAATTTATTTTTTTGCTGTAAGCATGAATTCATTATAAGTGTGTTCAGTGTAAGTGAGTTTTACTGTACTAGGAGAAATATACTGTTTTGAAATGAACGTAATACCTGAATCAGTATATTTTGATCAAATACATGTATGTTTATAAATTCATGCACTGACTTACATTCTGTGAAGCTTAAATCTTGACCATTTTCCAAAATATTCATATTCTGGTATATTATTTAAATAAATTTATTATAAACTAAGACTTCAAAGCAAATATTAAAAAGGAGAACATCGAATATTTTTAATTTGTGGTTCCTAGTAAAGTTCATACATGGTAATTGTTTCAGAAAAGTCCAACAAATGGTGGATATCCGAACAGATGTTGGACATGCTCGAGCTTGGGTCAGACTTGCTCTTGAGAAAAAGATGCTGGCATCTCATCTCAGAGAGCTTTTATCTGATGCAGATTTACTCAGGTATTTAATAAATAACTGGAACTTTTGCATAATGTTGTGAAATTCCTACTTCATGTCTATGTTTCCTGCAGCATGGACCAAAAAAAGTGCATATATTTCCGAAATGTTATAATGAAGTCTTCTTGAAGGAAAAGCTCTTGAGAATATGCTTTGTATGCATGTTTATATACATGTTCCAGCATTATACCACATGCAGCGGTTTGTACCCGTCTTTGAATACAGTTTACGTATTTGGCCTTTAACTGTAAAGGTGCCTCCTTATGATTTTACAGGAACTTGTACAAGAGGTATGCCTTCCTGAGATGTGAGGATGAAAGAGAACAGTTTTTGTTTCATCTTCTTTCTCTGAATGCTGTAGATTACTTCTCATATACCAATTCTTTTCTCAACACAGGTATTCAGTTTACTTAAGTTGTTCTGAAATTTATAGATTAAAAATATAAGACAGAATTTTCAGACCAGTTAAGACAATCAGTTGTGAATAGCGTATTTAAAACATGAAACTAAAATAATTGGATCAATTTTGGTTAAAAGGAATTTCTTGTACTGATGTTAAAACTTCAATTTTATTCCATTTAGTTAAGTTTTGGTATTTAAAATCATAAAAGGTGAAAGGCTCAGGTATCAATTTAGCTACTTGTAGTTTTCAAATTTGATGTTAAGTTTTACATTGATAATGTTTTTCTTTGCAGTTGTGCCATACAAAGTGCTAATCTTTCCTAGTCCTAAATTTGGTTGTTCTACTACCAGTGCTAATCCATGGATCAGCTTTGCTGGCCAGCACGGAGAGACAGGGGTTGTAGAAATCCCAAAAGGTTGTCTGGAGTTTAATGTGGAGGTAAGGGAAAAAGAGGAAATATTTAAAATTAATGTAATCCAGATTTATAGATTTCCATCTTTGTCAAAGATAAGCAAAACGATTTTAAAAAAAAAATTATTCTGTTGATTATACAAACTAACAAGGCTTCACACGTTGTGTGGGTATTATTTATATCACATTAAAATATTTTGAAAAAATAGATTTGAGAAATTTTATTTGTAGGTACATGTGAATATACATGTACTTTCACTTAATTATTTATTCATTCCTTTCATAAATAGCATAAGAACTTAGGGATATTGACAACTCTCCGTATTGGACATGACAACTCTGGTCTCACCCCACGCTGGCTTGTGGAATATGTTCTAGTCAGAAATGAGTTAACAGGGCATCTCTATAAGTAAGAATATTTTAAATATTGGCTGCCTGTTTATTTTAAAACAATTTATTCAGTTTGGTTATTAGTTCCATTGTTAACTTTTTATCAACAAAGTCTTTCAAATCAGAAATTCTGTTTTTATTAATTTAAAATTTACATATTAACCAGGACTAAAGTATTTAAATGTACAATCATCTCATAAAAACGGATTTATCATAATTTCAGATTCCAGTGTGGAAGATGGCTGGGTAAAATGGTGGATGATGGCAGTACAGAAAGGTTATTAGTGGCCCAGCTTCTTCCTCAACACTCAGATACTTATGGTAAACAAACTCTTATTAGCTTACTCTATCGTGTTTGCTATACATGATTTTCTACAAAAAGCCCTCAGTAAAAAGATGAAGCTTTGTCCAGATGGGGGTCTAAATACATATGTCCTATGTGAATATTAACCAGGTCATATACTTTAAATAAGGGGAACTACAAAGGTTTTAAAGAACATTTTCCCAAATTTATGAAATATTGCTTATACATAACTCTGGCTTATTTTTATACATGTATTTACATAAGAAAAAGTCATTGCTTTATTTGAACAAGATAATAGAAAATTGGGGTATCTCTTTCTCCAGATTTAGATTTAGCAGTTGCTTCTTCACCTACAAATAAAGGAATTTCTCCTAATTCACCCAAGAGGTCACCTGATCAAGGTACATTTAAATCTCTATTTCTTTCAGTTAAAATCATCAACATTTTCCCAAAAATTATGCAGAAGATTATTTCAGTAAAAATAGATACATGTATGATATTTAACATGTACTAGGGCAAAAGCAACTGTTTGAATTTTTTTTTATCTGAAATCTTATTTTGTCTAGGATCCTTAAGAATTCCAGAAATTCAGGAGAGACTCGGGCATGCTGTCAATAATCTAGTCAAACACTTCTATAAACCAGAGAAAGAGGTCTGTATTCCTTACAGTTAGTCAAGTTTTTCAGAGTAGGCCAAAAATCAAGTGCCATTCCACTTATGATAAAATATTTTGGAATTTTTGACAGATTTTGTTTTAAAGGGGGATAACTCCAAAAAGCAACATAATTATCTATACAATGTTTAATTCATTTTATTTAATTGTATTTCAATATGTATAAAAATCTTTTATATGAAAGCTAAGGTATATAGTCAAATAAAATGTCATCTTATTGGCAGAGAGGGAATTTAACTTACTTATTGTGTGGGGACCAGGGCCTGGTTCATTGTTTGGAGTTGGTGTTCCAGTATGGATTCAGGTCATCAAGACTCTTTAGAAACAAGTTCTTCATCTGGGACTACCTTGGTTAGTATAAATGTTAATTCATATATACGTGTTTACATTGAAATTTACATTTAATTCATTTATACATGTTTATATTGAAAATGTCAGAATAAGTAGAGGTGCAAATTTTCCTCTCTCTCTCTCTGTGTCCACATGTATTCATCTTTGATTAATAGTTTTCTTGTTGAAAAATTTTCTATTATAATTATTATTTAAATAACATTGAGTTAAAGAAATGGCCTTAAAAATATTATTCTGAAACATAACTGTTCTTTTTTATTTTTTTTTTTTTCTGTATTCACTTTGATCATGAAATTATAATGTTTAATTGAAAGCCTTTTCACCATATCTTTGTGAATGCACTTCCAAAGAAGAAAGTTGTTTTTTTTATTTTCTTAAAAAAAAGACATAGCCTGTATATACAGTCCCTGAAACGTTCTACTTTCCCACTTGAACGGTGAACGGTGAGCGAACGCAGAACGCGAACGGAGTGCGAACGCGAGCGCAAAGTGAACAGTGAACGCAAGATGAACGATTTATTCGGAATGCCTCTGATCTTTTCCATGCATTGTATCTATTCTATTGTATTCTAATGTAAGGCGGAAAATAAATAAATATTCTAATATTGTCCTAAGAAAGACGAAACATGCACATTTAGTAAAACTATTAATTAAGTTTCTTACAATATTTTCTGCACATATGTATGATGTTTGAATTCAGCTGTTTAATCACACGATTTTTATCGCTGTAAAACATTGTCATTGTTACCGAACACTGTAGTTTAAAAGATAGAATTATTCTAGTTGTAAAATAGATATGTTTATTCTTATTTGATATATAAAACCATTACAAATAATGATTTTCGAAGAGTACATTACTGACTTATAGAATGAATTACAACGGTTGTAACAACCATACATGTATTTCCGTATCAAGGCAATTCCGTGTAAAATAATGAGGAAAAAAAAAAAAATATTTTGCTAGTTTGTGGACGTATTGCATGTATACACTCGTATTTAAAAAATTTAGTGCAATAATATATTTATATGTGTCTTTTCATTTTTTAAATGATGATTTATTCAGCAGACTTCTACATGTATCTATATAGACAATTCCCCGTGATTATACTCGGACAAGGTGATACAAAGAAGCATTCATATTATTTGTTATAGATTAAAATTTCAGAACTTGGTATTTAAATAATACGCGTCATAGTTTTGATTAAACGGACAAATGAGAGAGAGAGATTCCGTTTTAGCCCCCTTTCCACAAATACATGTACATGTACCTGTATAAACAAAAATTCTTAATTTTTACTAACTTTTTAAGGCTTTAGTCCAGCCGGACTAGTGCTTCATTACTTTTACTAGTCCGCACGCGATTTTATTAGTCCGTCAAAAAAAAGAAAGAAATATCAATGTTTTTTAACATTAATTTAACGTGACAATTAATATACGTATTATTTTTTTTAAATAAAGTATTTACGTGAAATACATTATTCCACAGATTCATTGAAATCTCGCAATCAGCGAGTACGATCGTATTCCCGATCTCGTATTTTTTTTTTCTTGTCTCTACATTACATCCAAAACGTCCAACATCTTTCTTAAAAGTGTCATACTAAATCATGATCGCTAAAACCTTATACTTCATATCGATCAGTGGAAAATTAAGCGCTGAATTGACCCATCATTGCGTAACTACCCGCCAAAAGCTAGAAATCTAAAAAAAAATACACGCGGGGTTTTCCAGTAAAAGTTGTCGAGAATCGGACATCGGTAATTCATTCATATTGTTTTTCAGAAATTTTTATTGGTCCGTTCGGACTAATTAGCCACATATTTTATTAGTCCGAATGAAAATGTATTAGTCTGAGACTAACGGACTAACTTTAGTGTCGAACCCTGATATCAGGCAGTGAAAGTAACCTTTTTTATTTATCAACAGATTCACTTTGTTTGACAGTCATTGTTGGTTTTTATTTCCCTGCTTCAAGTTCACACGAAGTCCACATGTTTTTCCTGTCAATCAAAATCATTCGACACTGTGCAGGTGTGAAAGTTTCGTCACACCAAACGCGAAGTGCTACACTGTAGTATTTCCAAGAAGTTTTACATGTTTTATCATTTCTAGATCTGATTCCAATTTTCCAATAAATAAATAAATAAAATACATTGGGCATAAACACTTCGAATGAATCTGAAACATAATCCCTGGCCAATTTAAAGTACCACCGTCGTCGGCGCGTGTATATTTTGAACTACTAAATATTGTTTAATGCCTTTTTTTAGATGCATGTTTGTTCTGAGACTGAAATGTTTGTGCTACAAAACGCTTTAACTCTTTTTTAAATATTAATTTAAAATATACTGGAAATACTGACTAAGTAACCGATCTACGTGGGAAAAAAAAGGGGGGGGGGGTCTTAATCATATTGAATGGCAAACATAAAGTTATTGTGAAGAAAGGAATTATTTCTCTCTAACAGTAGAATTTATATATGAATTGTAGTATATTACATTTAAATAAATATTTTTTAACCACACTCAATTTAATTCGCTCCAAAGATATTTAATTAACTGGATATCCGCAGTACTATTTATCAGTCTAGACGAACTCCAAAAACAGCGTGAACTCCGAAAATGAAGTTTTTGGCTCCATCATGCATTGCGACAAAATGGCGTCCGATGTAAACAAACGATGGATTGTCGTTCGCTTTCTCCAAATATACGGCTGCATAATGGTGTATTTAGTGCATTATTACTTCATTTTATTTTTTGTTGAATGGATAATCGCATTTATTAAATTATTTTGTGAATATTGACTTATTTATCGCTTCAAACTCTTGCATAATAGTGAATTGGATATACGACATCGAAATCAATACTGCCGGTAAGAAATATTTTCGTATTTAATTTATTGTGTTCTTGATTTAAATTTTATGTCGATCCTACAATAAGGGTGCTTTTATTTGTTTTTGAAGACACCCAACTTGTATTTATTATATTCAGAAAATGCGCATTTTTCACCACGGAGCAAAGATATTAAGTTCATTTTTAGAAGACATGTTGTGCCCTTAATATCTAGAAGAGTGGTTTTTAAAGTCTTCATATTAACAGATAATAGGTTTAAAAATGTTTTCATAATAATATCTGTTCGTATGTGATAAAAGAATCGGTAAATAACGATGGTAAAAACTTAAGCGTTCAATTCAGATGTCGTACACAAATTACAAACCGGAATGCTAATTTATGTGCAAAATTCAGTCAGGTTTTTAACAGTTACAATATATATTGTCCCATTTTGCATATATATCCCTATTATTATGCATATTTACTCCTCAAAACGTATCATTTTCTCTGTAATTGATCTGACATGAAACGTTAACTTTGAAAGTAAATATCTCCTTTTTTGCAAATAAAATCAAAAATCTGACAAATACGATCTCTTCCAAAGTCTTTTATTTAGCATTTCTGAGTACTGGTATAATTGCCATACTTTCCAAAACTTTGCACGGACAGTTTTTGTAGACCCATCATTTTTGCTGAAAAATCGCCATTTTTTGTGTGTGCGCGCATGCGCGGACTCTATTTTCGGAGTCTTTTTCAGTCTCAATTTCTTACTTCCGGAAACGCTGTTTTTGGAGTTCGTCTAGACTGTTTATAATTCTCAGAACTAGTTCTAATAATGTATTTCTATAATAATCGGAAAAAAACGTGTTAGTAATAAATACTTTCTAATTTTCCTGCAGTTGCTAAATTAATTGACATGGATTTTTATCTCTCCATCAACATGTCGTCTTTAACATAACAACAAAATGTTGCAGTGTTTGAAGTACCCGTATATTGCCCGTATTTAAATTTAATTTTTCAACATCGTTCTACATAGGTACATACTTATAACAGCATTTATTTTCCAGAGTAATTAAAATAATAACCTAATAGCTAAGTTAGAATAATGATGAAACATATTGTAGATAATTTATTCCAATAAAATAATGATCCTTTAAACACGATGTGAATTACTAAATTTCAAATCCCGTAAATCCTTACTTACAAAAAAGATAAGTCCTTTCACTTCGGAGTTCCGAATGACAGTGAAGACTGAACGATAAGTGAACGCTGAACGCAAGGTGAACACAAAGTGAACGAACGGAGAGCGAACGGTGAACGCTTTGTGAACGGTGAACGCGAGCGCACGTTGAATGCAGAACGCAAAACTGTGAACGGAGAGCGAACGGTGAACGCACGGTGAACGAACGGTGAACGCACGCTGAACGAACGGTGAACGAACAGTGAGCGAACGGAAAAATGGGAAAGTAGAACGTTTCAGGGACTGTATATGTATAATAATTAAAAACTTTATATATACATGTGTATATATATAGAACTTATATGACTTCGAACAAATATTAAAATATGATGCTTGAAGAAGTTCTGACTCGTTAACAATTATGTTGTATTTGTATCATTACAATGACATTGTGATTTCAGAAAAGGTAAAGCAGCATTTTGAGAGTGTCCTGACCGGTGAAGTCCGACAAGCCATCACAGACGGAGCTAAAGCAGGCTACTGGATTTACTGTAACTTCCTCAGTAAAATCAACAATGCCACAGAGTCTGTAGGCAAGGACGGAAAATTTCAGATATTTGTCTGTGTCGGTATAAGGTAAGTTTCAGACATACAGTTTACATGTACACATTAAGAACGGAATTAAATATCACACAGTGGAAGTACTCTCACTTATCAACCTGGACTCATTGCCTAGATGTACATGTATAATGGGTGTGGGTTCAAGTGTACACTAGTGGCCTACTTAGCAGGCATTTTCCTTTGGTACTTCGGCTTCCTTCCTCAAAATAACCTCTCATTTTAACATCTGTACAAATACTACTAATGCAAAGACAAATTGTGAACTAGCTCTGCATGTGATGTTTGATAATTAATTATATATATATCTTTTTATCAAATTAAATTAAACTGTCATTTATATTCTCTGTAACTTTGAATATTTGAATTCATTCCAATCATGTGGGGTTTGCATAATCAAATAAAAGTTTGAAAAAAAATGATTTATCACTGTTTCTATTGGGAAATATTAATGATATGGAAATATGCATACATGAATTCTTGTTTTGGAGTAGTCACTTTTCAGAAGCTCGTTTTGACAAAGAGTTACATATACAATGTATCATGAATTTGATTTTTTTTTTATAGACTTTACATTTGTATTAATACATATGTATACTGAATTACTTCTTTTCAGGGATCATCTGTTGCAGAAATTACTTCCCCTGATAGCTAATACCCCAGTGACTGCCCAGATGTACGAGGAGAATTCCTTTCTGAGGAATTACAGCCACATTAACTACTTAGTGCACATACTCAGTACACTGGAGGAATTCCAGATCACCTTAGAGTCCTCCCTTCTTCGTGGATTAGATATATGAGAAAGTTCTTGGATTAGATATATGAGAAAGGAAAGGGGTGTTAATTTAAAAAAAACAGTTTTACCCACCAATATTTATACATGGTATATTCCAATTAGTATTGAATTCCCATTAGTTTCTATTTAGGTTCTTTGATAGCAAAACCTGTGATTGTTTTATTTTTTTCCCTTGTGTAATTTGTTCACCTATTATGATTTTGTTTTCTTTTTTGTTACAGCTCAAATAGAACTAAGCATGACTACATTTACCAGTTTACTTTGTCATATATTTTTTCATTCTTAGCCATATATAGATTTTATATTTTCACTGTGAAGGTTTATGCACGAAGTTGGTTTACATGTAATTATTTATTAGTAGATATTGATTCCCAAGTAAGATGGTTCTTTAATTGCACATCTGAGTGATAGATGTTAGCTCCACCAAAACAGAATCATTCACAACACTATAGATATATTTTATGTTTACATGTAATTAGCAACATGCATAAGTTTCATGTTAATGGTATTTAGAACTTGCAATACCACTGTCTCAGATTTTTATTCCTTGGTGCAAAATTACATGTAAAAGCCAATTTACTAGAAAGCTTACTGAATATTTTCAGGTCTAAGCAGTTTCAGACCTTATCTAAGAAATTTCATTGTATTGGGCATTTGTTTACCGAGTACACAACCTTTACTCTCAATAGATTTTTTTTTTTTTTTTTTTTTTTTTTTTTTTGCATAATGCTGTTATCACAGCATGGCTAATGGAAGACAGTTGAAGTTTGAATAATTTTTCATGTACTTCTACAGATGCAACAAATGAAATGTTGTGGTTTCATCAATTTTTCTTGGGATCAAATTTTGTGCTCTTGGCAAAAACAACAAAAAAATTAATTGATATGCAGATCTGTGGACAATTATATCAATACATGTAGTAAAATTTGTAGTATCCTCAATTCTCATTATATCGCGGGTTCCATTGTATCGCGGTATTTTCCAAAAATTAGGATACATCACTAACATCCTTTTTGTTGATGGACTATCTGTCTGTCGTCTGAATGTTGACTTTTGTGATGATTAAAAAGTATGGAACACCCGTTGGAAAAATATTTATTCAAATAAAACGAAATTTTACAGATCTCCATTCCCGTTTTTATTTTATTTAGACCATTGAATATATAACTAAGTAAAATCCATAATAAAATTCATATTTTGAAAACCTTAAGTTTGTATCATACTTAAGTTTTCATGTAGATTTACATCATAAATTAAAAAAATAAAAATTGTACTTCGTGACCGTGCCAAACCTCCATGTTTTCAATACCGCGATACAATGAGACTCTCCTCTTTTGGAGGTAAGTAAGACTTCCTGTTATAAAAATAGACTACAAAGTAAACGAAGAAAGCTTAGAAAATAATTAGCCACTAAAAAGTTAGGCCATTAATAGGTTTATGAAAAGTATTTGGTGAAAAGTTAATGTAAGAATTTGGAATAACTTTTTTATGCAAAAGAAATGAGTACTGCGATATGATGAGACACCAGTATACATTGCTTATCGAATTTTGTGGTCAGGTCAACAATGTACATGAAAATTGGTGTTCAATGAAAAAAGATGAAACCTCAGTAATATTGCAACAGTTTATTGTTAATGCAGTCTGACTGTTATTCAAATATTATACATTGTATTTGTTCTTATTTTAGTAGAATTTGTATTTCATATCCCCCCTTTGTAATACTCTATCTCCAGTTTGAATAAAATGTTCTAGCTTAGAATGATAAAAACACAAGGCAAAGAAGTTATTTTACAGATTGCATGGTTATGAGAGAGAAAAGATTTTTGAATAAAAAGTGAACAGTATACAAGATCTGTAAAATATGTTTTAAAGTAATTGGTGCATTTGTTAAGTTACAAGCCATAAAATTGGGGAGGGGGGGGGGGTCACACCTGTATACATTGTACCATAGTTTTGTTCAATATTTCCAGTATTACATCTCTCTGATTTTTTTTAGATATCCATTTATCAGAGGGTGTGCAATATATTATTTTACATGATTTTTTTTAATGAAAATAACTTAAATTCTTGAGGGTAAGAAGTTCAAGATTAGAAAAAGAATTAATCTTCATTTGATTTTTGATGTAACTCCATCCTGTACAAAATATGTTTGAATTTTTTCAAGAAAAAAAATAAGGATAGATGTATTCATGTAACCAATACTCAGATTTTTGCAATAGTATATCCATAAACTTTGTGATTCTTGATTAATGTAATCCTATATGTTCATTTTGTAATGACAGAATGAATTAAACACTCCTTACAATCTTGACAGAAAATTTCATTAAATTTCACAAATAAGTAGCAGAGAAAATTGAGAGGTTGTAGTTTTTATTGGATGGTTGATACAGCTGGGTTTGTTCTTTCTCAATGTGCCAATTCCATTTTTATTTCTAGATATGTTATTTCTTGTGATTATAATAACACAAGTTAATTATAATACATGTATATTGTCCCAGGTCTCGGAATCATGTTTGGTAATTTTTTTTTTGCAATATATATATATGTCTAGCTACTTCTAATAAGTTGCCAATGTTGAATTTTTAAGATCTTGTAATTAAAATTTACAAAGAAACTGACTTTTTAAATACCTTAAAGATGTATACTGAATTATGTTTTATGTGTTAATCACCTTGTTATATGCAAAAGTTTATTAACACTTTTAATCTGGTTGGCTATAAATCTCACTAAATTGCACCTGTGTGCAAATTGAAATTTGTTAAAATTAGGCTAATAATCTACATGTTATTTATTGTGACATAAGTCCGTAAATATTATTTGAAATTTAACATCAAATGGAAGGCTGATGTACTTTGAATTTTTTGAATACTCTCTGAAGGAGGTAGAATTTGATATTTTAAGTCTAAGGGAGTTTTCTTCCTGGTTAATGCCTGCAATTTAACTCTTTAAAAGTGTGTGTCTGTGTTTCAAAAGAAACATTTAATAAGTAGACCATCTATGATTACTAGTATTATCTTTTTAATACATTTCCAACCAAGTTTCTGATGCAACCTACTGAACATACTAGTTCTTCCCTTGCAACAAAAAGTGGAAGGCATATTTATGGGATCAGTAGGATTTTCTGTTGTAATATGAGAGATACTATGTGTTAACAGAAAGTACGTTCAAAATATAGATATTACGATCTCCATTATCTACAGCATGTGTTTTTGAAGTTATTTGATAGAAGTCGTATGTATACTATTGTAGTATTGATTTACTTTTTTGTTTTATGAAAATACGATTGTCATTTTGTTATCTTATTCCTATACTAGCAATAGAGGTTTGCAAAATCCTTATTATTTTCTTTTTGCAGTGGATCCATCTTAAATTTATAGATGTTCTATCTGGATAATGTTAATGAATAATAAATGTTGAAATTCTTTACTCTTATGTTAATTTTTGGTTAACATGTATGTAGAGTTTAGGAACTCTTACCTTCTTGCATGTGTGCCCCACAGTTGTTTGAGGAAAGGGACCCCCCCCCCCTCCCCCAATATAACCCCCTTGGCCTTTTCGATTTTTATTTAGCCTTTTTTGTGACATATCCACGTCAATTAAAAAAATACTTAAACATTTTATAATTTAGCAATTCCTATCCCACTAATATTTATAAGTGCATGAGGGATCTTTTTTCCTGCCAACACATACTGTGTCACAGGACCTCATTTTATACACTTTCACCAGAAGGACCCGGTACGTCTCCACTTTCCACTGTTGGAATCGAACCCATGACTTGAGGATCAACTCCTTACTTTGCGAGTCTACTGGGAAAGGTATTTTTCTTTTTCCAATTAAACAAAAATAAGAAATATATAATTCCTTTGTGGGAAATTGTAGAGAGGCAGGTAGTATCGTTTTGAAAAGGATGGGGGATCAATAACATGACATCTTACCTTAAAAATCTTTGATATCCTATTTAGTGGTGACAAATTGGGGAGGTTAGCATTTCGATGTACATTTTTATGATAAATTAACAGCGGGTAGATGGGGGGGGGGGAGCCCCCCCCCCCACTTCCTTGATACTACGTGCCTGTCATATATGGGCAAATGATAGCAATTTCATACGAATTGCGTTATTATTTTAAATCAGAATTGTTTATACATGTACATCGATCCCACATCCCACCATCGACAATGAAGTGTGCGAAAATATTTTGGGCAGTATACAGTGAGGAGACTTCAATTTGAAAGTATGTCTTTGATGACGTCCAGTTCCACCCACTACTTCAAAATAAAAGATTAACCGTTCAATCCCTCCTCTTCAAAGAGAATAAAGTTGCAAAGAATAAATGAAACGCTTCGAATATGTTGCACTTTTCACGAGGTTTACGTTAAGGGTTGATAATATCTAAAATGTTAATCTTATTACTCAATTTTTAATCCTATCACGCACTCGTACCTCTATAGTCAATTGAACTTTAAATTAAACAATGAAATGCAGTTTAATTAATTCCCTTTTTTTGAATAACGAATAAGTTTGCCTAAGAAACACTGATCAGTCATTACGAAAAACACATTTTGTGAATTATTTACGGAAAGGTAAGTTATTTTTTTTTAATTTCAAATTCTTCATTGGGGTTACCTGGAATCATTTTAAACCTGTCAGACTAAAGATTGCATAAATGTATTAAAACGCGCATAACCTATTAATAATCCTATGGAATTCTGGAATTGGACAGCTTTCCGTTTTTTCACAGTAGATTTTCTGAGGAAAGCCGTATAAGAAAGCACTATGGTGTTCCTGCTTGCATACTTAAGCATTCATATTATTATAAACAAAGTTTATACAAAATCATTTAATCTGTCGATGCCATTGTGTTAAGTCCATTTGTTTGGTCAAAAAAAGAAAATGAAAATATCTTCTTCTTTTGTAATTAGTGCAATCACAAAAGAGACTCTTTCAAGTACAGCTCTAGACACATGTACACAAATTGCAAGGAAAAAAAAATACAAAATAAGCATGCAGTTATACGATGTAATGATGATAAAATAGGGATTCATATAATGTAAGTTTTATGTACCCAGTGCATGAATTAAAAGGTCATATTTGCCTAGTCTTAACCTGGGGGGGGGGGGGGTCTTGGTCGCAGCAAGGCCTCATGTACAGCCTTGGATTTATCCTGGACCCATTGGAGGCCTTCGGATCCTGACCTATACTGTCCACCCCTTTTTTAGCTGCAGAACTGTAGCGTTATAATTTTACATTTTAGTCTTTGACCATAACGCTACAGATCCCGTAATGCAAAGAAAGTGCAATTTACAGCGCAAGATTTTCTGCGCATGTTTTGGGGATGTATTTAATTTCTCCACTTTCCAGCATTGGTCAGTCAACTTTACCTTCCATGCCTTAATTCTAGACATATTCTATAACCCGGTCTAAAGTGTAAATAGCTATAACGCTACAGTTCTACAGCTACCCCTTTTAAGGTATCCCTGGATCCGATTTAGTAGTTATTATCTTCTTTTAGCCTACATGCAATTTTTAGGTAAAGAAATTTAATAAAGAATAAAATTCGTAGACTTTTTTTTTTATTTTGGGAAACATTCGAAAGTTCGGAAAAATTCAAAGAAACGGGATAAATTTGTGTTCTATATATTGCTGCGATCAAGCCCCCCCCCCCCCCGATAACTTAATGTTCAAATAACTTTTCAATACAAAAAGAAGAAAAAAAATGTTATACAAGAATTTTCCATATTTTCTTATTATTTCAGATCAAACGTTTGTAAGAATGGGGTGTTCAAACAGTACTGAAAAAAGACCATATGACAAGAATAAATCAAAAAGCCCAAAACATCTACCTGAGATTAAAATAACAGAGACTGACTCAGACAGACACTCGATTAAATCATCGTCGTCGTCTTCTTCTTCTTCCTCTTCTTCGTCGTCTTCCGGTTCCCATAAGGCATCAAAACCAAGGAAACCCAGAAAGCACAGGAGGTCTAAGAAAGTTCGAAAAAATTCAAAGAAACGGGATAAAATAGAATGCGAGGACAAAGGCAGTGATAAGGCATCTTTAGATATTCAACAAAATGATGAACCTATCATTTGTGTTGCAAATCCGGAAGAGCCGATTTTAATGATATGCCCAGCGCCGGAAGAAGAAGTTGAAATACGCGTAACAGAGGAAGTGGAAATTATACCGGAAGATAATTCAAAGGAAATCACACAACCGGAACCTGAGACCGACAAAACTCATGAAAAACCAACCGAGACAAATGAAGAATCGACACAAGAAAATGGGCAAAATGAGACTTCTGATGTAGAATAGATACATAGAATAAACTTTGAAGTTACATTTTTTTTTTTTTTCGTATACACGATGATTAAAATTATGTTTTTGATTATGTTTTAAACAATAAAATGCTTTCTTTGGTTGTTAGTACGGGAATTAATGTCGCAGCTGTTGCAAAAAAAAAAACATAACCCGCGTAAGCGGGTTATGTAATTTTTTTCTGCAATAGCTGCGACGTTAATTCCCGTACTAACCACCAAAGAAAGACATTTTATTGTATATATTTATATCTGTATAAATAATCATTTAAAGTAAGATTAAAAAGATTAATTATTGTATTATTGATATGTACATCATAGTACGTTTCATTGATGGAACAGCCACTGATCAAGAAATCTGTACAGGTGATATGCCTTGTGTTGTTCATGATCTGATAAACGGCAATGGTTTTCTTGAGAAATAAAGGAGAAAATATTCAGTGGATGTAAATATTTGATAATAAACTTTTTTTTTTCAAGAACAGTTTGAGGAATATTGACCGTGAAGAACAAAATTTCATTAATGCTTTCATGTTTATGTACTAGATATTTACATGCACCTTAAATAAAACATATCTTCTCCGGGCACAATTTTCACCAATCTTATTAAAAAAAAATATTCATACAGTCATGCTATGGCATTTCGGTTTCTGGTTAAATAATCTCTATCCACGAGATCATTGAAAATTGACAATGATTGAAGTCCCTTTTCATTTCTGAATGGTCACGCTGTTGTTTTACCACAAGTCTGCGACACAATGATTGTTACGACGCACTTAATCGGAAAAAATACGCACTTTGAATTTTTTTTTCAAAGTGCGTTAAATGGACCAAGTTAACGCACTTTGAAAAAAAACCTTTTCATTTTAGCGCGTTAACATCGACAATATAAACGCACTATGAAAAAAAAATATGCACGCGGCTTGGTCAATTTTCGTTCAAATTTTACGAATGATAAATAATTATTTGAACCTGGTTGGATAGTTTTAAAGATTTTTAGGGGTTATCTTGTTCCCAGTAGGTTCTCTTAAATGTTAGAAAAAAGAAATGGTCTTCTAGAAATAATGGAAGATTGATTGTTTTAAAGCACAATTTCGTTTTCTTTTAAATTTATTTTATCCAGTCTGTAATAAGTTCGGTAGATGTAGGTGTCAATAAGTGACTTAAAGCATCCTTTTCTCCTCGTTCACTAATAAATCTTTCTAAAAAAAATCTTATAAACAAAAGCTATGCAGTCAGATTAAATTACTTCATCTGTAATTTGATATCATAAAATGCATGGGTCTTGGGGCGCCTTGAGGTGAGCCCTGCATGGAGACTCGATTATGGATTATAGAGACTTTGCAAGGCAAAAATAAAGACAGCTCAGTAGAAAATTTTTCTATTTCTTGTCATGTCTTTGCTAGTGATGAGAATTCATAAAACTAAGATTCAGTTTTAAGGTCTTTTGAATTAAAGACTAGGGGACATGTAGTTAAGCCCCCAAGAAGACCTTGCCATGCAAGAATATAGATCTAGAAATGACACCTTTTATTAACACCCTTTTGCCCGGTAAAATCCTTTCTCTCTCTCCCCCCCCCTAAAAAAAAACAGAACCATAATCATGCACGTACTTTACTAGGGAGGATCCCCCCCCCCCCAAATCCGCTGTATTTTTTTTTTTTAAGTTTAAAATTGAAATTTCTTTTCCAAGAGTTGTACTGACACTAAATCATATTAATCACAAACTATGATATCAGTATCTCGATCATCAATATTCCGCGGAATATATACATGTATATATATTTATCATGAATATATTTTTTTTTTACCATCAATTTCTCAAACCCCCGGATATCTCGATGTCTTTTCCTCATTCCACGACATAACGAGGTTTGACTGTATTTGTATAAAAAAAAAGGGGGGGTTAAAATATATTACAGAGGAAATTATTATAAAACATGCCCTTGCACATGTTAATGACATTAATTGATATATACATGTAAATATCCCTTAATTTGTTGATTTTTTTTTCAGAAATAAAGAGAGAAAAAAAATGTTTTCCGACAGGAATTAATGTTCGTCACACCACATCGGAACTGAATATGTTTATACAGTCTGTATACATGTACACATTGCGTATAACTCTCAGAACCCGGTGCTGCATGACCATGGCATCAATAGCTAAATTGGTTGGGAAAGTGGCGCTTATTACAGGTTTGTCAGACTGCTATATTTTAGGACAATTTTCAGTAGAGTCAATTTATATGTATACTAAGCAGACCGCCGGATAACTTGAATGTGTACATGTATTTAACAAAATAAAAGTACACCGCGTCGCTTCCAGTGGCATAGGGATCTCCTTCACTGTGTTACTTGGTCATATAAAGAGCTAGCTCGACACTTTTTGTATAGATGTAGATTCAAGTTTTTTTCACCACAAGTTTTTTACTGTAAAAAGAGTTTTTCATTTATGAAATATACGGCCTATTATTTTGAGACCTGCATACGTATGACCCCAATTTTTTTTTTCTCAACTTAGACGTATACATGTGGTTAAATCCAAAATAAAGATATGGGAAAAGAAATGAAGGCAAACAATGTTTAATTGAAACTCAAGAAACTTTTTAGAACAAAATTTGCATGTGTACATTGAAGCATTTCTCTTAATAAAACAAATCTGTAAACAGGGCATGAAAAAACGAAAGTAGAAAAAAGATCAAGAGTTTTCTCTCTTTCCATTCATTTTAAAATACCCCCCCCCCCAAAAAAAAACACACACACACAATAAAAAAATACATTTTTTTTTTCAAGTGTATTATTTAAACTTCTTTTGTTTTGGCTTAGATGATAACATGGTAAATGTCTGCATATATTTTCTTTTTAAAATTCATTTATTTTTTTTCTTTCTTTTTTCCAAAAAGTATATATTTGGAACAATCCTCATTTTTGGAATGCTTTTTTTGTTTGTTTGTTTGTTTGTTTTTTGTTTGTTTGTTTTGTTTTGTTTTGTTTTGTTTTTTTGTACATGTGATCACAAACATGAAAGCAGGGGATAGATAATACTGACAATTTTTATTTAAATGCTTTTTCTATGGCCTTGTTTCACAAAAAAATAATTGCAAAATGTTATGTATCATATACATGTATAATTGGATTATTAACTCAGTAACCAAATTCTTCATATTTACATCAGAATCACAATTTTATCAATATAAAGAATAAAATAATTTGCAAAAGTAGAATTTTATTGGTTTTACTTAGTGTAAGTTAATATTTTGTAAAATGTGAACCAATCCTGTTTGTTATCATATCATTATCATATTGTAACCCCCCCCCCCCCAGCAAAAAAAAAAAAGAAAGAAGGAAAGAAATAAAAACAAATTAGGACACACACAAACAACAACAAGACACAATCACATAAAAAAAAAAAAAACAAAACAAAAAAAACCCACTAGTACTGTAAAATTAAATATTTGCTTTCCAGGGGCCAGTTCTGGTATTGGTGCAGGGACAGCTATCTTGTTTTGTAAACTGGGAGCGGAGGTTGCCATTACTGGCAGAAATGTAGAAAATTTGTCCAAAACAGCAGCTGAGTGTGAGAAAGGAAATGGAAAGAAGGTATTTGTAAGATTAAAGTTCAGGTCTAAACGGTTTACCGACATGTATACGCCAGCCTGGGTAATTTTAAGCTAAAAAAATTTTTGCATGAATTTCAATAATAGGAAAATTCTGCCTTAAGTTAAAAGAAATTCATGTACCGATACATTTTACAAGTAGAGGACTGAGTTAGAGTTAAAAATTTTACTCTCACCCCACTTTATAATCATTATAAATTTGATTGTATACAGGTAATTTTGTGGATTTTGATGCATTTTCATTTTAAAAAAATATTAGGGATAGTCAAGGGACATGCTAAGACATTCATATCCTACTGGAGAGAAAATATTGACTTTCATTAATTACATCAAGGGTATATTCTTTTCCTTTCAGCCATTTACCCTTTCTGGCAATTTGAACGATGAAGATTTTGTGAAACAGCTTGTTGATGAAACAATTAAGCATTATGGAAAACTGGACATTCTGGTATGTGAAACATACAACTTGGAAGATTTGGTAAAATACAGCTTCAATTTTTTTGGTTAGAAAGAACAAACACTAATCTTATAAAGAAAGCTTATGGTCATAGGGAAACAGGAATTCTGTAGAAGACTTAATTTTTACTATGTTTCTTATATATAAAGAATCTAGATAGAGGAATATAATAAAAGTGGAAAAATACTTTTTTTTTTGTTTGAACATTAGGTTAATAATGCAGGAATAGTAAAACCAGGAACAATAGAAACAACATCGCTAGAGCAGTATGATGAGGTCATGAACATCAATGTCAGGTGGGTTTTTTTTCTGAAGATAAGTACTACATTGTTTTTGCATTAAGTTAATCTTTTTTTTTCTTATAAACAGTCTGTATGCAATTAATTTTCTTGATTTTGTTTTCAGATCTATTTATCATTTGACTATGCTTGCAGTTCCTCATCTCATTAAAACAAAAGGAAACATTGTGAATGTATCCAGTGTGAATGGAATTCAATCAGTAAGTGGTTATAAAATAATAATATAACTTTAAACTGTGTACATCATGCTTTATATTATGAACTCTAAACCCTTAACTCTTAATCTTGTTAAAAAAAATTTCTGCTTTTTAGGACACTGTTATGTTCCATGAGCCTCTTTTTAATTATTAAAGTCTGTGCATTATGTTCACTGTGTTTATTATTTACAATCAATTTTTTTTAAACAGAGACAGCCTATTGGCAAAAAGGTTGATATTACAGGGCTTTCTACAATCTTGCTTTCAAATAGTCAGCTTTTTGAGAATTCTGTAGTCTTTCTAATGACCTTATTTGCAAATACATCCTAATATCATTGGGTCCTATTTTTTCTGACATGTTTCATACATGTACTTGTGTTTTATATTAATTTGGACCAAGAATTGCTGTGTTTACCCTTTATAGGGCTCATGGCAGGCATGAGCAGTCAACAGGGGATGCTCACTCCTCCTAGAAACTTTATCATACCTCTTGTTCTTCCAGTTTTGCAGTTTGTTATTTTCTAATCACCTTTTTCATTCAATAAAAATTGATATTTCAGGTTTATGGAGTTCTAGCATATTGCGTGTCAAAAAGTGCTTTAGACCAATTTACAAGATGCACAGCCATAGGTCAGTATTTCATTTCATCAAAGGTACATGTAAATTGACTGCAGATCTTAGGTATTTTGCATATATTATCATATATTTTGTTTCCATATTTCGGCTAGTGCTTTTGAGGTTGCCAGACTGCATTTTATACACAGTTTTATAATGTAGCTATTGGAGTGTAAAAGGGTTCATATGATAATTGAATTTGTAAAAGTCTGTAATTTTAAAAAAAAAAACCACAATGTCTGGAGACACAATATGTTGGCATCTTATTTGAAATTCTGATATTTCAGAGTTGGCTCCAAAACAGGTCAGAGTCAACAGTGTTAAGTAATTATATACATTTTCAATTTTTTCTATATGTACATGATGTATAAGCTGTAGACTAATCAACTTTAAGCTTTATTTTTGCTATAGTTTTGCATGTTGTGTTGTTTTTGAGGTTTTATCTCAAAAGAATATGGGATATATATAGTAATGGCTTGCTTAGTGTCTGTGTTGAATTAGCTCACCTGTGCCAAACTTTCAATGAATTTATTGCATTTAAAATTACTATACTTCAATTGCATGAAGGAAAATAATTAACCCAGTTGATCATATTTTAAGTATAATTATTTTTTTTTAAAGTTTATTAATTAATCATTCTTTGAAATGATTCATGGTTTTCTTTAATCAAAAAAAAAATGTTTTGCAGTCCTGGAGTGATTATCACGGAGATCCACAAAAGAGGGGGAATGGATGAGGAGGTTTACCAGAAGGTAAAACGTCCATTTAATTCTGATTCAACTCATGGAGTTACAATAAAAAAAAACTACACATTTGCATAATAGAAAACTGGTCAAATTGTTGGAAAATTTTTGTACTACAATACTCAGATTTTTTCCAAAACGATGGCTGTTTTCATCAAAGTGTATGTAAGGTATTCTTTAAAGTTTCATATGCAAGCCAAGATATTGTGAAGTGTCTGCAATATTTATTTTTAGATAATTGTGACACTTTTGTTAGTTGAATATTTTAACATTCAACTATCTAATTGTAGTTTCTAGAGCACTGTAAAACTACACATGCCTTAGGACGGCCAGGCCACGTGATTGAGGCTGCTAATGCCATTGCCTTTCTGGCCTCAGACAGCGCTTCCTTTATCACGGGAGTAATGTTGCCAGTAGATGGTGGAAAACACAGACTTGTGGATCATATGCCGACAAAGTAAAAACACAGAAATTTTGAGAATTACCAGTGCTGTGATATGAATGTTTTAATCAGGACTTATTTCTGTATATATATATATATATATGTAGGACTCCAAAGTCCGATGGTCTGCGCATGTAATATAAACAGGAGAAAGTCATGTATTGCCCTATATAATGTGAAGAATGTCAACCCAAAAGAAGGTCATGGTGACCTACATGTACTTCTGAATGTCATCCATTTATTTTCAAATGTCAGATTCATATTGTGAGGCCTATTATTATCAAACATAATTGTAAAATTTACAAATGTCTGCAATATGTAGAGCAAGAGCAACTGAGATGAAGGCATGAAGTAGAACTGGTACAGAAGGCATGCCCAATACTTCTCCTTGTCATATGGTGTTCAACTGTTCATGGCACAAAAATTCCCTGTTATCATAGTTCAAAGAAATACAATAATCACACACATTCAATTTATTTGTTTGCTTGGCGAAGTGGTGAGGTATATCTTTCCAAAAGTAGGTCATGGTCATCCATTTTTGTAATCTTTTGGGCATTTATTGTGATATATTGTGCTTATTATATATATTTTGCATACTCTGACGAAGATAAGTATTGAGAGTTGATGTGTCAGGGCTTTCAGATGTCTCATTAAGAAGGAAAGGCATAATTACTTTTTTTTTTGTGGATTTTTATAATATTTACCAGTAGTTGTCAAAACGTATTTTGTACTCTTATGTCAGGAGTCATCATTTTTTTTTAAGTTGATGCATGTATTGGTGTTAATGTTCTATGTTAATTTTATGAAATAAATACTATTATAATACAGTCTTAAATCATCAGTTCTCACCAGTTGATAAATCTGGATACCCGGTATATATGTCAACCCAAATTTCAGCCATTGATCTACTTTTGAAGCCATACATACGAGGGTTGTTCCAGAAATATGCGAACATTTTCAATATCTTTTGTTTCACTAATAGTATAAAATTAAAATTGGCATACATCATGGTCAAGATTTGTTGAATAACGGTTCAAAATTTCAATGAAAAATCTTTATAAATAACATTTCCCTCTCAGGTAAACAAATCTTGCAAATCAGTTGTCGGTGCAGCACTGAAGACAACAAAACATAGCTCGTGGTATGATATTTTACCTCGTGACCTTGATCTTGAAGTTTGATGTTTTTCAGAAGCAGACACACAAACTAGACAAATTCAATATGCCACCCAATTTACTCAGACACAGAAAGCGGGGACCACAATATTTTGAATTTGCTTGAAGTTTTTTGAAATTTTGAATAATTTTTTCTTTGATTCGCCTTTTTTTTTATTGAAAAATAATGATATCCCTGCCCATTACCTGTAAAAAAAAAGTTACGGCCCCATAACTAGAAGACATGAAAAAAATCCTTATTCCCATGCATTTTCATGACCGAAACAACCATTGAGGCAACTGATGCAAATGCCTAACTATTTGAGTTTTTTTTTAAGTAAAAACTTTAATTATTTGTGTCATTGTACTTAATCAATACTTTTAAACATTATAAGATCCAGTTTCCGAATATCAATCATCTCGCTAGGTTCTTGATTATTTCGATATTTATTCAGGATATATGTGTTATCATTTGCGGGCACATGTATGTGTGTGTGTGTGTGTGTGCATGGGGGGGGGGGGGTGTTAATTAGTTAGGACCCTCTATATACATGTATCTTTCCGGACATTGACAAATTAAGGTCAGACGACACGTTACTCAATTATATGTTTTGTATACCTTGGTATTATATCAAAAATTATTCATAATTGTCATTCTCTTGTGATTTCTTAATTGTTTTCAATATGTTTTAAAAAATAAGTGCACCAGAAATTGTAACATTGGCAATTCAAAAGATTACCTATATGGATTATATAGGAAATATCACCCTCTGGTATCTTGCCCAAATGCCTGGTAAGGTACCTCAATTTTTGGTGAGGAAAAATGTTTAAGTAGCAATACTTCAATGACAAATTCTTGGGAAAAATTATATATTTTTGAGGAATGTGTCGTCTGACCTTAAACCGTATGAAGGTGTTAATTTTTAGTTTATATGTCATTTTCAACATGGGGTACCATGCAGTCATTTACAAACAGGAATGAACAGAAATCACTGTTGTTTACTGTTCAAAATGGGAATAAATATGCATATAAATTGTTTAATTAATATATCCAGGCGTAAATAAATAGAAAGAATGTTTTCATTTATTACAAATTGAATAATACTCAGTAGATTTAGATTCATTTTGTATCTGTTCTAAAGGTAGTTTACTCTAACTGCATAAAAATACTACAGAATTTATAGTGTGCAGTGTATGGAGGGTCATAATTAACATCGTTTACACGGCCTTTATAAGTCATTTTAAAATGTGAAAACTTGAAAATTAAGTCTTTAATTTTGTAAAACCTACGAGCTTCTAGGGCTCAACCCTCCATACGCAGTTCCCCCATTAGGGCGATGCCATGGACCACCGTCTGGGTACTTGTGCAATCTCCAGATACCTTGACTTACTGAAAAATTATGCCTATATAGTTACGGTCTTGTACTTATTTTAATTTCCAATTAAAAATCAGTAAACGATACAGTTAACTTGCCCTTAATAGGCATGATATATCTATGTGCGTGTTAAATTTATTATCAAATTTCTTCCGAAAATCAGTTTTTATTATTAATTGGGGATTTACCTTGATAATAATTTATAGGTTTTATATATTTCTAAATCATTCAAAGTTACGCAATCTAATTAAAATTAGATGTTCCGAATCCGCTATCGCTTCTCAAACATTAGATGCTTGAGAAGGGTACAAGTGAATTCGGCACCTGGTGAATTCGGCACCTAAAGAAAAAGTGAATTCGGCACTAGGTGAATTCGGCACCTGGTGAATTCGGCATCAGAATCTGGTGAATTCGGCATCAGAATCTAGTTAATTCGGCACCCATTTGTGTTAATTCGGCAACTGTGTAATTATTGTGTGATTTGTTAACATTTTTCATGTGTTTTACTAGTTGATTAGTAGAATTGCTTTTGCAGACAAGTGTTTTGATTTGATTTTTTATTTATTCATTTATTTTTGTTTACTAATAAAGTCGTTTTTAAACTATTTCAAGTATAATAAGTAAAAGTTCGCATATGTGGAAACATTAATTCCGCTCCTCTAAGCATAAAAAATACTGTTAGTTGTGACCTTTTCATTAATGAAAATTTGAATTGAAACGTACAACATTGAATTATCAATGCATCTATACTGTAATATCTCCCAGTCTCGATAATTTTTTGGGGGGGGTATAGAACTGTGAAAGCTAAAAAAAACATAGTACATATTAATTATCTTTAATGGAGAATTTTAGACTTCTAGTTGTTGTCTTTATTTTCTTGATTTGTATTTAAAAAAAAATATGCATCTGAAGAAACACAGATCTTGATTTTTGTAACATGCATATTTTAGTGGTAAATAGAAGAAAAAAATTAAGTGTATATTAAGAATTACGCGTTGTTCCCTGCTTTAACAAAAATGTATATATCCAAGTTTTGAAATGAAAATGGTTGTCCATAATAATTGTATTATTCAGAATTGCTATAACGTAATTTTTTTTATGCGAGCGTGTTGAAGTACCGGTACATAAAGCGAAAAACTGGATGCATTGTCAAACAACGAATTTTTGACCAAGTAGGACATAATATTATTTCTCAAGTGGATAATTTTAGCAAATGTCCTTCTTTCAGATATTTAATCGAGCTCATAATTCACAATTTATTTACAGACCATACCAACAAAATTGTCTCACTCAAAAAAAATAACTCTAATAACTACGTGTATAATCCAGGAATGCTTTTGCATTTAAGAGAAAAAAAATATCTAGTTTGAGACAACAATAATTAACATTAATATAAATCTTTATGCGAGAATTTCAAAACTTATATTGTTGAAAATTAACTTCTGTACATACACCCCCCCCCTTCCCAAAATTTTAACTAAATAATTAGTGCTATACCAAAAATCCTTGTATATTTTACTTCATAACAAACTTATAAGGTACTTATTAATTATTTTAGTTATCCCTACAGCAATTAGTTGGCGTTAGAGAATTTTATCATCTAATTACAATGTTCAACATTCAGTAATAAAATATCGATGGTCATTTAACACGTGTGTTGCATCATATTTACAACCTTAATTACACGACCTCCTGTAGATTCCTAACAAGCCTTCTGCTCTAAAAAGAATCTTTATTGTACTGGAGTTGTTCTATCAATTTCTTTTCATATTAACTAATCAAGTAAAAATATAGAACATGGCGCAGTAAACAAATCAAAATCAAAATGAATGTTAACTTTTACAGTCATTTCCGTATCATGTACACAAGGACGGTAATGACATATATTTTTGTACGGTTATAAAATTTCATACAAACATAAAATTTAAAGCCATATACTGTATGGCGTATTTTTGGTAAGTTTAGATAATCAAAATTAAAAAGATCTTTCTATTTGTTTTTACATTTATTTTACTTTATTCAAGTTCAAAATGTCACGAAAACGGAAGTTTACTCGAAGCTATGTATATATGCTGTAATTGGATCCTCATTTGAACAATTAGTATTTTTTAACGTAACTTTTTCATTTCCATGCACGAAATTTGAAAGTAAGATTAGATTACTTTTAATTAAATGTCTGTAATATTTATTTGAGTGAAGTATCTTTGAGCAGCTTTCCTTCAATGAACAATTCCATTTAGTACTATCTTACTACTAATCTTAAGCTTCTTTTATTTTTTATTTTTTCATTACAATAGGAGATACTACCCATGAATCTTATGTTTCCGAAATATTCTATGCTAGCCAATTCAATACAACCACATCATAACGGAATGTATAGATTTTAATAATCTCATTTTCAAACTTCACTATTGTATTTATTACTTAATTAATGTCTTGTAATAACAACTCGATTTAAATTTGTTACGGAAACGAGTTCCTCATCTGGACGGGTGGATACTGCACGCACCTTGAATAAAACTTAAAACGACCTATAATTATTAAACACCTTTCAGGAGTTTTATAGTGACTTGATATCTACAATTCAAAATTTCAAAATTCAGGATATTCGAAAAATGACCCTAAGTCCTGCACTCTATACCTAAAAAGTTTCTGCATATTGTACTGTAAGAAGCAAGTCTTTTTTTTTTTTTTTTACGAAATTCCTGCTTGAACGAGTGTGAACGGGGCTTAAGTTCTGATGTGACAAAACTACAGATGTGTTTTCTTTGAATATTTTTGAAGCTGGGCAAATTATTTTGAGAAATAGAAGAAACAAAGGAAAAGGAGAAGTGGGTTGACCAACATCATGAATTAAAAGGCGGGCTTTTTTTTCACGTGAAAGTTATATTATCACTGTTTAAATGCTCAATAAATGCTACATTTTTGACACCTTTGTAAACTGTAATAAGAAACACACACGGACAAAAATCAAAGAAAAATGTTTGATGAAGATATTATTTAAAACATTTTAAAAAGTATATGTTAGTATTTACATTGTATAATATTCTTTATAATTCATAAACGGGTGCCGAATTAACCAGATGCCGAGTATACCGGGTGCCGAGTTAACTAGGTACCGAATATACCAGTGCCGAATTCACTTTACTGGGTGCCGAATTCACCATGTGCCGAGTTTACCAAGTGCCGAATTGACTAGAATTCCTTGAGAAGCGGTAGCGGATTCGGGACATCTGTTGAGAAGCGGTAGCGGATTCGGAACATCTAATTTTAATTAGATTGAAAATTACAGACCCAATGACTTTGATAATATTTACATGTTTTTAACTTATATAATGATGTATTTTGAAAAACAAACGAATAATTTGATTCGCAATGCAGGTTTGTCTTTTAAGAATGCTTGCATTAACTACATATTGAGTAATATACTGTCGATTTCAATTTATTTCATTTTAGATATAAAGGCATATAACTCCATGAAAATACCATAGAATCAGAGCTCTTGTGCAGTGTGCAGAGAGTTCTAAAGCAACGAATGAATACTATTTGAAATGTGTTGAAAATATGAAAAGGTCAATATAAGATTCGAGGAACTCTGGTAGATTTCCTTTTATAAAATAACCAATGCCATGATATGAACTAATGACAATACAGGATGAATTTGATAGTTTTTGTTTCCTGGTTATAACTTGAATTTCCTTTCACCAAAAGGTAAACATTCAAATATAGTCAACAGCACGACAAACAAAGCTATGAATTTATCTATCATGGAAAACAGAACAAACAACTTCGAAGATATTGAATATTGGAATTCATATTTCAGACATAAACTTATTCCTACAGGAGTACTTTTAGCCATATATTTTCTTACTGGAACTATTGGCAATGTTCTTGTGCTGTATATTCACTTGTTTAAAATGCCAAAAAATGACAACCGATATTTTATCACATTTTTATCTGGAATTAACTTGGTTGCTTCATGCGGAACAACAGTTTTCTTTTTCACTCTCGTATTTTTTAACCTGAATTATCCTTCAGATATCATGTGCAAAACTTTCTTTTTTCTAACTATATTTTTTGTGTTAGAATCCGCCGGATTGATAGTAATTATAACGATTCAGCGTTACTTGAAACTTTGTAAGCCATACAGGCGACGTATGACGGATCAACACAAAAGAATAGCAATTTTTACATCTATTGTCGCATCGTTTTTAGTTGGAATTCCATGTTTCTTTTCCTCTGGAATTGGGCCACTCGGTAACCATATGAACGTTTCAGGAACACACTGTTGGATCAGAACAGAAAATTATCCAGAAATCGGAATCGTGCAGACGTCCTCAATGTCGGTTTTACTTGGGTCATTTTTCGTATGTAGTTGTCTTCTGTATAGAAAGATTGGTAAAGTTCTTACGGGATTATCTATTCGACGGCGAGAGAGACAAAGAAACGAAAATGACCAATCATTGGAAAGCTTTGGAAATGTTATGGAGGCTGAATCCTCTTTCATCCAATCGGAGCACACGACAGGCATTGCAAATTGGAAAACAAGAAAACCTATCCATGTACATTTCTACAGAATGTTTTTGACAATGTTTTGTTTATACGTTGTGGTTTCCATTCCAACAATCACCATATTGATAATCAGCCATTTTGACCACTCCCTATGGTTCGGCGTTGATGGGGGAATTGACATTAATGTCATTTACACATTTCAAGACATGTTCATATTGAAGTATAGTGCTGACCCTTTGATATATGGATACTTTGACATAGCGTTTAGACGAAAAGTTACCGAGATTTTCAAATGTAAAAGATGATGCGCGGATAACACCTTTAAAAATATAATAAATTTGTAATGAAAGATTTATTTAAGAAATAAAATATATCAGAAAGGACATTATGAAGTTTTTGTAGTAGTTGTGAAGATTATATACATGCAGATGTTGAAAAAAAATATATAACCATAACTGTCGATATTTATCAGATGCCGCAACCATTTTTCATAAAAAAAATTTCTAAAATGAGTTATTAATGCATTAAAAAATTGTTTGATCATGTTTTTGAAAAAAAAAATTATTTGAGAATAGATATGAAAACAAAACAAACCTTAATTCAGTAATTTTTATTGGGAGAGGGACAAACAAAGAAATTTTCCACAAATCCGGGACTGAACATGATTTCCGTTACACTTTTCACTATTATGCAGCATTCTCAAGAACCGGTTGTAAATTATGGCATCAGTTGCTAGATTGGACGGAAAAGTCGCGCTTATTACAGGTATGACAGCGCTATATTCAGTCATGACAATTCTTTACCAGATATTTAGAGAAAATGTTATTATATTCCTTTGACCTCTAGCAAACTTTGATGCAGATTGTTGATTTATTTTGAATGGGAATGACTGTCACATTGAATACATTGAACTGTTGAAAGGTCGTCCACAGAAGGCAATGAAATCAATAAGCGTGTAATAAACCCGTCTTGATCCTTGAAGAAAGTTTAAGGCTAGGGCTTTGTTCTTTGGGAAGTCTAAAAGTCAAGCTCACGCAATGTCTATTGCCTCAATGTCTGTGATACTGCTGAACTTTCCTTAGTCTTGATCAGTTGATAACAGTTGCAGTGATGCAGTCTGTAATAGTATCAACATTTAATTTTTTCCTGTCTAAATCTGTTTCAGGGTTGCAACTTAGAATTAAAGTTTTGTTACCATGGAGACCTATATTTACTGATATTCACTATACATCCTTGTTCACCACAAGCCAAATTTGATTTTTACATATTTTGTCCACAAGCTTAATTTAATTTCCACAAATTCAATCAAGGAATGAAAGCTTATAAAGCTGTTAAGGATTAAGAGCTACAGATCCAGGCATTGAAAGAAGGCTATAGTAATTGTGCACAAAATCTGTGCTCTGAGAGATGCAATAAGATCTCGGTTACACTGCCACATCAAAATGTTCTTATCCATGTGTTTCCCTGTTAACTACCGGTAGTATTCATATGACCGTGAATAAATACAGTTTACACAGTGTTTCAGAACATTACAAATTGATTTAAGTCAAAAAATGAGGTGACAAAATGATCCCTTCAATGATCTCCTCCCCTGATACACATTCTCCGGCAACAATTACTGTATGTACATGGACATTTTTGCCTCCATCTTATTTTTGCCCTTTTTGCCCTCGCTGCTAGTGGGCAAATTTAAAATGGGGCAAATCAAAGAAAGACAGCATAATCTCTTGAGCAAAACTTTGTCTTGGAGAATTTAAAGTGGGGTAAAATTGTTCAAGTGTTAAAGGGCAAAAATAAAATGGGGCAAAATAACCCTGTTTACAGTAATCTTTATGTCAACTGTGAGCTTCAAATGTTCCTCCCTTACAAATATATGGACAATCATTATACGTTTTACTGTCAAGTTATGGACAGGACACAAATTTTACATGTGACTTTTTTCTGCCAGTTACCTTGAACTTGCCATACTTAGCATTACTATGACAGTGATCATACTAAGTACATGAATGTGTATATGATTTCTAGGAGCCAGCTCTGGTATTGGTGCAGGGACAGCCATCTTGTTTTGTAAACTGGGAGCAGAGGTTGCCATTACTGGTAGAAATGTTGACAATTTGTCCAAAACAGCAGCTGAGTGTGAAAAAGAAAATGGAAAGAAGGTTTTTAAAAAGTTAATGTTAATAAAGAATGATTTTCTCAAGTCAAAAAAACTTACTACCAGGTAAGTATATTTCACTGTAATGGAAGGGGAAGACTGCATGGTTTACTACATGTATGTGTGATTGTTACCATCTTACACATATACTCTATGTAACAGACACATTTGAACTCATTATCTGTTTTTTAATAGCCCTTTACACTTGCTGGTGATTTGACCAATGAAGATTTTGTGAAACAGCTTGTAGAGGAAACAGTTAAGCATTATGGAAAATTAGACATTCTGGTAGGTGAATTAAATTCTATAATTATCAAAATTTCTTTAAACAAAAAAATACAAATACCATACACTACATACATGTATTCAATATATTTAAAGTGAGTTTGAATAAAACCTGAATATATTTAAGTAAATGCCATTTTATTTAATATTAACATAACATTGGTCTATATAGTACATCAAATATTTTTTGAATGAAGACATTGGAGGAAAAAGTCTTCTCATTTAACATATTTAATTGATTTATCCTACAAAGGTCAATGATGCAGGGATAGTAAAAAGTGGAACCATTGAAACAACATCACTAGAGCAGTATGATGAAGTCATGAATATCAATGTTAGGTTGTGTTTATATAATTTTCTCCAGTACTGTACTTTCCCATTTTAAACAATTTAGACACACTGTATTTATGAAAATATTGAAGAGAAGATTTGAACGGTAAACTTACAAGTTTAACAAGTTTAACAAGTTTAACAAGTTTAACTGTTTAACTGTAATTCACAGGCGCTTGACGTTTTTAACCTTTCTTTCCATAAATAAAAAATCCCCCATACTATAATAATAACAAGGTTCGTCACGGTCGCCATCTTGAATTTTTCAGTTCAGCTACTTCGCCTCGATTTTTAGTCTACAATGTGTTTAAAATTAACGGATACAACCGTTTCCCTCAAGTACTTACTTTAACTATGCCTCCACTTTCGGGCAATTCAACTCAAATCACATTAAATCCCCTCTAATTCTTAAAATGTCGCTTCAAACTCAGTCTACTGCTACCGATTCCGTAAAACTTAGAAAAGGGAGGCCGGAAGTTGATGTTGTTATGTAAATGGGAATTCCCTCTACTTAAATTTCATTGGTTAAAAGAAATATGACGTTTCGCGGGAAAAATCATGCGAAGACAGTAACAAACTTTTTCGACATGTTGAATGCTGAGCAGGCCGATGCTTTCCATAATCATCGAAAATAATATGTGAAATATTTTTTTTTCTTTTATTTTGTTGAAGAAAAAATCATGAGGAAATAAAAATTATGCTTGGTCCTGGAATTCTGGGTACTAATTTCTCGTGTAAACCAGACCCCTTACATTCTGGCATAAATATTTCTTCCCTACAATGGTACTATTTTCAGTGTTTGGAAGCGATGAAAATTATAAAATAGAAGGATAGATATGTGTATTTTTTATTTTTCATTACAGTAGTGAGCTGGCCCAGATCACTGAACCTCCATGTCCCCTCTTTCTACAGGCGCGAAGCTGTCTTTGCAAGTACGCAAGTGCGTTACTACACATCCTTTTTTTTCAAAAAAAATCTAGGTCTGAGAGAGAGAGAGAGAGAGAGATTGTTGAGAGAAAAAAAAATTAGCATCATCCGGCAAATTTTTTTTTCTTCAAATTATTAATTGTCATTATTTCGAATCAAATTTTATATTATATTTGAAATTTGAAATCTTTTATTGAATCATATTGCCAAATCCAAATAAATCATTAATCTATAGTAAGTGTTCTATAACACATTAATAATTCTATAAGACCTTTGAGAAATTAAGTTTAATTATCGTTAAATGGCTTGATCAAATAGTATACTGGCGGATTTAGAGGGGGGGGGGGACCAGCCCCCTCCCTTTGTGTCCAAAATATACATAAGATTTAATAAAGCAATTTTTCTGTGTGTGGCTGTGAGCCCCTACCCTGACCCCAAACTGGTCGCCCCCTTTTCAAGATTCCTGGATCCGCCACTGTAGTATATGATTTTGAAATTCTTTTTGCTACCAACATTTAAAATACTTGTTGCTGAACATTATTAAAACATATTATAACAGAGAGCAGACGATACAAATGTAGCGGTAAAAGATTCTGCATGCCTCAAGTACATTTACAATAAGTTTCCGAGAAAGTTAAACTTCGTGTTGAAAACAATATTACTGCCTTGTCTTTCATAAGAAAAGCCAAATACCATGCTATTCCCTGCAAGAATGTGATTGAAATATTTGTACAAGCCCCCGCCCCAGACAAGGCTTCGCCTAAGACCTACGGGTGGCCTCACAGATTATATTGCCATTCATTTGTTTTTAAGGGAGGACCAATTGATTCCGGAGGGGGGGGGGGGACTGGGCTGGCAATTTTTTTCCAGCTTTATTTCCATGTCAGTGAAGGACAATCAAATTTATTATCAAAATATGCCAGACCCCCCCCCCCCCTAAATTTCAGAATTAAATTGTAAACGCTTTTATGTTTTGACAATATAATTGTATTTTTATTTGGATTTAAGCCCCCCCCCCCCCTTTACTTTTAGGTGTGTAACTACGCCTCTGTATGTAAAATACAATGTATACTATTCAGCCTAAATATTTCAGTGTTTCTAATAGCAGTTGAAAAAGTACACAGTTTTAGGCTAAATATATATTTATTTATTTAGTTGGGGACTATAGATGTATCAATATATATTACTAAGTTATTTATGAAATACGTACCAGTAGTCTAGAACTGCTCAAGCTCCATTTTTAAACAGTTCTTAATACATGTATTAAGGGGAAGAAGGACCTTGAGCTGAAAAAATACCTGTCATTCAATTTTTTTCATATTTTGTATATTTCTTATTAAGTATGTCCCACATGTCTTAAAGCAGTTATATCATTAGGTTTCTTACCTTATTTTAGAGATATTGATTGACAAATACTATGCCCTACAGTATCTAAGTAGAGTTTTAGTTCTCCATGTTTCCGGGCCCATTACTCTGTCCATAATGGGATTTTTAAGCAAAGATAAAAAATATGTAAGTGGACATGTATCTTTTAAAATATTTCATAGTATGAATAGGGTTTAAAATTCGAAAAAGCAAGTTTCTTCTATCACACTGCATCTGGATAGCGAAAATTACGTACTTTTTAAGACAACTTTAACAACAAAAAACGTAATTTACCAAAAATTCTATCATTCAATATTTTTAAATTTACGTTGAAATGTAAGTCCTTCAAATCATTGATTAACTGTAAAAATTTCGAATGGTGAAGCTGACCTCAATATTGCACAGGACATCGTTAAAAAGGACATAAGCATGACAAAAACATGTCATGTTTACATTTCTCGAGTACGGGAAAAACCAACTATGACGTCACATGTAAGCTTAATAAGCGAAAGAAGATATACCTACATAAGATTTCCGTCATCAGCCATGCAAAAATAATTTTGTATTCCCCGTGTCTCAGAATATTTTATCATATACTGATTAAGACCTGTTTTCACAAAGTAACACCGCTCCTGTATTCACTGAGTATGATCTTGCTGTACTAAGAGATCGTGTATGACGTCACCGACTTGCTGGACGCGCAGTTTAGGGAAACAGAGGAGTGGATCAATCTTTTTCATAATTTGTTAATGTTTACAAGAATTTTAAAACTTCTATTTTTTTCATATAAGATGGTTATTAAAGTTAAAAAAATGCCAAAAAATTATACAAGAACTGATGCTTTACACGCTTTGCTCTTACATAAACGGAGACTATGACGTAGTTAAACAGAGTCATGTGACCATGTGTCCTTCTCCTCCTTAATATAACTCTCAAGATATCCACCAATCAGAAAAGGGCTTTCCCGGATTGTGACGTTCTAACATCAACTTCCGGCCTCCCTTTTCTAAGTTTTACGGAATCGGTAGCAGTAGACTGAGTTTGAAGCGACATTTTAAGAATTAGAGGGGATTTAATGTGATTTGAGTTGAATTGCCCGAAAGTGGAGGCATAGTTAAAGTAAGTACTTGAGGGAAACGGTTGTATCCGTTAATTTTAAACACATTGTAGACTAAAAATCGAGGCGAAGTAGCTGAACTGAAAAATTCAAGATGGCGACCGTGACGAACCTTGTTATTATTATAGTATGGGGGATTTTTTATTTATGGAAAGAAAGGTTAAAAACGTCAAGCGCCTGTGCTGTAATTGTATTAACTGTATAAAAGTATTTGTGTACTTGTATTTCAAATAAGAACATGTACATTTCATGATAAAAGTTAAAACTCACTTGCATAAAATATCTTCATGATTTTAGATAAACTGCTAAATAAATATATATTCCAGAAGCAATCAAGATATAGATGACTGTTTTATGATTGGTTACTTGTGCTTTCAGATCTATTTATCATTTGACTATGCTTGCAGTTCCTCATCTCATCAAAACAAAAGGAAGCATAGTGAATGTATCTAGTGTCAATGGAGTAAGATCTGTGAGTATTCTTAATTGATTTCCTTGTCAGTTACCAGATGTGTGCTGAAATGATGTTCACTTAGATCTGCATTGAAAGAATCTTAAGTAGATATATATGTAAAATATTTCCCTGAGATAATTTTTTTTCTGGTCAAAGTATTTTTGACACTTGTCTGTCTGCCTGTTGGTCTTTTATACATTTGCAAGCTCCCCCCCCCTCCCCCCATTTTTATCTCCTTTTCTAGATGTACTAGCCTGCTTTCAACAAAGTCAAAGAGATATTCTTTGATGAAGTGCTTTAAAATTTGTTGAAAGGAAGGGAATGTCCAATATTAATGGGAGATAATTAAACAATAATAAAATAAAATGGGCATGGTATAAGCCCCCCCCCCCCCCCCCCAAAAAAAAAATCTATAGTTTTTCAGGCACTGAGAATTGAATTATGCCCCTTTTCATATTTGTTTATAGAACAAAATTTTTATAAGATACACAATATATTTTCTTTTGAAAATGGTACAGGTACTTGATTTATTAACTTTTTATAAAAATGAGTTTATATTACATGTATAATTAATATGGTACAAAAAAATAAGAATCAGTTGATATTATCATTTTATTGACTGACAAGAAAAATGAAAAGAGATCATAACACCTCCTTCAAAAAAAAAAAAGCCTGCTGCATTGAATTTTGAAATTTATGGCCTGAGAAACCGAAGATTATTTTTTTGGCATTAATTGTTATTTATTTGTCAATGTACAATGTTTTGAATATAGGACATATTTTTTTTTATTGCATCGGTGATTTGTATTATTTTTTTTTTTCTTCAGTTTCCTGGAGTTCTTGCATACTGCATGTCAAAAAGTGCTGTAGACCAATTCACCAGATGCACAGCCATAGGTCAGTGTTACAATTAAAATATTCAGTTAAAGGAATGACTATTTATAGATGCAGTTGCTTTCAATTTGTAAAGAAGAATTAATTACTTATTTACACCAACAGACATTCTTTCTCCCCCCTTTTTTGTAAATTTACATCTAGAATTCTAAATGAAAGAGTTCATTCTGATTTTCTTTTACTTTCTGGCATCTTGATCAAACTGCTTTGAGAAAAAAATGATGACATTGAACATGAATTATGCAAGAAAAAAAATTATGCATGCAGAAAAAAATTAAGAGAATTCTTAATTGTAAATGCTACTCACAATTCTTTCCATTATTTCATGACTAACTTTTGTCAAAACAGTTCACAAAGTAGAGAAGTTGGAATTTCAAATAAAGTTGAATTGAATTTCAAATATAAATGCTCAAAAAAAAAAACAACCCCAAAACAGATTAATATTTTAAGTTGAGATCTATAAAACTTCGATAATTGAGTTTTACTCTATCATTTAAAACAAGCAACATCATGATGGTATTTGATGATATTTGATAATTTATAAAATTTCAGAGTTGGCTCCAAAACAGGTTAGAGTTAACAGTGTTAAGTAAGTATATTTACATATTATATATTCTTATCACACACAGATCTCTATATTTAATCTTATTACTCATGTATGAGCTGTGGACTCACTGACATTTATTTATGTTACAGAGATATTTTTATAGTAACACGTTTAAATACTTGTATAAAAATGCTCAATTGTTCTGCAATTTTACAATGGTTGCATGATTTTTTGAACTCAAAACTTTCTACTTGTAGCCCGGGAGTGATTTTAACAGAGATCCACAAAAGAGGGGGAATGGATGAGGAGGCTTACCAGAAGGTAAGATTATTTTATCTGGCTTTTCACTTTAAAATTGAAATTTATATGGTATAGACATAATGGAAAAATGACTGCAGTTTGGAAATTTTTTTAACTGGGCAATCAGTTTTTGTTTCAGCAGTACATTTACCTGTTCAGGAAACGGTTGTAAAAAAAGAGATCCTCACTCCCCCCCCCTCCCCCCCCCCCCAAAAAAAAAAGAAAAAAAAAGAAAAAAAAAGAAAGAAAACAAACAGTTTTCTCTTCACAGTGCAATTTGTATTTTAGATATACACATGTAGAATTTTATTGCATCTGTTTCTTTAGAGTGAAAATGACAATTGATGTAAAAAAAAACATTGATTTATCATTTATTGAACACACAATCTAATGAAAACTAGAGATCAAACTTTGAATTTAAATGATAATTTTATGTATACTCAAGTATATCAATATACACAGAAAAACAGTCTATTGCGTTATACATGTACCACACCGTGAATGAATTATGCCTACGTGACAAGTCTATAATTAACACACCAACTTCATTCACAAAACTACAAAAAAAAAATCGTAAGAAACACTTACTATGGGGCAGCAGTATGATCAGTGAGGGTAGGCATATACTGTTGCTGGTGATAATATGTACTATATGTATAACTTTTCAGTCGGTGATAATATGTGTCCATGGACGACAATATGTGCAGTGAGGTCAGGCCTCAAGACCATAAACTAAGAACAGACTTACATGTATGTCAAAATTTAAAATCGATATAACTTTGATATAATTTTGATAATGACACAGAATTTTCACGTCATGTGTCAATTTAAACTTTATACAAATATGCAAATCTTCATGCACATACGTTAAATAAAATTCAAGATATTCAAAATAAAAATTTTGAATTAAGTCTGTTCTTGAGGCCTGGTGCATATTACAGCCGACGACAATATGTACAGAATGACAATGTGTACCGTCACAACCCATTGGCATGCACAAAATAATCAGAATAATGAACACACGAGAGTCCATGTGGGAACATGTACATGGGGCACCCAAGTGTTCATTCGTCTGACTCCCCAGCACTTACAGTATGCATGTATATTTATGAATAAGACCCCAGTTATTAAATTATTTGGTATTTTAGATACCAGGTATTACAGTCATGTAAATCAGATATCAATTTTTTTTTTAAATTCAAAATTTTGTGTCATAGCTTACTCAGTTATAACATTTTAATTAATTAATGTAATTTTAATTACAGTTTCTAGAGCGCACTAAAACTACACATGCACTAGGGCGCCCTGGACAAGTAGAGGAGGTCGCTAACACAATAGCGTTTCTAGCGTCAGACAGCGCTTCCTTTATCACAGGGGTGCAGATTCCAATCGACGGAGGAAGGCATGCACTCTGTCCACGATAACTTCGAGAATCTTAGACCTTCTAAAAGAAAAATTAATATAAAACTGTGTTTGTATTCAGTGCAGAGAATTTTTTATTTATTCTGTTAAGATTTACATGTTTATTTGTGATAACAAAACTACTATCGTACTAGTAAATTCTATGACAGGAGTACATTTGTAAGCTGAATGGAGACACATTCCAAATACAGACTTTGTGATTTTAGTCGGAGGAAATAATTTTTTCTCCCTGTGTAGAATTTGTAATTTTATCAAGAAATTGCAAGATTAAAACATTTCAAAGAAAAATCACGTCATTTTTTTTTACAATGTACTTTTCAGGAGTTGTATATCTAATTTTATATCCTTTACCTTAAATAGTAATTGGAGTTCTTCAAAGCACTATACTTTAAAAGATGCATAGAATGCATATAACTTTACCTGCCGAAATATGTCCGAAAATCTGCCAACTTGGCGTTTAGCAGTAATCAATCAATCAATCAATCATGTAACTTATCTTTTTTTCTCCTGGGACCTTTAAATTTTATAGTATATTAAGTGTCAGTAATTAAATTTTGGCTTCTTAATTAAAATTTCCGGAACTTTTTTAAATATTTGTTTCAATAAATCGGAGCTTGTTACCAGCTAAATGTCATTTTCCCATCAATTTCTGCTTTGCTGTCACAAAAAATATTAAGTTTTTTTTTTTTTGCGTTTGATAATTCAAAATTATAATAGTTAAAGCCTTTATTTAAAAAAAGAAAAATTAGGAATTGGGTTTTGGTGGGGGTTGCTGATCGAATGCTGATTTGTCAGTCCTTGAAGAGAATCTTGGCTGCTTAACTCCTCACAAAATATATTGGTTTGAACATTTTTCTCAATGCAACTATGTCTCGGAAAAATTATATAAAAAACTCAGACAATCTTAAACCTGTCCCATGGTACCAACGATATCACTCTTTGCAGTATATCTCAAAATACATTATATACCTTGACTTTCAACTAGGTTGGATCAGTGAAATATTTATTCCCCGTAAGTGTCTGGTTTGAAAGGATCCATGATGTTCAAGTAGTGTATTGACATAGCGGCATTTTGAAACTCTGCAGAAAAATAAATGGTTTCGAAATGATAAAATATAAAACTAGTTTTAAGACAAGTCAAAATTCATTTGCAATAGTCAGGGACTGAGGTGAAGACACTCATGTAGAACAGACTATAAAAACCTTGTTGTATTGATAAAATGCTGAAATGTATATTTAGGCCATTCCAATTTTAAGGTTTTTTTTATGTTTAGCGTCCGCGGGCGGATTGGTTTCAAATGAGGTTATTCATTCATTCATTCAATCTTTATTTCCCCCTTTCGGAGATTTCATGATACATACAAATTAAATATTATAATGCAAAAAGAACATCATAGAAAAGGTGAAAATAACATATATACATGTCAAAGAGAAACGAAAAAAGAGAGAGAAAAAAGGAAAAATAATGCATACTTTTCGTGGACTTTTTCAACATTTTGAGTAGTCTTGCCATAATAGGCAGTGGCACCACAAACAAATTTTGAGCTTTTACAAATAAATTCTTTAATGTCATTTATATCTGTTAAAGACGTTGGGTCGAGCCCTCCTAGTAATGTTAAATACAATGCATCATTGCTTGACTGTGAAAGCTCTACGTACAAGTGTACGTCCAAGTTATCTACTATGTTGTCAAAGAAAGCATTTCTGATATGACTATAGTGAGTGGGCACACCAACACAGCATGCTGAAATAGATTATCATACACATTTTGACATAAACTACAGATTTGTACCGTAGACGAAGGTGGGGTAGTCCAGAGTTTAGCGAGAAATTTGATGTATGGAACATCATCGAATGAAAAGGTAAATTTCCAAATTTTGATAGGTTTAACGCTATTATGAAGGAAATTTTAAACATTCTGAAGTCGGAGTCTGCTTCTGTGCGGATCTTCCAAGCCTCAGTATGGAAGTGATGGATCGCCTTTTTTACAATAATTTAAATGCAGCTCTACTCGGCCTGAAATGAGGTGGGTTTTATTCTGTAAAATACTGAATATTTACTCTGTAAATTCTACTCTTGTTTTTTTCTTATCTAAAACGATTGGGATAACTAGGCGTACAGGCGTATGCCTATCTCCGACACTGAAGTGTGGCATATTCTGTGTCACGATAGATTGAAATATAGTCAATATTTCGAGAATAATAAGTTGCAATTTATAATAGAAATTTGATCGATGAAACAATTAAAAAAGAAATAAAGAACTTATTGAATTAATTCAACAATTAAAAAATTGTTAAGTAGAAGAAATTCCAATATAGTACAGGTAGCATGCATTTTTATGACCTCCAAACATTAAATATATTAAATAAAGATAAGCGAAGTGATCCTTTCATTTCAACGTTCATCCTTAAAAATAATCACCATTTCCATTTCCTATATAGAGAGCAAATTATTTCAGGATTTGTAAGGGGATTATATGGAAACATAACATATATTCCTTACTTTGTCATTGAAGAAGATTAAGCACTGCTATAACTTGACAAATTCCCATCTTAGACTACATCAAAGGACAGAAACCTATTTTACTCTTCGTCTACCCTATCAATTTCCCCAGTAAACTAGGTCTGAAAACGCGCTAAATGAAATGCAAGAATCAGGGCAGTTATTTTTCGATTAACTGAATTTCGAGGCATTAATTAATCTTGTTTGAACGTATATTGAGCCAAAATTCACGAGAACCAGATCGAATGCTCAATATCCCTATGGAATACTTGTTAGGATAATAATTTAAGTAAATGATAAATAGACTCAATTTAAACCCTGATCAATCCTTCCCGCTCTTCATAAAAAAATTGCACGAGATTTGATTCTCTTGAAAGTATTTTATGAAATCTTTAAGTTGTTCGTAATATTTTTGATGGCCGATCTGCAAAAAAGTCGCTGAATTTAAATAACGTGTAGAAATGAACACGGGAATAAAAAAATATTTTGTGGCATGCGCTTTCTTAACTGCTTCTCTTGGCGATACTCTAAACACTACTACGACTTGTTTAACATCCAAATCTGACTACGTAAGTGGAAAGAAACTGTCCGTCTACCCCATCAAAATTCTGAGTAGTTTAGGTCCGAATACGTGTTTCAAGGAATGCCAAGCTCATGGCGGCTGCCTTTCAGCAAACTTTGACCGAAAAAAATTCACCTGCCAACTGCTTAGTCAAAAGAAAAGTGGTACCAAACCTTTGACAGATGATGGGGAATTTTTCCACATGGAATTTCCAGACATTGTAAGTTAAATAAGACTCATTTAGAATGCTACTGATACAATGTATGAAGATCTGGGAAATGATTTCACAAAAGCCAAATTTCACATTTTATAGTAATTTTTAGAAGAAAATTCGTTCCAAAGATATAAATGTTTCAGTCCTTTATACATGCAATTTATATTCGCCAGGAGTCTGAATTATCAATGCAAATACTCTCGATTGAACACAAGAAAACAATTTCGATTTCGAATTTGATATAGATACATGTTTAAAGAATGAGGTAAAAAATTTCAAATATGTAAGTTATTCATGAATAATTTTGAATGCATATTATTGTCTTTTTATGCATGTCATTAACCAAAACATATCAGTTTTCATAAATGCAAAATGTTCAGCTATGCAACAATGGAAGTTAGAGACGAGAAAACATGTACTCTTGCCATTTGGCTTCACAATGTTAAAAAATACATTTTAATCACTTTCACGGAACTTTTAGTTAATGCAAAAATAATGATACGACAATTATAGGAAGCTTAATTGTTTTTGAATTTTTTTCTGTCAGAGAATGTCAGAAACAATCTATATAGTAATACATTCTTTAAAGCCTTCAACGCAAAGTTTTGCATAAGTCCAGTTTCAGGAACTATTTTTGACGTTATTGTACAGTTATTTCGAGCCCGTCAAAGCACAGACCTTTAAAGATGACATTTGAGCGCAATGACACTATTAAGAAATATGAAGATAACGAACAGTTATCAAGCTCAAAAGACCTTGGTACAATACAAATCGGGAGCAGAGCAAACACAGTCCTCTCGTAAAACATCAGAGGTGAGATCAAGTACCATTGAGGAGTAAGCATCCACTGTCACACCCACCGTGTGCTCCTTGTCATGATCGAGCAAAGGAAAAAATATATATACCAGTCAGTGTGAAAATAATGGCCTAACAATGAAAAACGTCAGTCAGCATTCGATTTAATGATAGATTATATTTACTACTAAAATTAGGTCATTGTATCGACCATAGAAGTTGCTAAATGTTGACTTTAAAGGGAACTATTGATATCCAAGTATCATCAACTTATTTGTCAAAAGCTTGTCTCGTTTTAGAAATTTTTGTACATAGAGTATGCTCTACTGGGAGACATTTGCAGGTAATAATGGTATATTGCTACATAAATGAGGGAAGTGATGATATAAAAGATGAAGTCATTACGTTAATCATAAAGTTTTGTTGTTAGTTTTCCATTCATGTCTTAATAATGATAGGAAATCGTCTTTTATGCTAAGGATGGACTAGAAGAATTCTTTTAGAAAAATCAAAATTAGATATACATGTTTATCAAATTTCATGTCTTTGCCAATAGTCCGATGGAAGAGAGAAAATATGCGGCGAGGTTTCATGCAACAACTACTCAACTTGTAAACTTACAACTTTTAATAAAAGAGTATGTATTGAAACAGGTATGTTATAACTTAGAATATTATGCTTTAGATTTGTGTATGGGGCTTAATTTGTATATTCAGATAACTGCAGAAAGTATTCAAGACGATAATTATTTCGTCTCGAAATGTGATTGCTGGCGGCTCAACTGGATTTGATAAATCTGTATGTGCTGAGGCTGAGTAGAAAAAAAACTACTCATGGTTATATTTTTATTGTGTAACCTACACGGAAAACAACTAAAATGTTATCATTTGTTAAAAAAAAAAATTATAATTATTATTATTTGTTTTATTTTATTTATTTTTTTAAAATATATTTTGTAATGACAGCGCAGTTTTGACAGATGACTGTGTTTGTTTTTCTTTTTTATACCAATCTGTCGCTTTATGAAGATAAATCCATTTGCCTAGTATCTTTAACAAAATAAGTAATAGTCTTTCAGTTGAGCCTATTCGGCTAATATATTTTTAATAACAGGATTGCACAAACCTTTTTTTCTCCGAGACTGTTTCATTATCGCTCGTTCAAATTATTGTTTAAGTGCATCTAAATTATTGAAAATGTCTTTATTAACCGAAATCAAACATTTCCCCCTTTATTTCAAAAATAATTAATTATGGGATTTTCGATTCTACATTGTATTCAGATGAACAAATAATATGAGAATGCATTGTTACTTCTGTGTATATTAATTTTTTTTCCCTGAAGTGCGGACATGTAAACAAAATGCTAAAGATTACTTTTGAAAGTTTTAATACCTAAACAATAAAAATTGATACATACAGTGTATAGGGTGATATGCACTGTCCTATTACATGCCATGTAATATTTGATACTTAAAGTGTAAAGAAATAAAATACAGCTGATAATTTGTAATCTATTACAAAAAAGGTGGAGGGATGAAAAAATATTGCATGCAAGTCAAGATTCAACAATATCACAGGTCTCGATTAACAATTCACATTTATAGACAATGGTACAGAAGTGTACGATATATGTAAAATGTCTTAAGTTTGCAAGATGAAAATTTTGATTGCAATTGCTATGTAAAAAGTAAAATAAAACTAGTGATGCAAATTCACTATGAAAATATGATTTTTGTTAACATAAATTTGTGCCATTTTTAGATGTTTTAATGGATTTCTACTATTTCTGTGTTTTCAAAAACACATTTTAAAAAAAATCCATAATCAGTAATTCTTCTAGATTGCGCAGAACCTCTTCCAAATTTGGTAAACGGAGAGGTAATAACGCAGACGAATAATCCGATATCGGCTACATTTGGCTGCAACACTGGATTCACCGGTGTTGGTTCTAAAAATACCATTCACTGCTCACCAGGAGGAAGATGGACATTGTTATCTTACAGATGTGAGCCGCCAGGTAAGGAATTTGAAACTCTCAAATCAATTTTATGCTAACAGCTCATTAAACGTTTGAATTTCAGGTAGGTTCAATCATCGATCTGTTGCCAGATAGCTCAATTAGTATAGAACACTTGTCTAGAGCTCAGGGGTCCAGGTTCAAATCCTGGTCTGGTCTATTATATTTTTTCTCCCTTGCTGTATTTTTTAGTCTGTTGACCTTCCCTGGGCTTGCAACTGCCAAGGGCAAAAGAATCTGGTTCGGGTTCGGTGTCTTGGGGGGGGGGGGTGAAAACATTGAATGAGGGTGAAATATGACGGCCATGTTTGTTCTCTGTAGGGCAGATATCTTGGCTTGGTGAGTACCTATCTAGAAATTCATATGGCTCGGGTTGAATCTTATTCTGCTCCGTCGCATTTTCCCCATTCCTTTTTTTTTTTCAAATGAGATAATGTACTTGTTTAAATAGACGTTTAGTTTGCAAAATGTCTGTTTGTGTGCATAGGACCTTTGTTAAGCTTTCTTAAGGTCTACAGTCCTTGGATAACTTATGTAGTCTTTGTACAAAATATGATTTAATTAATATTGAGAATACTATACGTTAACTTTACACGAGACAAATTGCAGAAGAAATTTGGCTGAATATTCAAATATTATGATATAGATCGGATTGAATTTTTCTAATTTTGTTTTCATTTTCAGCTCTAACGTTGATTACAATTAATGAGAGCATAAATCGATGGTAAGGTGTCTGTTCGTCTGTTCATCTGATTGACATTCTCTCCACATTTTTATGAGTTGATGGTATCAACTCATGTTATGTGACTTGTTAGGGATTCCCCGATGTATCGAAACTAATCACATTTTCATTTGAGTATTTTGCGTACAGGTTCTAGTATAATATTGGTTTATTTACAATTTTCATGATCTACAGAACAAGAATATGTTTCCTGATATGCTTTGAAGTGTTTATAAACATAAATATTTATTATTAATTTTTTTGGAATTTGTGTCTATCCACGAGAGAAAATAGTGTTAGGGACATGCGGTCAACAAAAGTGACATGTCGTGCCAAAAAAATTTGATTTATAAATAAATAAAAGTTTTATATAATAAGTATTTTGAAAACAGATTTTTAAATAGAATTCACAAAATTGAACATTGTACGTACAAACCAGGTTATTTTTACAAGATTGACGTGCTGATGGTATATAAATAAACTAATTCTTGCGTTGTTATGCTGATGAACAAGAGCAGTTTTCCCGCGTTAGTGATGAATCATCACTGCCTATGTTTGTAAACAAACACTAAATTACTAATCTCAAACGGAAGAAATGAGCTGTACCAGTTGAAAAAAAAAAATTGAAATTAATGTTCTTATTTCTTGTGCAAGCAATAAAATATTTCGATTGCTTCAAGGGTTAGATTTTTTCAGCAGTGGACAACTTTGTGCTCCAATTTCATTAACCCTGTTAAAAACACTGTTGAGAATTCCTGTCTTCCACAATCTAGATCTGCCTCACAGCAAGTTTTAAATACAGCAATGATCACTTAACACACCTGTGATTCTTATCTCATTAATAATTGTCGGCGCTATACTGGAAATTGGTTTCCTTTAATATGTCCAGCTGTGTTTTAATTGCTATGATGCTGGCCATGTGATAAGTGAATTAATAGTACTGAAGGCAATAAATAAAAAAAGAAAAAAAAAAATAAGTGGGTTGTTATTGATAAATTAAATGTGAAATGCAGATTAATAAATGTGAAGAGATCAAGAAATCAAATTAATTCAAGAGTAGATAGATCATGTAAATTGTAAATATCATGCAATTATGATGAATTTAAAGTCTTCAGTCGAAAAAGCCCAAAGAACGGAAATATTAAACGTGCATACATGTACATGTATCAATGAAAGTCAAGTAGTGAATTTCAAGAAAGGCTAAACCGAGAGAAATGATATATAAAATGTGCATATCAATCAAAGTAATGTAGTTATATTTCAAGGGTGACAAAACCAAACGAAATGACACATAAAAATTAACGCTCATTTCAGTTAAAATTTATGTCAAGAAGTTGAATTTCAAGAGTAGCGTAATCAAGAGAATTAAAATATTTTTTGTGCATATCAATGATCATGATAGACAGGGGGTTGAATTTCAAGAGTGGCTAAATCAAGAGAATTGAAATATCATATGTGCATGTAAATTTGAAAGACAAGGAGTTGAATTTCAATAGTAACTAAATCAAGAAAATTGAATTAGGTAATATACATATAAATGAAAGTAAAACAAATGAATTTTAAGACTAGCTTAATCACGAGAATTGGACCATATTGATGTGCATTGAAAATGTCAAATTGTTTGTCAATTTAAGAAAGCAGTGAAAATATCCAATGAGCATGTTCATGAAATAATTCAATTTGTGCTATTTGTAAATAATAATTCCCTACTTGTAATACTATTGTAGGTTTGGCCTATTAATTTGAGATATGTGTGTTTAAAGCTTTTTCTTTTTACCTTTTTTATTTGTTTGTATTTTTTTTTTGTCTATTTAGGAGTTGTTTTAGTTCTGTAACATGATCTTACAACAGTCGTGCCATTTTTCCCTATTTGAAATTTTCTAGTCACTTGATATATAATATTTCTGTCAAATGATACCGAGTGCCCAAAAAACTGTTCTCGGTAGTTTTAATAATGATAGTCTGTGCTCTGTGACCATTTCGATGATGGTATCCTTTAATATTTTGAAAAAATACAAATTACTTTAAATGCAAGCTACATTGTCATTTTACGAAAAATCCCAAAACTAATAAGCATTTTTTGTTTTCTATGTTTAAAGGTTCGATCTCTGATAAATTAATATACATTCCAGTAGATATTAAAAAATAAATAAATAAATATACGTGTTAAAAATACATGATGGAAAAGGTGTAAAAAAAATTATATAATTTTATTTTTCAAAGAAAACGAAAAGAAAAGATTTTAAAGTGATAGTTTTCATCATTGCACATAATATAACATAATTCAAATATGGATTACAGACCTCAACTCATTTAAACATTATATAATCAATACCATCAACTCGTAGTAGTACTTTCAGTACTTTGATTTTTTCAAAGTGCTACTCCTCCTTCAGTTTTGACCTGGTCAGTTGATTTGGTACACTTGAAGCCTAATTTAGAAAGAATTTGGTTTATCGGTTTTTGATTTCAACGGACGTTGTTTACGTTGACATGATACCAAAAATCGAAATTTACGGGATTCTTTTTCAAAATGCTCCTTATCATGCAGTGTTTGTTTTCAATTGAACTTAGTTCACAGCTAGACTATACTTATATCCCCAATTCTTTGTTCCACTTTTCGATTTTAAATGACGTACGGATGTTGTCAAGGGTACATTTGCGTAATTTTTCTTTAAACAACTTGGATTTCAAGAAATCTTGTAAAACAGATTTATATATGAAAGTAAACAATAGTGTTTATTTGCTTTTTTTCCCAATGAACAATATTGTATTGGTTACTGAAATTGACCATAATTCTTGTTTGAATAGAAACTTGTATGTTACAACTACTTTTTGTCCACAGTTGAATAATTAGTTGTTTTGCCTAATGTTTAAACTAATATTATTATGCAAGGTGTAAGTATATAAAAAAAAACATTCAGAACATCTGGAAAAAAAACCTATTCAACGTTCATTAATTTTAAAGTGCATGTGCGTTTAGTTCAAGGGGGATGGAGCAGTTGGGGTGAATGGGGTACGTGCTCTAGGACCTGTGGAAGTGGAACAAAAGACCGATCACGTAGCTGTAATAATCCAAGTCCTATGTACGGCGGAAACTACTGTATTGGAAATTCAATAAACACAATATTGTGCAACACCAACAACTGTCCAAGTAGGTATTTTTTTTAAACAGTCTAATTAAAATCAAATCAAACACGAATTGCGAGGTCAATTGATTTAATTTCTCCGAGATCATTGTCTAGGGATTGCACCGAATAAAAAGGTTACCCTGTCTAGGAACATATTGTATATTAATTTCTGTATAAATATATTAAAGATTTATGTACTGGTATCTGTTATAGATCAATTGCATTTCAAAAGAGTTTTACATACACTACATTTTTTCCATTCAAAGAAATCAATATTTAAGTGCTTCTTATTCTACAATGCCAACGGTAAAAGTCATTCATGATTATGCATGAAGCAAAAATCCATTCATCCCATACATAATGAAAATGTGAAAAAGGGTTCAAAACGTACACTGCAGTGCGTTCAGAAAGCGGTTCTACATATGTTGAAGTGTGTGTTTTAGTTCACGGGGGATGGAGCAGTTGGAATGAATGGGGTACGTGCTCTAAGACCTGTGAAAGTGGAATGAAAGACAGATCACGTGACTGTAATAATCCAAGTCCTATGTATGGTGGGGACTACTGTAATGGAAGTTCAATAGACATAACATTGTGCAACACCAATGACTGTCCAAGTATGTCAATCGTTGAACAGTTTTAATAAACAGATAAAGGTCCTTTTTTTATCTGTGCAATACTGACCATGTGTAAATTTAATTTTAGATTTATGGTTGCCTTCTTAATTGAAAATCATGGAAATAATTTTTAAAATAAATTTGTTTTAGTCGATGGAGGCTGGGGTTCTTGGAGAAGCTGGACATTATGCACCAAAACCTGTGATACTGGGAGCAAGTCCAGAAGCAGAGGCTGTAACAACCCTTACCCTCGAAATGGAGGAGCAGGCTGCAGCGGTGTGTCAAAGCAGTTTACAGTCTGTAACACAGATGAATGCCCAGGTAATTCACAAAATTATAATCAGAATATATTTCATTTACAGTTTGAAATAGCTTTCATTTTGAAAAGATATACTGGTCAAATTAGCGCATTTCTAGTGACTCTAAACAATAAATACCTTTTCATACCATTTATTAAGACAAATGCAGATACTTGATAATATGCTTACATGTAGTAATTATAAGACTTCATATATTTGGGTATTATTTACATTTATATCATTAGATTATAAATGTATTTTGAAGAATTTTTAAGATGAAAGCACTGCAAATCAGTGCACTCAAAAACGGTGATGTATTTTTCTATTTATGACGTAAGCGATCCTAAATAATCATTCTTATTTAATAGGGATGGCAATCGATTAAAGAATTGCTAATCGGTTAACCGCAAGACGTCCCGAACGATTAACCGGTTATCAAAATTCACGTTTTCTTGACAATTGTTTTTCAAGTAGCTCTGTCCATATTTACAAATAGACTCAAATACTTCGACGATAGAAGTGAAAACATTCCATTAGTTTTGATTCTGGATCAGAAAACTACGGGTATATATTTTTTATTTAAATTTCAGTAGACAAGAAAAAATTGAGAAAACCATGAAAAAAGCCTAAAATATCTATGATAATTTTCCAGAGCAGATGTCACACAAGTTCTTTCTGCATTTTCACTATGATAATCAAAACTACATGTGAACTCTATAGCCCTTAATTTACAATGTTTGTTTAATAATGAAATTGGATTGAAAACTGAAAACGACAAACACACCAATTCACAGTGCTCAATGATTCAATTATTATCATTAAAGAATTACAGGACAGTGTAGGTAACGGCATGGTATTTTCATAGTACTAATAAACACTATATATACTGACCAATTACGCAACGGTCTCAATCTGGAGATTCATAATTACATGTACGTCCAAATTAGCTTCGTTAAATCCTAAATGATCATCCTTTGTGCAGAGATTTCTTTTTTAAAATAAATTTAATAAAAATTTGTTCAGTTTAACAAATATTTTATTTTTTCCGATTAACCGATTACATATTTTCTAATCGATTGCCATCGTTCCAAACGAGTAATCGGTTAACCGATTACAAATTGCCATCCCTATTATTTACTCATTAATCTCTTCCTGTTCATACTAAGAATTTTTGTACTTATTGTTCATTTGGTTTACATTTTCTTTAAAATCTAAGTAACTTTTTTTTATCTTATGATACGTTGAAGAGAGAGAGAGAGAGAGAGAGAGAGAGAGGATCAGGGTACATATTGAGTGTTTGAGCCCTGTTCATAACACGATTCTTATTCTTTACTGGATTTTTGAGATTGCTCACAGTTCATTATCTTCATCTTTTACATTCAAAGAACATGGTGACAATAATTAACAGAGCTCAATTTTTATAAATCCTACAATTATATCAAGACCAGGCTCCGGGGCCATAAAACTTAGATGAGCTCACTTTTGATCTCAGTCTCGTTTTTCCCTCATACACAATCCTTTAGTGAAAGTGTGACTGAAATCAAAAGTGAGCTCGTCTAAGGGCAACAACTCTTACCCATGGAAATGCTATTATATAAATGTCAAACAATTTGAATGAAACAACTTGAAGCTAAATTGCAGTATTATGTACATCAATGTTCAATAAATATATATTTCTTCATTACGCCGAACACGTCTTCTCTTTTCCGTTATACATATATTTACATTAAACTCTTTATATATCAGAATATCAAAGTATTTCATATCATGATGAATGTTCTGATAAAGATGCTTTGGGGCATATGTTATTCCAAATAAAACGAGTGAATGACGAGTGTAAGTTCTACAAAACATTGATGCATTTTGTTCTCTGTATTTTCTAGGATGGTGGCGTGGAAGGAGAAAATGAAATGCTTTCGATGACCTCGTGTAATCTCTCTCTGATTAGGAGCTTCTCATTTTACAACAGAATCTACAGAACTTGTTCTTCTAACGTGGCCAAACTAAAAAAAGATCAATAGCATGCAATATTATGATACGTTTTGAATCGAATGCGTACATTGTATTCAAAACAACACATATTGCAAGGGCATATAGTAACAACATCGGATGATTCCTTGGTCTTTATCTTGAACTAAAGAAAGTGTTTGTTTGTTTGTTCTTTAAATAAATATAGACACAAATCTTCTTTGTTATTGCACCCAATGAGACAAATGAACACACCTTAAGCTTTTGCACTTGCATTTGAAAAAGCTACATGTAGCTCGCTTCCCTATATAGATATCGTAATCGCACTCACCTTTGGATGAAGTTCTGCACGTAAACATTGCATCGTTGCATCATTAAATGGCAATCAACTTATCGAAAGATGTTGCTAAATGTGCCCAAAGATCCAGGAGAATGTACGAAAATCATGGTATTTTTTCATAAATAACGTTTCAGAAAAAGAGCATTTATGCTAATTGCTTAACACCACAAGGTAAAATATCATACGTGCTACTTCTATTATTCTGTGTTGCTGCTTTATTATAATAAAATTCAATCTTAATTGATTGCTGAGCACTCATTGATTCTTTTTTTGTCATATATTTGCCCAGATCCATGGGGCGCCTGATTGGTTTACAAAACCCATATCGAATACCACAGTTAGGGATATCAAATTATAATAAGTAAATGAACAATGCATGTATTTGTATCTCTAACCAATCCTTCTCATAATGATAAATTTACAAGATATTTGAATCTCACTTATGTATTAACTCTCTTCTTGTTTGAAACACCTAATGTTTAACAATGTGTGAAATTGTACACAATAATAAAAGCGGTAGTAAAAACTTTTTTGATGAGCGCTTTCTTAACGGTGTCTCTCAGAAAATAGCCTAAATACAACCATGGCTTGTTTAACATCCAGATTCAGACTACATAAGTGGCAAGAAACTAACCGTCGTCCCATAATTTAGCAATAACCAAATCTTAAAAGTTAGAGCAGCAATTGTTCAAAATTTAAGAATGTTTTTAATTAATAACATTGTCACCTGTAATGGACATTGTTTTTTTTTTACCTGTAGTATTAGAAAGATCTGTAGTTCAGAACGAATTTGTATCAGAATTGTCATTACATAAAGAAAGACATTTTCGATTGAAAATGAAATAAGAATTCAATGATCTGATTTCAATATGGATAACTGGTTATGGGGAAAAAGACTTTTAATTCAAGAGCTGATCATAAATACCTTCAAAGGGAATATTATTTACTTATTATATGTTTTTACCTGCATGGCCACTGGTGGCCATAGGTCTTGTTACATGTACTTCTCCATTCCGTTCGTCAGGCAAAGGGTTTTCATTGTGTAATCTCTTTCAACTTCATTTTAAGAATTCCCGCTGGAAGTAGTTGGTATGTGCGCTTACAGTCATCTCTAGTAGCCCTTGGCACCACTAAATGGAAAGACCACTCCAACACTGCGTTTATATGCTTCCATATCAAGCATCCCCTTTGTTATACCACGGAAAGTTTTGTTTTACACACTACAGTTTACTTGAGCAATCGTCCCCTTGTATCTGAAATGTGTAACTAATCATATTTTGACTGATCTTGCTGTGTCCCCTTGGAATCGAAGACAAGAGGGCGAGTAAACTAAAACAATTTTTGTACTATCTGATGATATATATATATATATATATATATATATATATATATATATATATATATATATATATATATATATATATATATATATATATATATATATATATATATATATCCGTGATGTAGCGTTAATCTTAAATATTCAATCAATTAAATCTGGCTTAAATTTAATTCTGTTTTGTTGGATATTGTCAGAAAGAAAGAGAAAGGGATATAGAGAGAGATCGATCCTTTTAACAAAGATTTGATTGACTGTTTCGCATCTCAGACCCAAACATCCATTGTCAAGTGACCTTGCCGCTCTGTCCATGATGATAACCTATCATTGATAATCATAGTTTTAATAATTATGCATACAATAGCATAGTCACATATCCTTGAAGCATGGGCTTGGAGGGTGTTTTGCTATCAGCGAAAATCCTTTGCCTGAGTGTGAAACATGTACTAACGTAAAATATAGGTCGCTACTACGATAGATGCTAATGCAAGGTAAGCACTATAGTAGGAAATCATTTATTTAAAAAAGCAATGAAATTTTATGCTAATCACCGAGCAATGAAATTTTATGCTAATCACCGAACAACTCGGTATGAAATATTTTACGTACTCTTTTGATATAGTGTGTTGTTGTTTCATCATTATGAAATTGCTAAGCAATTACGGTTTAAAGATTCTTTTTATCCAATATTGAGCTCAAATTACGAGCCATTTGATCAGTGCTTCAACATCAATATTGAATACCACGGTTAGGGATAATAAATTAATTTAATGATCAATCCATCTATTTTGAGTTCTATCCAATCTCTATCAAAATCTATCCCTCTCATCACGATGAAGTTACAAGACATTTGACTTATAAATGGTATTTAATAAAACCTCCTTCTTATTTGTAATATTTTTCATGACCGCTCTGAAAGTAAAATCACAGAATGTGAAATGATGCTTTAGGATGTACACAATGATAAAAAGGGGATGTTTTTGTGTGTGTGCTTTCTTAGTAGTATCGCTTAGTAATTGTCTAAACACAGCCACGAGTTGTTTAACACCCAAACCAGACTACATAAGTGGAAAGAAACTCTCCGTCTACCCAATCAAGCTTTTTGACAGGATAGGTCTGAATTTGTGTTTCAAGGAATGCCAGGCTCATGGTGGATGCCTTTCAGCAAACTTTGACCGAAAACACTTAACCTGTCAATTGCTAAGTAGTAAGAAAAGTGACACTAAGCCATTGATAGATGATGTGGATTTTTTTCACATGGAGCTACCAGACATTGTAAGTTAATGATGCCAATTTACACAATGTTACAATGTAAGAAAGCATAATAACAATGTATAAGTTTTGCAGAAAAAAGGAAATTATTTATCAATAGCTAAAATAATCTCGTTCACATATAGGAAAAAGTTTTAGCAGAAAAAATGCTCAAAAGATATGAATGCTAATATTCCTTATACATGTTATACGTGGTACCAATTAATATTATCACCCAGCTGCAATGAACTTTGTTCTCTTACCTGGTATATGAGTTTAAGGTTTGAAATCTTTTAGTATACGTCGAATTTGTATCAGAACTATAACTAATGATAAATATTTTTGATTGAAAATGAAATAAAAATTCTATTATAAGGATTGAACGTAAAATAATTCAAAGCTAATATTATTCATTCGTCTTTTACACGCATGGCCACCGGCTGTCAGAGGCCGTACTAGTTACATGTACATGTTCGAGTGGGCGGATGGAGTGGGGGTACCTCTACACTCTGTTCGTCGGGTAAAGGGTTTTCATTGTGTCATCTGCATCTCTTAAAGTTTAAATTTAACATTTTCGAAACTTTGCACATTGATTGTACACCTGCATAACATCTATCCTTGATTAATTCAGGAAAAAATTAATTATTTCCATTGCTAAAGTTTTTTTAAAAAATAATATTTCATAAACTTAAAATGATCAAATAAATAACATTGAAAGAAGTGATAAGAGAGCACCTTTGAGTTTTTTTCTTCTGGTTTTTCTTTATGCCCCACTTCATTGAACTTTACGTTAGTCAATGTTAAGTTATGATATGACAGTAATAGGACATTTGGTTGTAGGATATTTATTTTTCTTAATTTTGTCTGCAGAATTTAGAAACTAGCTTTATCCTTCAAAGTGTACCATGCAATTACAAGTGTGTTTTATCCAGACTTCAAAACTATTATCTTATGACGTTCTGCAGATTTTGTACCAGTCGATCAAAAGGTAAACCTTGAAATTTAGGGTTTGAAAAGATTAATTCCATAGTCTTTCACACAAAAGATGAGAGACAAAAAAAAAAAAAAAAAAAAAAAAAAAAAAAAAAATAAAAAAAAAAAATAAAAAAAAAAATTAAAGAATCAAAATTAAATATAACATGTGATTATCAAATTTTTCTCATTTTCCAATAGCCTGATGGAAAAAAGAAGATGTGTGGCGAGGTTTCATGCAACAATTACTCAACTTGTATAATCACAACTTTTAATAAAAGCGTTTGTATAAAAACAGGTATGTTAACTTCTCAATTTATGCTTGTTTACAAATTTTCAAGCACCATAGAATATCAAATATTCAGTTTACTGTAAAATATATTCAGAGTGATTTTCAAAAACGATTATTTATTTGCCACACAGTGTGAACACTGGCTGCTCATCTCGTTTGTGCTGGGTTGAAAAAATTAACTTCGTGCGATTATTTTTATCTTAATCTTTTTCATAATCCCCATCCACAAGCAATTAATATTTTTTTTTATCTTAGATTTCTTCATATTTTGAACGCACGTCCTAAACAAGATACTGTGTATTACGACAGAATTTGCCAGTTGCAACAACGTTTTATACATGCATCTGTCATGTACTTTTAATGAAATTAATAGGAATAGTCTCCAGTTTTACCCACTTGAATGATCGTGGAGTGCAATTACATTTTTCTTATATTGATACTATTTTATTAAACCTTTCAAAATTGCACGTTAATTGTTGAAAGTTTTGTTAATTGCCGAAATCAAACATTTTTTTATTTGCAAAATAATTCACTATTTTGAGAATTTTGATCTGATGTTGTATATAGAGGACAAATGATTTAATTTGATAAGTGAGGGATAAAATAAATGTGAGAGAGTTCATGAATTGCGCTCTTATAGTTAAAAACTAAGGATGAAAATGATTGCATGCATGCAACTTTAATTGAACAGTCAGGTAATCACTGCCCCGCAGGACCTGACATGTCTTGTTACTTGATTCTTTTTACACATAGGGTCATCATGACCTTTCCTTGGTGCCAGCTTTACAATAGACAACAGCTGTATAATTTTCATTACATTTATTAAAAGACTTGAACAAAAACATAGACAATCTTGCATTACTCATAACTATGATGGACATCAGGGAATTGGCATTAAATGGCCGCATTGCATAAATGTACAATCAAAAAATAGGGTCCAGGAGGGATAGCTGGCATACCGACTAATAAGTACCGGGCAAAACCAGTGGCCCTGTGTTGGTCACAGATGCCCGAGATCCCAAATTTAGGTACTAGACATTAGGGACCGAGAGATTTGCGAGCACATCTGTATACCCTGCTTCCGGTGATTGCTTCTGGTCAGCAGTACTTTTACACCCAAGTACTCCAGTACTAAGCCTCCCCTCCTGTTACAAGAGGTGGAGGGGGCCCCAGGCCTGCAGACTTGGCTACGACCCCAATCGAAAACTTTTTACTTGTCTTTTTACTTGACTTTTATTACACATTGCCATAGGTTGGATACTTTGTAGACAACCTGTCTACCCAACAATAAAGGAATTGATTGACTGATGTTCTGGGAAGGACAGGTGATGGATGAGTCTAAAATCTCCATCTTTTTTGGGGACAAGTCCTAATGGTGAGATTTGAAGGGATGGGAATGGCGGGTATTCAAATGGTCCCCCTACCCTCTGGAGCAGGAGTTCTTTATGTATTTTGTGTTCCACTATACTGGGGTTTACTATAGCACTTTTAAAATTTTTTGATTCCCTGTAAATTCTTGGGCCATTGTACTGGAGTTGAAAACCATGTAGGAAACCGTTTATGAGAAAAGATTTAGCACTGTAACCTTGTAGATAAGCAGACAAATTGTAGACATCAATTGGAGTTTTTCCTAAACTGTTGATATCCTCGTTAGAATTGAGTATTTCTATTCCTGCATTTGATCGAGGGGTGTGATCCGCCACATGAATTGCACGAGTGGACAAACCCGAGATGTTGCTCGACGTCTCCTCGTCTTGGCCCTCCAGACGTCCTGTGGGTTCGTATTCGTAAGCCTCATGGGTTGATTCCGCCACCGTTACTGTGGCTGGGGACGTTGATGTTGCAATACTGGTCCGGTTTCCCCTAAGTCGTGGTCTTGTGTTGGTGGGATGTCCCGCCTCGTGTGTGGTCCGCTTGGATCTCCTTCCTCGCCCTCTGCCCGGCGAAACAAAATTACGATCGCGCTCCTTTCTAGAGCGTGAGGTGATCGTCTGTCTAACTGGCGGCATAGCTGAGACCAGGTAGCGTGTAAAATTGGTTTGACTTCCTTCGGATGATTGCGATAATAATTTTGATGTGGATCTCCTGCCTCACCCTGTTGCTGGATGGCGGGAAAAGGAAGTGCTACCTAATTAATCAACTCGTACCAATATGAGTCTTTTTCCTTTTGGATTATAACCAATTCGTTCCACTATTAGTTTTAAAAATATTGTAATGTGCTTCCGTCAATTAAATGAGATTAATTTGGTATAAGGGCAAATTAATCTGCCTTAATTTCATACATATCACAATTTATAATTACACACGAGTGTCAGTGGTATTATACACTAAATGTCTTTTATTTGCTGAAATCTTTAAGTAATATATCAAAATTTAAAACTATTCAAAACCAAAATAATGCAAATACATTTTGAAGTAGGTTTGACTTTTGTGGACATTTATTATTAACCTATAACTATATCCCTTTTCTTGAAAAAGTTTTACCACACTGTATTTACAAAAACAGCAGCTGGTTATCGTGATCCATAGTTAATCATTCTCCTAGACTGTGCAGAGTCTCTTCCAAATTTGACAAACGGAAAGGCAATTATTCGGACGAATAATCCGATATCGGCTACATTTGGCTGCAACACTGGATTCACTGGTGTTGGTTCTACAAATACCATTAACTGCGCACCTGGAGGAAGATGGACATTGTTATCTTACAGATGTGAGCCCCCAGGTGAGGAATGAACTTGGAATTGTCTAATCAATAATGATAGCTAATTAATTTCGATTTCACTGTAATCAGTATTAGACTTTCCCAATGCTCCTATAAAAAGGACAATATATTAGTCAACATCCATTTATTTAGAAAATTTTTAAAACTGTGTTCCATCATTGTTAATCGGTCTCTAAAGGCTTAAAGTTCTTCGAAAATTTTATATAATGTAACATATAACAATATAATTAAAATTAAGAATACAATAAGCTTGTAAGCGCTGAATTGTAAATAGAATTGGTTAGGGATTTTAACAATTTTGAAGTATTGTACTCATATTTAATTGATAAAATTTTGTTGAAGTTCAAAGGATCTAGGGAATCATCCATTCTTTTCTGTGTGAATTTTTATTATGATAATAATCAAATTAAATATAAACGACCAAAAATGAGCTCATAGTGCAAGCTTTATTACTAATGATATTTTATAAACTCCCGGCACTCCAAAATTTATTTCAAATTTCTGTTCACAAGACAGGAAAATATAAGATTTTGAAAAAAAAACAAACCAATACAGTTATATTGATGCAATATCTGAAAGTACTAAACTAAAAGCGAAATATTTCATATTTTGATAATTCAATATTTTGATAAATTAGTTAAAACTTGTTTAGTCTCGAAACCTTGGCTGGACTATACAGCATTCCGAATCAAACATCACTTCAAAAATGTTATTTACTGATCATGAAATGGACTAAAAGTTAATATCGTAATAGACAAGACTTAATTCGGAATACACAACATCCAGATTAGACAATTTTTATTGTAATAACCTAACGTGGTGCCTCTAATAATGTATGTCAGCATATTTAAAGTCTGAATTTATAGTTCACGGAGGCTGGAGTAGTTGGAGTGGATGGAATACGTGCTCTAAGACATGTGGGAGTGGAACAAAAGTCCGATCACGTAGCTGTAATAATCCAAGTCCAATATACGGAGGGAACTACTGCACCGGAAGTTCAATAAACACAGCATTGTGCAGCACGAACAGCTGTCCAAGTAGGCCATTTTTGTAATAGTCGAAAGATATGCACTATACATTTTTTTTCATGCAGACTGGTCAGCATTTGGTGCATGTTATTCTACAACCATCCAATCACGATTTAAAATTTAGCGTCATTATTATAATATATCAATTCTCATGCATACATATTTATAGTCTCTAAAATAAGACCTGGTATTTATGTTCTCCTTAGAGCCGCCAAGAAAAGAATATTTGAAATATTTCAGGAAAAAAAATACAACTTGACTAAGCGATCATACTTTAATATAATATACCTTGATATATTTTGGTTATTACTAATAAATTCTGTAAGTTGTTTTGGTCTGACGGGTGGATTTCCTTGAGAGGTGGATAGATCATTGACGGATAATGTACGTCAATATTTAAATATTGTGCCATCAACCTTTATTAGCAAATACCTGATATAACTTGAATTCATCCCGGTGTATTTATTTGTAAAAAATTCGATGCCTCAATAAAAAAGTTTGATAAATAGTCATTTAGCTTAGAATAAATGATGTGTATCTTAATGGCTTCATGTACCTAAACTCCCCCCCCCCCCCCAAATTCATTGTGAAATACTATTGCAGTGTCGTCTAAAATTAAATATTAAAGTTCATTCGTTATATACCAATATTTACAAAGATGCATAATATTTAATATATAAGTAATAATATCTTTTAATTATTATGATAATTTTCAGTAACTATGTTAATTGATGTATAATGGACAATCGAATATTGTTTATCGGCAATAGAAGAAATTTAAAACAAAAATATATATATATATATATATTAGCCGAAAATTGTGAAAGAAATATAGAATATAAATATATATGTAATATCTACATGGTCTAGCTCGTGAATATTTATTTCAGAAAGAAAATCGTGAACGTTATTTTGATCATTAATTGGTTTCAGTTGATGGGGGCTGGAGCTCTTGGGGAGGCTGGTCATCCTGCTCAAAAACCTGTGATACTGGGAGCAAGTCTAGAAGCAGAAGCTGTAGCAACCCTTACCCCCAGTATGGAGGGGCCGGCTGCAGTGGCTCGTCACAGGAGAGTACGAACTGTTTCAAAGAGGAATGTGGTAATTCGCATAATGATGAATTTAGAGTTATATCTTCAGTTCATCTCTATCTCTATTTGTAAAGGTTTACGGAACAGTCATTCAACTTTTTCAGTGGCTCTAGAGAATAATGTTTACATTTAGATGCGTATAGCAAGATCTAGAAAAATGTTATTTGCAAATATTTACATTTGCCAATGTTTAATTTTCCTTATATGGCAATGTTAATTAAACTGGCATTCAATTTGCAATGACATGAAGTTGGTCATGTGATCAGACTTTCTTGCGTATGGAAAGTAAATCGCACTAGACTTTTGGAAAGTCTATACTGTGACGTCACATGACATCGTACATGTATGTTATGTTGGATTTCCATAACAAAGTCTAAATAGTGCATTTTTTCTTTGTAACATGAATAAAAATAAAAATTATAAATATAAGAAATAAACTAGAGCGAGCTCGTTGCAAAGCAACGAATAGGTCTTCCGTTGGAGCTGCGGAAGGAATAAGTGACCTTGAGTCAAGGTCATGCCACATTCTATGTAAGCAATCTTGTAACTTACAATATTTCGCTAGGAAAAACTGTAAAGGAATTTACGTGACCTTGAACATTCCAAATGACCTTGTGTCAAGCCATGACACACTCTCGTCATAAAACCCAATCTGTGTGTTACCGACTTGAAAAGTTCACAGTGACACGTCATGTTCTTTTAGTCCATACATACATTCAAAACATCTAATCCCTAGTGACCTTGAACTTGAGTCAAGGCCATGTCACACTCTGCATGATACCAGTAATGTTTCACTACTACAAATACGGTAGCGAAATTACAGTTTATCTGTAAGTGACCTTGACTCGACCAAATGACCTTGCATCAAGGCCATAACACACACTGGTTAAGAGCAATCCCAATCTGTGGGTTTCTGAATGGATAAGTTCAGCCATGTTTTTTCAGACCATACAGCGAGTCGGAATAATTTGTTAGGTTCAACACAATGATTTAAATATTCATTGAGAATGTTTTATGTCCAGTTTGGATAAGTAGTAAAACGTGGAGATCGGTCCTTTGGATGAGACCGTATAAGGTCTCGTGTCGGGGTAAGTGCTAGCATGAATAGGATCTCTTATGCTATAAATTTTGAATTTACCGGGTGGCAGTAAATACAAAATTTACAACATGACATGTAAATTTTGTACCGGTATTTACTGACAACCGGTAAGTTCAAAATTTACAACATGACAGATCCATGGCACTTGAAACTACCTCTGATTTCAAAAGATTTGCACTGTTCCTGATTTGTATTGTTTGAATGGTATTTCAAGCTTGAATGCTGCACAGGTGCTTGTGGACAGGAACAACCCCCCCCCCCCCCCCCATATACACCCCGTGGTCCAAGAATATTTTTATTCGTCTTTTTCCATAAATTAATCTTCTAGTACACATTTATAATGTATTCCATATGAAAAATCCAAAAAATAACGTAGAATTAACGTTTTATTAATAAATGATACCCGCGGTATTATGAAATAGAGAAGGTAAGTCACTTCCATTTGTTAACACTGGACCCCTCTCGGATATCGGGCCTAAAATATCATATACCTACCACATGTCACCAAAATATGTTATTATATCTTGTTTCGGTAGATATTTCTTGTCTTTAATCGTGCTATTTAATTGTCTATGCATTCCACAATAATCCGAGTATTCATCGTCAAACGTAAAAAATGTAAGATTTGGAAATGTCAGAGTAGAAATTATACGGAAGTGATGCAGAAACGACACCTAGCGGGTAACTCTCGAGTTCCGAGTGTTACAGAATTAAGGGAAAAGCCAGAGGTCTACAGAAAAGTTCGGGAAAATTTTGATAAAGAAGTCGAAATCGATTCATTAGAATTTAAATTTTGCTGCAGATTTTCCAGATGAGTTAGGGTAGTCATCAATATTCTTTTTAAAGGATTTTATCACTCAAACCAAATAGCGTTTTAAAAACGCTTTCTAATATAACTGCACTTAACCAGTTTGTACAATTTTCCTGTTGTTCTTCATACTCACATAACAATTGTTTATAACATGTCCGCAGAATGCAATTATTTGTATTGAGCAAATAGCACCAATATTTCAGAATTCGAAGTTTTCTTTGAACATACATTGGGCATCTACCAAATTCGAAATAAACCATGAGGTTATTTGTAGATTTTCGAAGCGACATAATTTTCTTCAAAAAGTTAATATGTACTTGCTCAACATGTGGGGCTTTATGAAATCCCCACATCTCACATCCATAATGAAGAACAGAACCTATATATGTATCAAATAAAGAGAGGGTAGTCTCCGCATTTAGATTATTCCCTTTCACTCTTTTCCACAAAGAAAAAGTACATATTTCCTTAACATTTTACTTGTGGAATGCTGATCATTTTCTCCGTATTCCATCCCTTACTGCTCAAAGGCCGTAAGTACCATGTACATTATAAAATGTATAAATTTTCAGCCATTCACCATTTATATCCTATTAAAATTTTAATTCCATCTATTTTGATAACATTAGATTGCTGGAAATATAGTCGAAAAATCCGGGATGAAAATAATAAATGTTAAAAGTGAAATTTATTAATTGTCGGAAGTGCAATGCAAAATTCCGGGAATCAAATGCACCGAAAATGGTACCTCCCCCCACCCAAAGAAACTATTAGTACACACTTCGACGCTCAATTGACCACTCCAATGAACACATTAAATCGTTACATTTTTTTAAGTTTTAGAAATAAAATAAAAGACCTTAAAAAGTTTATAAAATAGGAAAGCTTAGTCACAGATATTAATCGTCGCAGACCTTGTTTTTCATTCATTTGACGATTCGCGAATAACAAATGTCGCGTATGATTATTGGTTAACATTAAAATACCGGTAGGTTATGGATTTCTCTCGGAATTCAACACCAGCCCTCACCTATATGTATACGTACCTGAACAAACCAACCGATTGACAATTTCGGCTCTAAAGAAAAACATTGTATTCTTTAAAGGGGGGGGGGGGAGGGTGTAGGTATCGTGATGAGAGGAATTTGATCACCTGTCAGTCCATTAAACATGAAAGATTATTTTGGAATATTTGTATACAACTGCGTGGCTTTCTTAGAACCAAATTAGTATTTGTTAGAAAAATTAAATAATTATTTAGATGTTTAAGATTTGTGACATATTTATAAGAACCACTTTATTTATCAAACAAAGTTTCTCCCTTATATGGACGCCGTGATATATTTGATAGGCTGTTTAATTACTATTAGGATATATTGCCATTCAAAGAACAAACACATTTTTTTAAATTTGGATAAAAAGTCCGACAATTTTCAACCACGTTTGCTATAATTTTACCGAATCGGATCTTTTTTCCGTATAGTCGAAATGCATGGACGAAGGATAAAAAACCGTATGCTGATCAATCAAAACATCATTGCGATTGGGTATTTAATTTATGGAGACATGTTTTTTTCTGTTTTTCTTTATCTGTGAATTACCCGTTTGCTTTGTACACAAGCATGTGCATTCTGAAAGCTCAGGATGTATTTAGTTTGGGCGCTCTTCCATGTAAAACTGCATGTACTTACAAGCATGTATCCGTAAAATCGTGTATTGGGATATTCTGTTTATTCGACGAAATAAAAGAAAAGAATAAGTATATCGTTCTGTACAATACAATTATAAGTTTGGTAGCAAATAATGCAAACTCAGAAGTAATTAATTCAATTTTTGATTTTCCCGAGAATTGAAAACGTCACCTCCACTTACAATTATTATACATGTGTACATGCAGTTTAAAACATGAGACAGAAAAATAAATTGTTGCAAACCTAGTGGTTAAGTCGGCAATTAAAATGCATAAAACTTAAAATGAATAAATACACAGGCGGATATGATAATGATAAAAATAAGCGTGAGATAGAGTGAAATAAAATAATATTTAAGATTTGAAATGATTTCAAACACAATTTTCCATTAATCACTATGAGTACACATTGCATTTTAACACCGATATGACCGCAGCTCGCTAAGCTCTGCGGCCACGTGTGAACGACGAGTGGGTTACAAATTTTGAAGTTAGATCTAAACACAGAGTGGAATGTAAACTGTCTGCTGTAAGAAGGCGTGAATTATTGTATGTTTAAAAGTATTGTTTTATGTATATAGTTTATTTAATATTAAATGAAAAATTAAATGAAGAAACAAGAGACTGATAGTAAAAATTATACTTTACACAAGTATTAATACTTAATATTTCCATCACTAATTGCAATTCTTTGCCGTAGCACCTTTTCAATTACAATTGAAATAGAATACAATAACATGGGATAGAGAAATAAATTGTTTGTTTTTTTTTTTAAATCGTATTGTTCTGTCGACAGTGACCAGGTCGGTGAAAGCGATTAAAATTCGTAATGATTTTATGCACTAGTGTTTAGAATTAAGATTAAATCAAAGATGAGATTAAGTTATCTTAAAGATTCCATAAAAAAACCATAATGTTTCATTAATCGTTGTTTCTACACAACGGATTTGTCTTCTCAGATGTTTGTTTTGTTTACATGGCCTATGACCGCAGGTGGCTGGTACACTGGTGACCTCGGCAACGTGGGATCGCGGGTTGCGTTACATAACAATAAACATCGAGGTGAACATGGAGAACATAAACTGGTAAAATGCGTACAGATAATGATCATTATTTATTCGATGCTTAAAGTTTAATATTACTTATATAGTTATATAAATACATTTAATTCCTTCCTTTATTTGAAGACGTGTTCCCTTTAAATCTAAATTAAAAAAGAAAAGAAAGTTGTAAAAAATAATTTATGAGTGAACCACAGAACACGTTTAAAACCTTATTTAGAAGAAAATTAGCATTAAATACAGTAGGGTATATAATTTATTGCAAGTTTGTTAAAGTTACACACATGAAGAGTTCTGATTTACTTGCCGAATGAAAACGCTTACCTGTTTATGGGACCTACATATTACGACATATTACGCAATACTCGAACAAAACAACATTTGTATGAGATCAATAAGGTGTTAAAGAAC